TGATCTATAGAACAAGGAGTTTGCTCTATTCAGTACATAACTTTTTTATATTCTCGTATAACATTTATTAGTATGAAAAGTCAAGTGCACTGTAATACATAGAGAATTCAATTAAGTGGTTTGCTCTAAGGTAGTTGGGTGAACTTGATGGCAATTCCTGCCTGGTTACAATGTGCCATCAGGGGTTGGAGCTTAATTGACATGCGGATAGGACATGCTCAGCAAGAGCTCCCACGTCTGATCTCAAATTGTGGGACTAAACCCGGTTCACCCACTCATATTACCCGCTTCCAGCAACCCTCTTGTTCATGGGTCGACGCTACATCTGGGGGTACCCGGCGTGTGTGCCTCCTTGGCTGGCCTGCCCAACCTGAGGATTGCGGCCTACTAGTGCTGGAGCCGTGGAGAGACGGCCGCTCTCCCGTTCAAAGGACGACCGGGTGGTCCCCACCTAACGCTATTCCCCCGATGTGACGAGACCAATCTCGCCACATTGCATTGGAGAAGTCTGGTTGCCTGCCTGTTGCCTCTGGACTATGGCCCCATGTTAAAAAGCCTTCTTTTCCCCTGTAGAAAAGGGTTGTTCGTGTCTTTCTGCCCGGTGTTCGGTAGATTCAATCTACCGAACAAACAACCAATTGACTGGACCACCTGTATTGGGAGTGTGTCGGCAATTTACTTCCCAGAAGCTGCGGTTAACCGCAGCTTAATTGACAAATGCTGGGTGTGACAAGACCAATCTCGCCACTGTGCATTGGAGGAGCCTGGCTGCCCGCCTGCTGCCTTTAGACTATGGCCCCATGTTGAAACGCTTGATTTTCCCCTGCGGAGACACGAAAGCCGGGTCATTCGGTGCTGGCCCTGTTTGAGCGGTGATACCCCAGATAGCTATGCCATGGAGCCCATTTGTATAATGAAAGGCTATGGGAAAGACTTTGGCTCCATGGCAATTGAACTGTATGTGTGTGCTCTGAGTGCCATTCAGTAATAATGATTAATGTACCTGTTTTGTGCAATGGCTGCACAGTTATATGTTTTTATGTGTTTTATTGTCTTTTGCTGCCATGTGTTCAATGGAGTTTTGCCTCTGTCCTTGGAGATAATTGGATTACTTCACAATTATCTCCAGGATAGAAGACTCTGTGAAACTGGTTTTGGGCAGAAAAGCCATGCTTCATTTGGTCACAAAGGACTACGATCTATCTTTTGAACCAATGGACCAATTTGGATGATTTTGACATATGTTTGTATTTGGAGTATGATTCTGAAAATGTAAGTTTTATGTGAATGTGATGCATACTTTTCAAGTTATGAATAATGTGGAAAAAAATTATTTCTCTGCTCGTGATAATTACATTACCCATTGTGTAAGGTAATTGTATCACAGGCAGAGGGGAGGATTTTGTGTGGGAGTGTCTGAATGTATTGTATGTGTTTATTGGTTGTGTTCCAAAACCCTGTGGGTGGTACTAATGTGTATATAAGAACAATAAACCCACAGCTCTGTCTGTTCATTGTTTGACCCTCAACACGGAGCTTTGTCTCGTTCTTGGGGGGATTTATTGTATGCTGTTCCAGTTTGACTGCTAGGAGTGTAAACCTATTCGTATGGTTTTTCCTATTTGCCTGTTTACAGCATTCGTATGGTTTCCTGTTCGGCGGATTGGTGTTCTGCAGTAGCTGTGCCTGTGCATCTGAAAGGGGAACATCGCCTTAACGTTTTTTAACCTCTTGTGGGCAAAACGGTCCGTTACAATTGGTGGCAAGCGGCGGGATCGTTCCTACAGCCAGAAGGACAGCTACAGGAGACACCATTTCTTTGGATTTACAAGTGGGGGCAACGCATGTCCCAGTACAGCGACCCTAAAAGCAACAGAATGGAACCAGCAGTGTTATACGAGGAGGAGGACCTGGATGGCTGGGATGCATTAAGGAAAGGCATCTGGTACCACGCCCTGGATAATGTACAATACCAGCGGGGTGAGAGTCTCCCCAGTGAAGAGCAGTGGTTGCAAAAGCAAGTGGCCCTGCTGATGCCCTTCCTGGGAGAGCAGCCCCTGGAGGAATGGGTGAAGGAACTAGAGCACCAGGTATGGCAGGAGCTATGGCTGGAAGATGCCTACCAGGCGCTCTGGTGGTATATGGCACAATATATACCCTGGACAGCCGAGCATGACAAGCCAGAGGGAGAGGAGTTTGATGGTCCTGGCTTGTTATGGGAGTCCTTTGCAGAGCCTGACTTCAGGAGCCCTGCGCAGACCAGACTTCAGGACATTTTCTGTGAGAGGGAGGCTAGGCATGACTGGGATGACCCCCATGAGGTAGAGCAAGACCTGGCTCACCTAGCAATCCTGGAGTGGGAACTGGAGCAGGACTACCGAGATCTCCTCCACTCCATTGGGAAGGCTCCGCAGGACAGCAGAGTGACAGATCCATTTCCAGACCCCTTCAGGGTCCCTGTATGGTTTCCTGTTCGGCGGATTGGTGTTCTGCAGTAGCTGTGCCTGTGCATCTGAAAGGGGAATATCGCCTAAACTGTTTTTAACCTCTTGTGGGCAAAACGGTCCGTTACACTGGGTGGCCTTTGTTCGTTTGCCGAACACGTGGCGGTGGCCATTTTAAAGTCCCAAGCGGCCAGCGGTGTTCAGCGCCCAAACTATGGAACTGGAAACGGACACTTATTTGCGCGAACACAGCTGAGCCGTCAGCCTCCTTGCTTCTGCATTTAGTCATTTAACCTGTTCATTCGGTAGTTTAAACTGTATGAACAGCATTACCTCAGATAGCCATAGTGGAGACTATTCGTATGGAGAACAGACTTTGTGAACACTTTAACTCCACGGCGATTGGACTGTGTGCATAGGATCTGAGCGCTATTCGGTACTTTTGTGCACTCAGATCTGTGGGGATATTTATGGGATAATAATAGTAAACAGTTGAGAATTGCCCACTAATTCAATTCTCAGATCCCAAATAACGTTTATCGTAAGTGAAATTATTTCATATAATTAAAATCACAATGTATAAAAATAGATTATTTATATGACAAATTAATCAGTAATAATATTATGCAACATGCATGACAATAATCAATGAATGTTCAGTATAAAATGGTATGCAATACAAAGGAATGGGTATTACGTTTCAATGGCTAAAAAGCATTTCCTGTCAAGAATTCTGACGATTTATGAGGTATCCTCACAGACTGAAAAAGTTTCACTCAGAGAACAGAATTCTTCAGAGTGCAGCGTAAGGTCGTAAAGTTTAGCTGACAGTTAGAATAACCCTTTCAATGCTGGCTAGATCTCCTAGGTAATCCAGATCTATTCTTATGTAATTTTTAAATAAAATAACATTTAAACCAGTTCATTAGTCATTTCCTGGAACCATCCAATAAGAGAATCTACCATATTATATGAGCAGAGTCTGTCTAAAAGATATCTATCTTATATTAGAGCAAATCAATACACCTGGATAAAAACAGCGGTATGCTAACACGTGATATCACATCAATATATAATTATTCTTAATTCCACCTGCAGAATGGAATGTTTATAACTATATATTCTTAGTTAACTAAGATTTCTTAATATGGAAATCTGACCGTGCTTTATCCAGTCATATATAATGCTATTAATACATTTTAATTAATTAAATGAAACCAGTATAATTACCAGTTGAGTAGATATTTCATCCGATTGGTAGTCTCAGGAACTTATTTGGATGTCTCTCTGCATGGAGGTTGGAGTCCCCAAACTTCCAATTCCTCTCTCCTCTTTTCATTTCTCCTTTGCATCTCTCTATCTTCCCTTTGTCTTAACTTTTAAAGGGCCAGACTCTCTGTAAGTCATCAGTTGATAACCCAATAGAAGCACTAGAGGTGTGGTTATCTTCCAGAACGCAATTTAGGTATTTAGTCTATAGAGGGCAGTCTTGTCCCACTAAACATACCTATCCAGGAAAGAGTTAACTTTTCCTGGTGGCTATTTTGACGTCATTTTGGCCTATCTAGATAGTGCCATAACTTAAAATTTCAAAGGGTTCTTTAAGTTTTGTCCAGACTGTGTGTCTGGCAAATCTGAGTTTTGACCCGTAACTTACAATGGGACCTTATATGTATAGACAGTTAAATTTTATTATTTAATCTTCTCTGTCACAATTGTCTGGGTTTAGAATTGATTATATTCTTCTTATCACTTGTTTATACTATGCATTCCTTTTAGCTCTGACAAAGTGGCTAGTCTTACAGAAAGAAATCTTGTGTCTTTTTTTGTTAACTTGAAAATAACAAAATGGAGTCTGGTCTGTTCAGAGTGACTCAGAATATACACTTTTAGTTTCTATCATAGCACAAGATGTCTGCCGATATAAATACCCTGACAGATCCCAGCTATCTGTGGATGGATTACATGTATATATTTTATGTGACAAATGTAACATTATGTATTTTAGTGTTTTATTGTAACCATGTAGTTAATGGAGTTTTGCCTCTGTCCTTTGAGATAATTGGATTACTTCACAATTATCTCCAGGATAGAGGGAAGGGATTGTAATGTACTGTGGGAGTGTTTTAACCCTGTATGCCTGTGATTGGTCATTTTACCATTTGTGTCCCAGTCTTCCATCTGGTCCCCTAGGGGAGTGTCCACCAGTTGGGAGACCTGCATAAATACCGGGCAGGTAGCCCACATTAAACCAGACCACTGCTTGACCCTCAACACTGAGCTCTCTCTCGTCTTTGGGGATATTTACTTTATGCTGTTAGAGACTGATTGCCAGGAGTGTAAGCCGCTTGGGTGCTTTTCCTGTTTGTCTGCTAGCAGCTATTCGTGAGGGTCCAGTTCGGGAGTTTGGAGCATTCCCTTGTATGCAGTTCAGGAGTTTGGTGTTCTGCAGTAGCTGTGTCTCTGGAAGGGAAGATCTACTAAATGGCGGTTTAACCCTTTTATGCCTGGGGGTGCCGTAACACCCCCCAACGCTATTCTGGACCGGCGGGGGTTATGCTGGTCCCTACTGACCTGATCCACGTACCCTGCTTGGATACAACTGGCTTGCTCAACGCAGGTCCCAACCGCAACACAAACCCTCAAAATGGTGAGCAGGCCTACTGAGAATGAGCACCAGCAGAATGCACCAGCTTACCCACCGACAATAGATGACCTCCTGCTACGCATCGATGCGGCATTCAACCGCTTCTGGGCCCGACTAGAGGCTCACCTTCCGGCAGAACTGACCCGAAGCGGGGGAACTAAGCAAGGTGGAGAAGAATGGGGAGTGAACAAGCCTTCTCCGGGCACATCAACGCGGCGTAAACAAGCACCAATCCACAAAGGCCTATCTAGGTCTACAGCACCAATCCACAAAGGCCTATGTAGGTCGAAAGCACCAAGGGCAGCACATCTTCGGTATCGCTCAAAGAGACAGAGGCCGCAAGCAGCAAAGTAACTGCGGCTACACCCATCCTGGGTAGGACTTTAAAGGGCCACTATAGTGCCAGGAAAACAAACTCCTGGCACTATAGTGCCTTGAGTGTGCCCCCACCCTCAGGATCCCACTCCCGCCGGGCTGAAGGGGTTAAATCCTTACCTCTCTCCAACGCCAGGCTCCCTTGGCGCTGGGGACTCTCCTCCTCCTTCGGTCGTCATGAGCTCAATGCGCATGCATGGCAAGAGCCGTGCGCGCATTCAGCCAGTCCACAGGAAAGCATTCTCAATGCTTTCCTATGGACGCTGGCAACCATGTCTCTAGATATAATTAGCTCATCAGCCGCTGTCAGAACCTATTCTATGTTCCTAATTTTCTCGAATATTTATCCAGGCACAGAGTGATGGGAACAAGGGGTTGTTTCCAGTAGGTTTGAATGAGGCTACGTGCCGCATCTATCAAGTGTGGGCTGATCGTTCTGTTGTATCTTGTTGGAGCCAAAGGGGTGAGGTGTAATAGACATGCTTCCTGTATGTAACAAGTTTTATATTATAAAGTAACACTCCAGGCACCATAACTGCTACAGCACACAATAGTGATTATGGTGCCAGGAGCACATCGCCCACAAATGGAGAGAAAAAAAAATAAATAAAAAATTTTTTTTAAAAAAGTGAAAGGTGTAAACCAACTCGTGCGTACTACACCTTTAAATAATATATTATATAAACAAAATCCAAAGTGGTCACACCCTCACACAATATAAATATCAATACCTATGTAATGCATTAAAACCATTCCCGCTTGGTAAACACTGACATACAAAGATACCATTCCTCCCCATAGTGATGACCCCAGTACATAACTTATTTTGACCAATTTTCTTTGTCAAGATTAAGTAAACTCCTTCCCTTTGCCACTTTACTGTAAAGTGCGTCAACGTACCAAAACAATGAAAAAGTGCAATGATTGTCACAAGCCGCTTTCTCTTATCGTGTCAGATACCATTGGCTTTTATAAAAAGACATTCTTTGCTGGACTATTCAGATACTGCACTGTATAATTAGTATTTTCTTTCACAGAATCTATATATTAAATGTTGTGTGAGGGTGCATGCGTTCGGCTTTTATATAATCTCCTATTGTAAGTAGTCAAACTGTTTGTGGAAGGTTTGCTCTGGTGTCCGCTGCTTCCTGTCTACACTACTTTAGACGAAGAGCCAGAAGTTCTCTGTCAGATAAGTCCAGCAGAGTAGGAGCATTAATGGAAACTCCTCCTTAGGACAAAAGTAGTGAAGGTACAGAGTGATGCCCAGTAGACCCCAAGTAAAATATAACCAGCCACCCATCGACATGCAGGATGCACACAATTAAGATATAGTGGTTTAGAGGGGTTTTTTTTTTTGGGTTTTTTTAACGCTGAATTATAGCAAATGAAAACCTACATTTAAAAGCACTTTTAAAGAGTTTTATAATATCAAAAAACCAAAACATTAGTTTGAATTTTTCCCACAGATCAGGTTTAATTTCTTGATACATTTCCATTGAGCAATGTTACAGCATTTGGATTAAAAGTGGGAGTGTTAGATATTGTCTTGTTGTAACATGTTGCTCTAAGAGGCATGCCAAGGGCGTGCTAGCCGTGTTTGGTCACATCATAAGGCAAAGACAAATTGTTCTCAGTCTCCCATTTAGGTACCTACCATCTATCTGGGTCATTTTGGGTTAGCCCATATACTACAGCGTTATAACAATTGGAATTGGCTGCAAAAAAATGGATGTGTTCTGCCTGGTTCTATTAAGATTGTATCTTTAATTATAATAGGATTGCTGATGTTAAAGTTCAAGAACAAGGTGTCCCTCAGGACTAAGAATCAACAAATGATTTGGGAATAGCGAGTGTAATTAACCCCATCAGTACCAGACATTGTGTACACACATTACAATTCTGTTTTCTTCCCTTATCCTCCAGGAGTCATTCCAACAATGGAGAAACCATTTTCCTTACAACCAGACACATTGGGGGTTATCTATAAAGAGTTCTGAAAAGTGAGACTCTCGACATGGAAGCCAGCAGGTACAGGTTTACACACATTTTTAACTAGAACCTTATTTCTGCATTTCAGCAGTTTAAGGTATGTGGAGAGGAGAGGGTTGGCTTATATAGGAGAATTTAGAAAAATACCAATTTCTGCATTTACGGTCTTTAAAACATTTCAAAATACTGTATACCAAAAGTGTTATAGCGACACCTAGTGGACTATTTTCATATAACGTAGTCACTATGGAAAGTACTTCCAGTAACATTGTATAGAAGCATCCTCGAGTGCAGAATATCCCATATTTTGGGTAGAGACAGATTGCAAACTCTTAGAATTATTTTTTTATTTGAAACCATACTCTCCATTGGAAATAAGAAACCACTTTCCACATTTCAGTTTATTCCCAATGAGAATTTAGGTGGCTTCACTGATTAGAATACGGTCTTACTCACCGTTCTGTATTTTCCAACAGATCCAGTGCAGTCAGAATATATTACAAACTGACATAGAAGGGTCTCAACACACGTATGACATAGAAACCTAGAGACTGGCGACCAGTGGTCAGGCTACCATGCCCAGGCATATTCCGCAGGACTGCAGTTGTACTCAGTCATACGGACACAAACCCAAATTCTGTACCTGGCGAGAGTTTGGTGGTTTCAAATTCAACAAATTAGTAGTAAAAAGAATGAGATGCATTGTCACTATACCATGTCAGAGGGATCACCATAGACCTGCCTATGGCACTAGATAGCAGGCAAATATCTCACCCATGTTAATATAATAATTCCTTAAAAAAAAAAAACCCCTTTAAAAATACTTTCTGAAGAAAGGAAAAAAATTAAAGTATTGTGGTAAAAGCTTTTTATTTTTCCTTAAGAAACTAGCTCATTATTTTAACTTTAATTTAAATCTCATTCCAAAAAAGTGGTTCTTTTCTAGCATTTAAGAAATGTTGACAAAAACAGGCACAAAAAAATGAGTTAAAAGTTGGAGTCCCGGCCATCCCGACTTTACACAGATTTCAGTTTAAAACATTGAGTGTTCTTTGTAAATGGACCGTTTAACGTGTCAGTGTTAATGCAGTTGACAGAGCATCCCGCACTATCCTACCCAGTTGAGTTTTACATGTAGATATTGGTTTAAATATCAGATTACCGCAGGTTGTAAAATTTTTGCCCTAAAACAATCACTCAGGAATGTAATCTCCCACATTCAAGACATCACTAGATTTTTAAGCACTTACAGCAATCATGGAGGATGTGATTCAAATAAACAATTCTATCCATTATTCCTTAGTGTAATACATTTATTTACAGAATAGCAAAAGTACATCACATTTAGTGCAAATGCAACTAAAGATATTAGGATTTATATATTTTGTAAACTTTCTGTTTGCCTTTATAAAGCTTAAACTTTATGCTCTTAACAGATGGAAAAATTTGCAACCCATCAGAAAACAAAATTGATTGCACACTTGTCCACCACTCTTAAAATAGTAATAATAATAAAATAAAAAAAATATAGCCTGCCTATTAAACATTCATCTTGAAGTGTTCATATTGGTTTTCAACTCCTTATTAGTGGCTTCATTTTTGGTCTTTTAAATACTAACAAGAGAAGGCCTTGGAAAAATTCGGAAAATGTTAACTTTGATGTAGCGATGAATAGAATTAATTTCAACGTTTACAACCGTACGTCTATTAACACGTAGGCACTTTTCTTAAATATCACACCATAAAACAGCTTTTAGTTGTAGTAAGGCATTTTTCTTGGAGAGAGAAAAATAAAGTCATTAGGAGTATATATATATATATGTAGTAAGCAATTGGGAACGCTGTCTAAGGACCAAGTTCTTTGTATTTGTACAGGAAAAGCGTTACACTCCCAAGGCAGAAAATATCTGTAGGTAGTAGTTTATTTTGCAAAGTTTTCTGAAATTTGTACACAAAAATCGATTATATACATCTGCGTTTCAATATACTTGTTTTAACCCAGTTTATAAAATAAAAAATAAAAAAAAAGTCTAAATCACATAGCTAGTGTGTATGTGACAAGGAATTACATTTATATAATTGTAGATCTTTAATATTTTAAGAGATGCACAAGACCGAATGTAAAGTTAAGAAATGAGCCAGAATTCTGTATCCATAAAGGAGAAGAACAATGGGCAGTAACAACTGGGAATGCAAACATTGTGTAGTATACGGGATGTAATAGGACTACTATTGAACAAGTTATGTGAGAAAATTTAATCTGAGCCAAATCTTACACTTCTATATATCTATATTCACATTTTGTTTTAATGAAAATCCCAAATACCATCAAAAACTGCATTCCCCCCAAAAGAAAAATAGGATATACATTTATATATAAATATAAACAAATGACTGTCTTAAAACATATAAACGCATACAATTAATATAAAATATTGTTAAATCCAACACTGATAATGTGATATTAAAGACAGGCCCATCCATGATTTGAACAAGATATTCCATTCTGGGTACTCTGCAAATATAAACCAAGTAGAAACTGGTATATTTATCACTAGAGGTAGACAGATAATATTTCTTTGCAGTACAGGAAAGGCCCATCAGGTCATGTTGGCTTCATAGATAGTGAAAATAACCATTTTGAGCTAGTTTGTCAACCAGTGATGCAGGCCAAGACCAGTAAGGGAAAATCCAGCCATTTTATACAGAGACTATTCTTGGTTTTGTTGGGAACAAACTTTTTAAGTTCACATATCTTTTTATATGGGGCAGACCCCACAAAATTGAAATGCAGAGCATTGACATATATCTCTTTACTTTAATTTAGATGGGTTAGCCTGTCTTTAAATTCAGCAAAGAGTGAAGACACAGATCTGCTGGGGGCACAAAGCAAGACCTCTGCAAGCCGCCCCAGCAATCTATAAACACAGAGAACGACTTGCACATTCTGAACAGCATGGCTTGTCCTCAGAGAAACAGAGACCGTTTTCAGACAGATTAATAGATCTTCAAGAATTAATCTTGAAATGTCTGGATTGTATAAAGAACACAATTTTGCGCCACAAACCAAAAATGCAATAGAAATATAGAGATATATTTTGGGGGGAGAAAATAAAGCTTTCTTAGATTTTATAGAACCCCATCAGACTTTGAGTCTTCATAGGAGTTACATATAGAAAGGCAAAGCCATCGATTAGAACAGCCCTCTTATCTATAATTTTACAGTGCTCCTGCAAGGATTTGCAACAAGCAATCAAAATATATTTATATTCCAAAAAAACAATAAAAAAAACAAAAAACAAAAAAAACAAAACACACTTCCCACCAATAAACTTTCTCACACCCTGGAAAGTAAAAAAACAAACAAACAAACAAAAAAAACCCCTCACAATCTGTTCATATTTTTATGCTCAAAAACACAAACCTCTTTATGGCTTATTTACTGTTACAGGCCTATGGTAGACGAGCATTTTGTACAGTTTTGAAGATAAAAGCCTTGAGCCATATAGGTTGTGAGTTAAAATACAACTGTAATCCTTCAAAGCAAACAGACCGGGAAAAAAAAAAAAAAAAAAAAGGGAAAAAAGCTGTACATGTGGATATAAATTACACACAGACTCCGCGAGGAGGACTGACATTAGACAGCTAGTGTTTGATTGCCTGTCCACTGTAGGTTTTCCGCCCTCATTTTGGGATGCCTTAAAAGCTATAGAGGAGAAAATAACGAAGGCGGCTGCAGATCGTGTTCCATTTCTGATGTGAATCGCTCCGTCTAATATAATGTGGAATGTTCATACGGCCTTCATGTAGCTGAGGAAGAAATGACAGTTAACGCTTTTTAAAATGGCTGCACAGTACGGTTTACTACATGGTGCTATTCAACAGACAGCTTTTAGAGTACAACTGGATTGTTATCACTCAGTGGTTAAAGAGGGACATTTTTCATTTAAAATTTAATTATTCCACACATGCACTTCTAAATGTTGAAAATAACTCAAAGCGTAGAAAAGAGCAGAACATTAAGGTAGGGGTCAAGCATGGGTATGAAACAGTAATACAAAATAAACAAAAAAAAATGAGGGCTCTCACTACAGTTCTTCGTTACAATAAACCGTTTTGCTGAGAAAAAAGAAAAAGATGAATGATTGTACATTAAAGTACAGTGTATGACATGACCATAGAGGGAAGAGCCCCTTGATGCACATACCGTGTGGAACCATTTCTATAACTTTGGATTTTAATGGAAATAAACCGGGTTTCACAAATGTAGATGACAAATTATATTATATATAAATTTCCCCACCCACATATATGAAAGGTCTTGCAGCTGCTACAAGAGCAGAGGCAATCAGCAGCAAACACAGAAACTAGGCTCTGTAAGCAGCAGTTGTATTTTTGCATACGATGAGTACCTGACCGTGCAGACAGGCAAGCACAATTTAGGCTCTCTCCAACATACAAGGGTAATTTAGGACTTGATGAGCATAGGTGTGCTATAAATTTAAAGAGGAAGAATCAAAACTTGCTGTAATGTACCCTAGGAAAGGGGCAGGCCTTTTTATAGAATACACTGTGTGCAGGGTGACTGGGACAGGGGGGCATCCTTACACCATAACCTTATAGCTACAGTTATAATACACTATGGGCGGGGAGACAGGGGACCTCCTTACACCATAACCTTATAGCTGCAGTTATAATACACTGGGCGGGGAGACAGGGGACCTCCTTACACCATAACCTTATAGCTGCAGTTATAATACACTGTGTGCGGGGAGACAGGGGTTCTCCTTACACCATAACCTTATAGCTGCCGTTATAATACACCGTGTGCAGGGAGACAGGGGACCTCCTTACACCATAACCTTATAGCTACAGTTATAATACACTGTGGGCGGGGAGACAGGGGACCTCCTTACACCATAACCTTATAGCTGCAGTTATAATACATTGCGTAATGGGGGACAGGGGACCTCCTTACACCATAACCTTATAGCTGCAGTTATAATACACTGTGTGCGGGGAGACAGGGGACCTCCTTACACCATAACCTTATAGCTGCAGTTATAATACACTGTGTGCGGGAGACAGGGGACCTCCTTACACCATAACCTTATAGCTGCAGTTATAATACACTGTGTGCGGGAGACAGGGGACCTCCTTACACCATAACCTTATAGCTGCAGTTATAATACACTGTGTGCGGGGAGACAGGGGACCCTCCTTACACCATAACCTTATAGCTACAGTTATAATACACTGTGGGCGGGGAGACAGGACCCCTACACCATAACCCAGGCTGCAGTTATAATACACTGAAAAAGGGGAGACAGGGGACCCTCCTCCACCATAAATCTTATGGCTACAGTTATAATACACTGTGTGCGGGAGACAGGGGACCTCCTTACTCCATAACCTTATAGCTGCAGTTATAATACACTGTGTGCGGGGAGACAGGGGACCTCCTTACTCCATAACCTTATAGCTGCAGTTATAATACACTGTGTGCAGGGAGACAGGGACCTCCTTACACCATAACCTTATAGCTGCAGTTATAATACACGGTGTGCGAGGAGACAGGGGACCTCCTTACACCATAACCTTATAGCTGCAGTTATAATACACTGTGTGCAGGGAGACAGGGGACCTCTTTACACCATAACCTTATAGGCTGGTGGAAAGTTATACCATACCGTGGTGCTGGGAGACAGGGACCCTCCTTACACCAAGCAACCCTTATAGCTGCAGCTATAGTAATACACCGTGGGCGGGAGACAGGGACATCCTTACACCATAACTTATAGCTGAAGTATAATACTCTGTGTATGGAGACAGGGGACCTCCTTACACCATAACCTTATAGCTGCAGTTATAATACACTGTGTGCGGGGAGACAGGGGACCTCCTTACACCATAACCTTATAGCTACAGTTATAATACACTGTGTGCGGGGAGACAGGGGATCTCCTTACACCATAACCTTATAGCTGCAGTTATAATACACTGTGTGCGGGGAGACAGGGGACCTCCTCCACCATAACCTTATAGCTACAGTTATAATACACTGTGGGCGGGGAGACAGGGGACCTCCTTACACCATAACCTTATGGCTACAGTTATAATACACTGTGGGCGGTGAGACAGGGGACCTCCTTACACCATAACCTTATAGCTGCAGTTATAATACACTGTGGGCGGTGAGACAGGGGACCTCCTTACACCATAACCTTATGGCTACAGTTATACATTGCGTAATGGGGGACAGGGGACCTCCTTACACCATAACCTTATGACATCAGTGGTGGAGGAGCAAAGGTGAATCCAAGTGAGCGCCAAGGGACACCAGCACTGGACTGAGGTAAGTGACAGATGTAACACTATATAGTTTCCCTTTAAACTTGGAATAGTTTACCCTGCAATAATACATCATTACCCATGTATTAAGAATGGTATAGAACAAATCAGTTCTGATGTAAACTAAAAGTAATTTAAAATAGGAAATCTTCATTTGGTTGCAAATATTACATATTATAACAATCAGCAAGAATTAGTTTTTACTTTTAAAAATCATGATTCAAATCAAACCCAACCTGAATTAACCAAATATTTACTTACCGGTCAATTGCTAGAAAAATATAGGTTTGCCGGCGGTTTTCTCCTGTACATATGAAGTAAACCGTTTAAGAAACTTTGGATATTCTCGCTTGGCTACTGCTCGAAGCACCGACGCAGGAGCCCAACCGCCTGGATTCACTGGAAGGAGAACAAACAATTTAATCTAAATAAGAAACTCACAATGTAACTTTTTATATTCTTAGTCACAACTAAGTAGCGCAAGCTTGCAAAAGGCAACGTTAATCTTTATAGTTAGGATTTAACAACGGAGATCACGACCCAGTTCAGGCACAGCCAAAGCACATATTGTAAATTAGGAGAAAGGTAATCATTGACTCAATTCTACACCTCTATATGGACATCATATCAATGATTGACAAAAGCTCAGTTCCAAGATGGAGGTATAGAGATATATACAGAGGTGTGGATTTCTACATTTAAATTGTATTTTCTGACACATAAATAAAGGAGAAAAGTAAACAAAATATTAAATCCCTTACAAGTGATGGTTCCTCTTAACCCAGAAACGGGATTTGCCTTACGCCCCATGAATTGTAGCGAGAGTGGTGTGACAGTGTCTGTCTTCCATCCCCAGTGACGGTGAATACCATGTGTGGGCCCCCAAATTCCTTCTGTGTTTGGTCACCCTGTGCCTATTTGTGTAGGGTATGTTGAATGTCTTGCTGGTCGGTGCATCTCCCCCTCCCCCTTTTTCCTGTCCTATTGTATCCACAGCAGGGCGTTGTCCAAGGGACACTGAGGAGGGACAAAGCAGCCAGTTTTAACTGGTTTGGCAATCTCATCAGCCTTTGCTATTGTCTGACCCCACCCTTCTTTGTGCTATAGTGCTCTTATTAACCTATTGTATGTAAAGGAGGTTGTTGGGGGATTAAAATGTGTGCTGTGGTCAGACCTGCTGTTTAACCTTCACCATGTGTCGTCTAGTGTTTGGTCCAGGGTGGAAAAGGCCCTAAGTGATCCCAGTCAAGCCTCGGTGACAGGGTCTGAAGTGCTCCACGGTCCCTGATAGCTACTAGGAAGCAAACTTGGAGGAGGTACTCTGTCGGAGTACTGGAGCTCCGTTACAAGTGGTTTGCAGCCATTCTGTCTCTATAACACGGCACATACCATGGCCCCATTTCACATGGGTGCTGTGTGGGATTCCTCCCACATTCACTGATAAATACTTGCAAGTGGAGCAAATTACATTTTCTGCAATCCCTTAAAGGGACCCTCCAAGCAGCGTAAAGCCATACTGTATAGATTATGGTGCATGAGGGGTCCTCTCTTAGTCTCTAACCCCAATTGTTTATAACCGCTCTTGTAAAACAAAACACCTCTACAGATATAAATCTGCAATGCCCGTCTGTCCCAATTTTATTCACCAGTACCAGGCTTCTCAGAGAGGGTCACTCCCACCTCACTGGAAGGAAAACTCGATAGTTTGTATCTAAACCGAACATCTTTTATTTTACAGGCTTCCAACCATGCAAACATTTTTTTTAAAGGAAGTCCTACCATTTGCAACATATGTGATCTTGCAATGAATGTTGTCTCTGCTTATTTCCTGGTTTCCTTCAGGGGGGCTGACCAGTGTTTGACAGATCAACGCAATGTTAATTTTGGCACGAACACACCGGTTGTTAAGCTGTTTGAATACAAGTAAAGAATAATTTTACAATGTAACAAAGTTTAAATGAAGTCTCCCGTATGAAAAAAAAAAAAAAAAAGTATAATTAAACAAAAAGTAGCTGGTGGAGATTGGTTTGAAATGCACGTTCATGACTAGATTATAACAGACAAGCTCATCTACTGATTTCTATGGAAAAATAGCAAACTATTAGAAAAATGCTCTCTAGTCAGAAGAGATACAGTTTACAAAGCATAAAGACAATGCCATCAGGGAAAGCTAAACTCATTCTTTCAAACCACCATCAGGATAACCAACATTCAGCATTCACAGATCGTTATTCCCATTCTAGGATTGTAAAGTGCTTTGGAATATGCTGGCGCTAATAAATAATACCCCAGGAAATGGAGCTACTCACCGGAGCACTGTCATGATCCACAGAAAAGTTACAGACAATCCACGTGTCCGTTTCATTCTCACTAGCTGCTGGGATGACTCTGATAGCCGATAGATATAAGACATCACGTTGGGAAGCTGGCCAGACTCTCTGCAAAGAAAAGGAAATTCAGAGAAAGGCTTAAAAGCAATACATTAAGTTAGGTTAGTATGAAGATGGGCGAACAGGTATTCAAACCAATGTTGTCAGGAAGTTTAATGAAATCGCTATGGATGGCATATACCATTTGTGACGAAATGCCTTTTGTCACTGGATTTTTAGGTGACAAGCTGTCCTTTGACCCTGGCTGTTGGAGGAGCCTGATTACCAGCCTCCTGCCTCATGACTATGGCCCTGGGTTGTATGGCCCTTTACAAACATTATTTGGGCTAATTGATTTATATTGTGCTGCTGCTGGCCCTTTAAGAACAGCGTTGTGGCTTATGGACTTGTATTGGACCATGCTGGCCCTTTAAGAACAGTCTGGGGACATATTGAGACTGTGTGTGACAATGCCCCTTTAAGACTGTGTGCCATTATCCACTTGGTTCAGTAAATTGGGCTTACTGAACCAAGTACCACACAGGCGGACCACCCAGAAGTGGAAGTGTGCAGGCAATTTACCTCCCAGGCTGGGAGCCTGCTGCAGGTAAATTGCCGACCGCTGGGTGGCCGCAGTTCGTGCAAACCAACACGTGGCAGCAGCCATCTTTGTTCATTCGAACGAGGTCAGCGGTATGTGTAGCCAAATTCATGGAACTGAAATCAGCTACACATTTCAACGAACACCACTGACCCTTACCTTCTCCTACACTCAGTTTTCAGCTACAAAAGTTCCGTTCGGCAGTTTGAACTCACTGTTATACTGAGCCAAATGCACGAACGGCCTTGTTCATGCATTCGAATGGGACTTTTTTTTGCATAAAATTGACCGGCCGCACAGCCCACATCTATGGAACTGTTTTGGGCAGGAAAATGTGCTTGCGGTTGGTCATAAAGGACTTCCGTCTAACTTTATCTACTGGATGGATTGGTCTGATTTTTGAGAGTGTTTATATTTAAAGTGTGCTGATTCTGAATATGTAAGATTGGACGTATATTTTTAAAGTTACAGTGTATGTATAAAAACTGTATTTTTCCTGTGATAATTATGTTAACCATTGTGTACCATAGTTATATCACAGGCAGAGGGGAGGATTTTGTGTGTTATTGCTGGGAGTGTTTTCTGTAATGTACATGTGTTATTGGTTGTTCTGTGAAACCCTGTGGGTGGTCCTATGTAAGGAAAACCTGCATAAAAGAAGGCCGTTTGGTGCCAAATAAAGCAGATAATCTTGTACCTTCATGAAGTTTCGGCTCATGTTTGGGGGATTAAAGAACTACACTATGGGGATTGCTATAATCACTATACTCCCCAGGGTATAATCACTAAGCTCTGCTAAGAGCTTGTTCCTGCTCTCTGGAATTCGGAGAGGTTGACCTACTGAAAGCTGGACCCTGGTTTTGGATCCAGAGTGGGTGGAGACGGCGAGACCCCAGCCAAGCTGCGGTAGTTCGTGGGAGTCTACAGTGGTTATGGTGTCTGGCAGAGTGGTTGGAGTCCTCGGATGGTACCCGGTCGGGGTGCCAGCGGTTCCGTTACAGTGTTCCGTTACACCATTAAAGACCAACCTTTAGCCAAGGACCCTCATTTAGTGTTAAATGGCTAGGAACCGGTTTAACACTGAATGGATGAACAGTGTCAGTGAATCCAGACACCAATACAATACAATACAATACAGTTGTGTCCCTTTAATACAATACACTCTAAAAACTAAAATTATGCCGTGAAGCGGATTCCATTTTCACATTAGAAGCTTGCCATTACAACTGTTAGAGACTCAGAGTTTAAGAATGATTTAAATAATATTCTATCACATTGGCAATTTAGAATGCATCAAAACACTAGTCAGATATACAGTCTAAAACTCCAATATGGCGGCAAAGAAATGCTTTCATGTAATGTTGAGAACCTATTGACAGTGTTCAGCAAGTGATCACAACTTTTTTCAGGACAGAATCAATTTGTGGAGAACATTACCAACTGTTAGCTCCCTGCAATTAAGATTTTATTAAGATATCAGGAGACCAATCTAAATAGTTTTATGTTATAGGATCCCTCTTCAGCCCATGTTGCTATCAACTAGTGTATGGACAGCTGGCATCGAACTTTTAAAGCTTTTTGAAAAGGCCGATGCTCACTTATGAATAGGAGCAAGGTTGGCAGAGTGTGTGCACCATAACATACAATAGGATAAAGGTTTGGGAAAGCATATTAACCATACAAATGGTAAGAATGAAGGAGTGGAGAAATTATACAACACTACGCACCAAGTCAACTTAAGCTTAAAGGGACAATATAGTCACCAGAACAACTACAGCTTATTGTATTTGTCCTGGTGAGTAGAATCATTACCTTCAGGCTTTTTGCAGCCAACATGATCTTTTCAGAGAAAATGCAGTGTTTACATTGCAGCCTAGTGATAACTCCTCAGATGGCTGCTAGAGGTGCTTCCTGGGGCAGTGCTGCACACTGTGACTGACATTCAGTGTCTCCACCCTCTGCATGCAGACACTGAACTTTCCTCATAGAGGTGCATTGTTTCAATGCATTTCTATGAGGAGATGCTGATTGGCCAGGGCTGTGTTTGACCTGTGCTGGCTCTGACCCTAATCTGCCGCCTTGACAGTGACAACCAAGCATATGGGAAAGTATTGTGACTGGCTCAGACTACCACTTCTGCTGATGTCAGCCAAGCAGGCAGATCAGTGGCAGAGCCAGCAGCTGCAGACTTGAATCGAAGTAAGATTTTACTATATTTAGGGGTGTGGGCAGCAGGACTAAATGGTGATTTTAACACTATAGGGTGAGGAATACATGTTTGTGTTCCTGACCCTATAGTGTTCCTTTAATTAATAAGTTTTGGTTTCTAGACCTGGAGTCTCACTGTATAATTCTCCATCATGAGAACCCAAGTCACTTTGTTTATGCAGTCATATCCACGCCTCCCCATTGGACTATACACAGAAACCACTTCATTAAATGAAAGTTTTCATCCACTACAAAAAAGGACTATACCTGGTTTTCATATCAAAAGACAGAACAAAACAAAGACGAGCCTTATATAGAACACCGACACACAAATTAACAGGAATACCTTGTGTGTTTGATACACAATGATTGCATTCGTAGATAGCTTCTCCACAACCTGGAAGTTTTCAACGGTCGCTGAATAAATATAAAAACGAATTATAAGTCATAGACAAGTATTCCAATGGGTATCTATGATAAGCATTAAAGACTTTAAAGAAGTATAATAAGTTTAATGGCTTACTTTCCCAGTCGTTACGGACATCAACATTCCAGAAATACTGGCAGACTTCATGACCAGTGACTCCCTTCACAGAATGAGTGGCCTTCAGTGGATCTAACACAATTCCGTTTTCCTCAACTTCTCTTCTATAAACCTTTACATATACAGATAAATTATAAATCAGTTTGTAATTAAGAGGAGAATATTGGTCTTTGCTTTGCCAATAACAAAGGGGCAGACTTCCTTTTAGTGACAGTAATAACATGCCCCACGACGAAACATAAAAAATAAAAAAAATAATAATTGGGTACACATTTAGTAGGAGAAAAACAAAAACAAAACAAAAAAAAAAACACACCAAACAAAACTCCTTAACTAAATTGCGTCACACCCCTGACTCACGAACAACTCACGCACCAGAACAGGAGTAGGGGGTCCTGGAAGAGATGATTGCATTCTATTCCTACCGTATGATGCAGCCTTATTACAGTATTGGTGGAGAGGAGCGGAACAGGAGCACCCGTAGAGAATTCTCTAAACAGTATTCCCCTAGCCCTAAACCACAATCCTAAACCCTATCCCTTCTAAACCACCAACTCACAAATTTAAAGTAGACAGCTGTTCTTTCCAATGTCTACATGTATTATCTGTCAAAGTCCGGACCTGGGGAAAGCGCATACATCTTTGACTAAGCAAAGACCAAAGATAGAATGGTATATCGCTCATACCTTCATCTCGCCCTCTTCCACCACCAACTGCCAGTTGGCATCACCTCCCACATCTTGTAGCGAGTAAGTCATGTGGTTTTGTACGATCTCTTCCACCTGCACAAAAAATTAAAAAATATATATATAAATCTTCTAAGCAAAAGGTTTAAGCATAAACAGTAAATTACATTTTATTAGAGCCCTGCTTGTTGTAGTTAAATTCTTGTACTTAAAGTTATATACTTATTTTACTAAAAATACTAGCTACCTATCCAAAAAACAAAACAAAACAAAACACCACCACTGCAAAACACAACAGTGTGATTGAAATAAAGATGACATTATATAGCATGTTGGGCATGCGGGAATAGATGATGGGTTATATACTGCGTCTGAATGTGTCCTTGTTTGGGCATTATCCTTCTACACCAGTCTACAAGCTAATCCCCATAATCTGGAAAGCAAACACCAACCTCACAATTAACATTCAATTTGGTTTTATCTCCAGAATGTTATTCTATGACAATGGACACTTTATACAGCCTATTAAAATATAATTTTTACTTTTAAAATCTAAAAATTTGCTAAAGTGAATTCATCTTTAGGTAAACAGAAGTAAACAGGCAGTTTCCCTGTTTTAGAAAGATCAGCACAAGGAAGATTCCAAAACATTTAAGAAAATAGAAGGAATTGCCCTAAAACCATCGGCACTTGGTACCTTCAGGTACTAACTCTGGGAGTCAGGGACATAAAGGAGGTGTTTGAGCTGTAATCTTTGAATTCTTATAGAAACCAAATAACTGAACTTAAAGCTGTCTGGGTGTTTAATAATGGCCAACTAAAATCCCAGGACAGCCCTTTAATAACAGGGCAGCATCCAATGCAAGCAAGCCTTTCACAAGAAACACAGACATGCTCATCACCACAAACGGTTGTGTACTCAGTTTAGATTTAATGTGCAACAACTTTCTCTCCAATATAAGTCGACGTGTTATTCCAGGTTCATTTTGTCAGGTGTTAACGTTTACTAGATAAAATGAGATTTATACTTTCCTCAACGTATGCGATTTGCTGGATACAGTCCTTGGGCTTTCTGATTGCTACATATTGCAATGGACTACAGCAGGGATAGGCAACCTTCGGCACTCTAGATGTCCTGGACTACACCCCCCATTATGCTATGTCAGTGTTATGGCCGAAGTTTGCCCACTCCTGGACTACAGTAACATCGCAACACACAAATGAGGGATTTAAACTTTGATAACGACCACAACCATCAACAGCTGACATAACTAAGTTGCTTATATTCGTATCGAATTACTGGTTAGGTATTAAAATGCTGAAAGCACGCATCACTCAATGCAAGGATGCAATACCTGGCTTCTGAATCTGTGGTCATCTGAACCAGTGGCTAGATCAAAAGGACAACGAATAATAGTCTACCGCACAGAGAGAAATAGAAAAGCGTGATGGGAGAAGCACAAAAAGAAAGGATTTAAAGAGCAAGGGTACAAATGAGAATTAAACCATGAATGTAGATAGAGTGACCACCTGGGTGGATTTGAATTTAATTCTGTAAAATATTTGATCAAAACAAATGCGTGTGATCTGGTTCCAATTTATGAAATGAACACTCCAGATCCCTAAAGCACTTTATTCACACACAAAGCTTTTCAGCAAGATAGTGTATCCTCTTTATTTCATTTTGCAAAAATTCAGATTTCAATAAAAATGTATGCTTTTATAAATCAACCTGGTTGCACCCCCCTGGCTTTCAAGCAGACAGCAGGTCCTGTTACTTCCTGGTTTGGTTAGCTCAGTGGAGATAAACTCAAGACATAGCTATTGCCCAGAGCACCTGCTTTACAAAGACTTCTCATTGAGCTGCATTGGGAAGTCTGTGATTGGATAGCCACAAAGTCTGGGCGGGGTTTGAAGGGGAGGGCTTGCAAAGGCAGAACCACAACCTTTGCAAGGGGTTTATAGATACACTTCAATGAAGACACAAAGAAAACAAAAAAACAATTAAAGGGCATGCAAGTTTTCATTCAAGGTAGATCTACTAAACGTTCCTATTTATAGATTTTGTATTTGGGCAGTGGATTGTCAGTTTAAATCCAACTTGCATTAATTTTTTTTCCAGCCAATTGATGTATAGAAACATTTTATGAAATGTTGTTCAAAAGCTTCCATGATTAGCACAGTCACTGTTCTAGACACAATATTTTCCATTTTTGGACGATATACGAGATCCATTACATCCAGGTGTTGGAGATACTATGCCAATGGAGCTGAAAATCTCAATTTACAATACCTGCTTAATCTGTGACCATTTTATTTATTTTACTCCCTAAAACATAACACGATTGTTTTATTTTTGTCTCATCGGGTGGACCTGATCATAATTCCCAGGATAAAGTGATAGTAAGGTATGCTTTGTTTTTCCCTACTGGGATTTAGTATTTTTTTTTTTTTTTTTTTAAATAACCTGTCCTTGATCACTAGATAACTCTGTGCTTGGAAATTCTTACTGTGAACTTTGCCCCATCACTATGGTGTACATTTAGATTAGGCCCAATGAATGTTAAAGTAAAAGTTATTGTGAATAACCCAACATATTATTATACATATTAAATGGTCACTTCAGAAAACTGATATATTTTAGCCTCATTAATGTGCTGTGTTTTTTGCTTGCTCAAATCTTCGTTTTTGAACAAAATAAAGATTTTGAAGAATGCGGCACAATAAGCCTGCCTCCTTAGCCACACGCCGTCCTGCCAGAAAGACTTCTTATAAAATGTATGCGCGCACACACAGTCTCAGCATACATTTTATAATAAGAATGCCGAGTGAGCAGTGTGAATTCATTACCTGGCTGTCAAAAGGAAGCAACAAGTATTGATATCCTTACTAAATGCAGGGAGTTTTGTAATTCACATTATTCAATACAGTAACTGGAGCTGTGTGCATTCATTTAATAAGGAAGTCTTTTTCTGGTTTGAGTCGGTGTGGCTTAATCAAAAAAAAAAAAACAAGACAAAAAGCAGATTTATGGTACTTTATTTTATGCAAAAACTATAAAGATTTGAGCATGCAAAGAAATACAGCATATTAATGAGGTTAAAAATCTATCAAGTGCATATTCTAAATATGGAAATTCTGAAATGCATCTCTCCATCTTTAGCCTGCAATAAGAAGCAGAGAAAGATATTCAGCTCTCTAAGGCCATCTTTGCCATCCAGGCTGAACCGACAATCGATAACGAGGAAGTTTGTCTCAGCATTACCAATGAAGCTGAGAAGGGAGTGGGACTATGGGTGCCAGGAGGGCCTCCGTTTTGTCAAACATTTTTTGTAGTAAAGTTGGGGGATCCTGCTGAAAGACTCACAGCACCAGAAGTCCTACACTGAGCGGTAATAGTTATGGTGCATAGTGTGCCCCTTTAAGTTAAACTAGCAATTCATATTTCAATAATCCTAATGAATATAAAACCGAACACAACTTACCGTGCGAACAAATCTGTGAGTGCCCGCTCCGGTATAAGCATCATTTGTTGGTACAGACGATGACCAATGCGAACGCGCCTTTTCAGACTGAGACTTGAAGGAGAATGATGAATTAGTTTACATTTGCATAAGTAAACAATAAATGTATCAAACTTGGGTTAGGGTTAACAAAAACTACCATGCTCTGCGCAATTCAGTTATTTACATTAAAGGCTTTCAGAATTTACCCACGTATATGAAGTTATATAATCTCATTGACTATGTCACAGGATACAGAGACTGTGCACTTGTAACTGCTAAGACATATTGAGAGCTCCTGTATAAATAGGATTCAACGGGTACCTGCTCAATTTTATCCTGCCGATCCAAAGCGGCTTCAACAGCATCAAAGAATTCCTCTTCATTGATCAGGCTATTGGGCCCTTCCTGTCACATAAAAACACACAAAATGTAAAAAACAAACATCCTGAGAATGCTGAACATTTAAATGTAATCATAGTTTTGATAAGGTTTCACAAAAACATTTTAAAAATGACTCCAGGTTTAAATAAGTTAGATGCACTGTGTAGGTTAGGTTACAGTTAGTTATACCGGGTGGGTTTATATTATTAAAGGGACACTCCAGGCTCCCACACACGTTAGATGCACTGTGTAGCTTAGGTTACAGTTATACTGGGTGGGTTTATATTATTAAAGGGTCACTCCAGGCTCCCACACACGTTAGATGCACTGTGTAGGTTAGGTTACAGTTATACTGGGTGGGTTTATATTATTAAAGGGTCACTCCAGGTTCCCACACACGTTAGATGCACTGTGTAGGTTAGGTTACAGTTAGTTATACTGGGTGGGTTTATATTATTAAAGGGATAATCCAGGCACCCACACACGTTAGGTGCACTGTGTAGGTTAGGTTACAGTTATACTGGGTGGGTTTATATTATTAAAGGTACACACACACACACACACACACACTGTATGTTAAAACCTAAAACACGATTTATGGGGCTCCCTCCCACCCGGCTGCCTTTGCCATGTGTATACAAAAACATAGCGGCACTCAAGACCATTTTGAGGTGACAGTTCTCCAATATAATCATCTTTTCATCAAGTTTTGAAACTAAATATACTTAATTTAAAATAAATAAAGTTAAAAAATATCTCATCCATACCGTTCGTATATAGCAGGTTACTTCAGCCATATACATACACCTCCGGTCAGCCAGTGTTTGAAAACCGACAGTTAGTCTCTATAGTCTTCCTGTTGGTGTGCTGGGAGTGAAGCACGAAATACCATAGAGACTAACTTGATGAAAGATTATTATTAATATTAATAATAATAATAATAATAATAATAATAATAATATTGTGCCAACAGATTCCGTAGCGCTTTACAATATTATGAGAGGGGATTTAACTATAAATAGGACAATTACAACTAAACTTACAGGAACAATAGGTAGAAGAGGACCCTGCTCAATCGAGCTTACATTCTAAAGATTACACCGTATACATAACGTACACAGCTTAACTACAACTCCCAGAAACCATTGCTGTGCTGATAAAGTACTGTTAGCTGTATTATAGAAAGCTAAATGAATATCTTTAGTCAGAGTTTTGAGTCGAGCTTTTGAATTCAAAGAAAGCAAATATTGGACTGAACTGAGAAAGTTACGTGGAGCCGAAATAATGGCATTTAGTGACATTACCAGGGGTAACATGCTACTTGGTAAAGTATTCTGTGTATCATTATGGATTTGAGTGTCTTCACTGGAAGCAGATTTTGGCCAAAGTATTTCTAATATTTACTGCTGATTGACACTTGTGCACCGACCCCCCTATAAATGCTCATTTATTCAGTGCACAGGACTTACAACAGTAAATTTTAATTTAGTGCCTTCCCAACCCCTTTTGTCACACAGATAGATGCAGAATGGCCTTCACATGGAGCATAACCTGTGCATGCATTAGCCAAATCAGAAAACCAGAAGATTGAAACATTAATCCATGCTTAGGACAGAATAAAACCCCCAGAAAATGGAAATGTGCTGGTTAAATGTCATGGATCTCACACTTCTAAACTACATTAAAAAGCTGCTCACCTTGATTTACTTTGAGGACATTTTTAACAAGCAAAAATAGTTGGCATTTTCTAAAACAAGTTTTATTTCACCATAACAAACAGCACTCACTCCTTGCGTAGTTAGAAATGATTAGGAAATTGCAGAGATTTCAGTTCTTTACAGGATGGTTAGTTAAATCTACACTACAGCACTAGCTATGGACTCATTCCCAGAACACTGGGTTTACAATGCTTTACACTCAGCTGATTGTACGGAGAGGATTTTAGGATTCTATAAAACAAAGCCAGCCCGAGTTTACATTTCTTCCCCAGGCAACCGATATAGAAATGTCCGAGTCAAACATGGAGACAAGAAATCTATTAATATGAAATGGAGAACGCTGGTGGAAGAGAATGGGGTAAAAGAACAAACCAAAACCACAGTCTTACAGGAAGCATACAAAATGCAGAAAAGCCTCAAGAGACGATCCAATGCAATCATGACAAGTACAGGCAGTGACTGATTTACTCTAATGAAGTGAATTATTCATTCCAACACTTAACGTTTACCATGGAACATAAACAAATAGCACTTGCCTAATCAGGCACGAAGTCGGAGCACTAATTCACTTCCTGAACGGGAATTCCAGACACTATACAATTTAAACACAGATGGAGCTTCCAACTCATGTTCTTGCTCTAGTCCAGCATACATCCAATAAAGCTTAAGTCTTCAGCTCTCTCCAAAGTGCTTTCAAAAAAACTTAAGACCTTTTGGCTACTTCCATTTCAAAATTGACAAAAGGAGTGCCATTTTAGAGGTAAAGATCGAAGAGAACTAAGATCATGGGGAAAGAAGAACAAGTGGGGAACGTGGGGAACGAAGAACAAGTGGGGAACGAAGAACAAGTGGGGAAGAAGAACAAGTGGGGGGAAGAAGAACAAGTGGGGGAAGAAGAACAAGTGGGGGAGGGGAAGAAGAACAAGTGGGGAAGAAGAACAAGGGAAGAACAAGTGGGGAAGAAGAACAAGTGGGGGGAGAGGGGGAGAGGGAATTTAATCTTACAACAAATCCACTAAGCAAATGTTTATAAATTTAGGGGTATCAGCTGTTTCCACAGTTTTTTGGTGTTTACTCTGATGTCTGTATTAATAGAGGGATTTCTAAGTAGTAACATCAGTGTGTGTCAGCAGGGCCAGCCGTTGGGGTGTGCACGCTGTGCGGTCACGCGGGGTGCCATGACAACAGATGCGCCCGGCGGCCAACACAACTCACAAGTTGGGTACACCAGCATATTCAATTTAAACGATTCGCTGGTGGTCCACTGGTGCGCACCAGCAGTAGGTGCAGTCAGATTATATCCTCTCCCTCGTGGTTCCGGCGCTCAGTTAGTGAGTCAGAGCACAGGCTCAGAGATTCTCAGCCTGCGCTCTGACAACATTGAAAGTCAGAGCCGTGAAGGAGCGGGTATGGCAAAGAGCTACTGATTAGCATAACATCAATATCCGTTTTAAAACCAGGAAAAGGTGGGCATGGATGGTGAACTGATTTGGTGGTGCAATGGGCCACTTGACTGGTTTTGCCCCCCAGGCCTAAGGCTGCCAGCACTCCCCTGCCTGTAGTCTATAATAACCTATTATTCCCTTTACTTTCTGGGTTCTACACTAACTCCACCAATCTTAGGGATATGAAAATGACATATGGTGAAGCGACTGGGTCATGTGACCGACAGAATGCAGACAGAGGACAAGGCCTGGGATGGGTGCTCTGTGCTACCTGTGGAGCCAGAGATTCATGATTTTTACTTTGTAAAACTTTTTTTAATATTGGTATACTAAATATCCCTCTCCCATATTAGTCTAAAATTTGACATTTACTTTGAGTTCTTGAAAAGTGAACCCGAAGAGTATTATCAGACGTTCATGAATTCCTGCTCCGGTTATCAAAGCAGGGAATGGAACAATTGCCAGAAATACATGTATTCTTTGAAGACTTTGGACAATATTCACCAGTACATCCTCACACATTAAAGTGGAAGACTGATTAGTTTTAGTCCTTTGGCTAGGCTTAAGCTAGTTAACTGTTTAGTAGCCGTCGACACCACCATGAATGGACAAGATACGTATGCAGTTATTCAACACATTTGTGTGCATCCAAATAAAATAAAAAGGTATACATGGTTAAAAAAAAAAAAGATAAAAAGACTGACCTCATAATCAGGTCCTCCAAAGTGTGCTTTCTTCTTCAGTTCACTCATTGCATTCTTGTAAGCCTCCTCCACCCGCCTTCTCTTTTCTACTTCCTAAAAAACAAACATGTAAAGCTTACTGCACTGGTCTTCACAAGTAGTTGAGCATCCACGTGTAGCTATACATTTGTTAACTTAACTTAATGGAGAGAAGTCATGTACACAGTAAGTTCATGGACTATGATCTGGACCACCGTTTTGGAAAGTGAATAAGTCCCACCCAAGCTCCCCTAATAACAGGTTCACAGACAGCCTTACAAATGTTAATTTAGGGCCAACAATCCTGCTCTTATGAAGGTAAATTGAAAAAAATGTATTGTTATAAGGAGGAGATTCTTCAGTAGTTCCAATATACGAGGATAATAACTGGACAGATTTGTTCCACATGTTTATGTTTTGACACCTGACTACAAGTTATTAAAGGTTCTGAGCAGCTTAGGATTGTCAGCTCCAAAACCATCTACCCCCAAAACTGGTAGCCTTTAAAAATCTAAGTTTGGAGCATTCTGTTATGTGATGGCAACCATAAGTTCTATGTGGCCTTAACCCCTTAAGGACACATGACATGTGTGACATGTCATGATTCCATTTTATTCCAGACGTTTGGTCCTTAAGGGGTTAAAGCCTCTCAATACAAGTATTGAATATCCTAGTGCTGCTCTTAGTACATATAGTCAGAAACTATTTATATTTGCTTTAGAATCCCCTTTGTAGGTTTCCACCCCCAACAAAAAAAACAAAACCCCACATACAATACAAAAAAAGATGTACAGACATTGCAGAGCACGCATGGTTGTAGAACCACCTGATTTAATTAATTTGTGCCCCATTTGTGTATTAGGAAGCCAAGCTAGAATCTCAAGCTGACCAGAGATTGTGAACTTTTAGAAGAAATAACTAGCATTTCCATTTACCTTAGTTACTTCCAGTATGTTTAGAAGGTATCCGTTAATTTTTTACAGATAAAATAAATTACAATATAGTCTATTAAACTAGGATGCTCCACTGATAAGGATATTCTTAATTAAATCTATTCCAAAAATCATTAAAATAATTCACTTTAATATGGTTTTTATTTTACATGCCAATCTTCATAATTAAAGGGACACTATAGTCACCAGAACTACAGCCTAATGTAGCTGTTCTAGTGAGTATAGTCAATAATGTAGGCATTTTCTGGTATTTCTCTTTTCCCCACCCCCCCACAAAGAAAAGGCAGTGTTTACATTACAGCCTAGGGATACCTTCAGTGGCCTCTCCTCAGATGACTACTAGAGGTGCTTCCTGGGTCAGTGCTGCGCATTGTGCAGCACTAACACTAAGTGCCTCCACACTCTGCATAGAGACATTGATCTTTTCCCCACGGACCTTAATTTAATGCATCTCTATGAGGAGTTGCAGATTGTCCAGGGTGGAGTTTGGCTCCATCCCCCAACATGCCTCCTTGGTAGAGATCAGACTTTACAATCTCAGCCAATCCAATGTTTTCCACTGGGAAAACATTGTAATTGCATGAGAATCATTTTTATGTCAGCCAAGCAGGTAGCTCAGGGGCAAAACCAGCAGACTGGAATAAAGGTAAGCTTTTACTATATTTAGAAGGGCAAGAGAAGGGGCAGGGGCGGCTAGAGTTTTTAACACTATAGGGTCATGAATGGAGGTTTGTTAGTATTCCTTTAACCCCTTAAGGACACATGACATGTGTGACATGTCATGATTCCCTTTTATTCCAGAAGTTTGGTCCTTAAGGGGTTACGTTAATAACTGAACTGCTCTGCATGAATGTGGTGACCAATCCAACATCCCTAAAATGTCTAACCCAGAAATACCCAGACTACTAAAAAAAGTCAGACTTTTTCTTCTAGGTGAAGATTACCTGTGGCCTTCATGGGACTGCATGTCCCATGATATACAGGTAGCTAACCTGTGTGACTGTTATAACCAGAAGATCAGAGGTTCTCCACTACCATAGTGCAAAATCCATTTGTTTTATCAGAGTCTCCTCAACAAGAAGCGTGACAACACCCTAAAGGTTTGTGAGTAACATCTTGTACGATGCGAAGCCAGCAGAAAGAAGCCATATCAATTTAACTTGCAGGGTTATAGAGCGAGTCTGGGCACCCAGTGATACACAATAGCAAACTACAGTTCTTGTTGCAGAAATAAAGTACTTTTTTTGAATCATACCTAGTGTGCCCAGGCTTGCTCGGCCAATGAGCTTGCTGGGAAGGAGGGACGTTTATATTTCCTTGGTGGGAAGGAGGGACGTTTAATTATTATTAGAAAGTGTGTGCGTTTCCATTTTGGCTTACAAAATGTAACTTGTTGAGTGACACGCTGCCAGGTCACAAAAACAAAAAACACCTCACAATTTGAAAGACAAACAGGGCTATTCACTAAACGGTGAACATAACCTAAAACAAAAAAAAAAGGGAAACATAGAATGGGATGTCAGGTACGAACCATTCGGCCCATTTAGTCTTCCTCAATACTTTCATTAGTCCCTGGCCTTATCTTCGATCTATGATAGCCTTATGCCTATCCCACGCATGCTTAAACTCCTTTACTGTGTTAACCTCTACCACTTCAGCTGGAAGGCTATTCCATGCATCCACTACCCTCTCAGTAAAGTAATACTTGTGGCAATAATGGCAACTGATAGTGTAGATTTAGTCGCTGTTACTGAAACATGGTATAATGAGAAAAATGACTGGGACATAGCAATACCAGGGCACTCTTTATATAGGAAAGATAAGGAAGGCAAGAAAGGGGGAGGGGTGGCCTTGTATGTGAAGGACAGCATAAAATCTAGCCTAATAAAAGTTAGTGAGGCAAACAGAGTCCGTTTGGGTTACATTAGAATTTGGTAATCACACAGTAACTCATGTAGGTGTGATTTATAGGCCCCCAGGACAAATTGAAGAGTTAGATAATCTACTAGTTGAGGAAATAGCTAAAATGACAATGAAGGGGGAAGTTATCATCATGGGTGACTTTAATCTTCCTGATGTAAATTGGAAAACATAATTAGCTACTTGTGCCAGGAGCACACATATTCTAAACTCCCTACTGGGATTGTCTCTAAAACAAGTTGTTGAGGAGCCAACTTGTAAAGAGGCCATACTAGATTTAGTGTTAACAAATGGAGATTTTGTATCAGATATTACTGTAGGTGAAAGTTTAGGATCCAGTGATCATCAGTCAGTGTGGTTTAATATAAGAACAGTGACTGAGTCACACCACACAAAAACAAAAGTTTTAGACTTTAGAAAAACAGACTTTTCTAAAATTAGAATATGGGTAGAGGAGTCATTATCAGACTGGAGCAATTTAAATGGAGTCCAAGAGAAATAGGATTATTTAAAAGTTGCACTATTGAAGGCAACAGAAAATTGCATTAGGCTTGTCAGTAAAAGCAAAAAATTAAAGAAACCACTGTGGTATTCTGCAGATGTGGCCAAAATAGTTAAAAACAAAAAGTTAGCATTCAGGAATTATAAAAAAAAAAAAACCAGAGTGAGGAAGACAAAATGATCTATAAGAGTAGGCAGAAAGAGGCTAAGCAAGTTATAAGAGCTTCCAAATCACACACAGAAGAGAAAATAGCACAGTCAGTAAAAAAGGGGAATACAACATTTTTTAGATACATAAATGAGAAAAGAAAAGTAAAACAAAGATTAGTTAGATTAAAAACAAAAAGGAAAGAAGGTATGTAGAAGAGGATAAAGGTCTAGCTGACTGCCTCAATGAATATTTTTGTTCTGTAAATACAGATGAAAATGAATGAAAGGGACCTCAGTTGAGAAAAAGGATAAATGAGTCATTTATTACACGTGAGTTTACAGAGGAAGAGGTTCTATTTCAACTGTCAAAAGTAAAGACAAATAAGTCAATGGGACCTGATGGAATACACCCAAAGCTATTAAAAGAGCTTAGTGGTGTACTAGCAAAACCATTAACAGATTTATTTAACCAATCATTGTTAACAGGAGTAGTCCCAGAAGATTGGAAGTTAGCGAATGTTGTGCCCATTTACAAGAAAGGTAATAGGGAGGAGTCGGGCAACTATAGGCCAGTAAGCCTTACTTCAGTAGTGGGGAAAGTGATGGAAACCATGTTAAAGGATAGGATTGTTGAACATCTAAAAACACATGGATTTCAAGATCAGAGACAACATGGGTTTACTTCAGGGAGATCATGCCAAACTAATCTTATTGATTTTTTTGATTGGGTAACTAAAATTATAGATCAGGGTGGTGCAGTAGACATTGCTTACCTAGATTTCAGTAAGGCTTTTGACACTGTTGCACATAGAAGGCTTATCAATAAACTGCAATCTTTAAGTTTGGATTCAAATATTGTTGAATGGGTAAGGCAGTGGCTGAGTGACAGGCAACAGAGGGTTGTAGTTAATGGAATATATTCGAAGCTTGGACTTGTCACCAGTGGGGTACCTCGGGGATCTGTACCCATTCTCTTTAATATTTTTATTAGTGATATTGCAGAAGGTCTTGATGGTAATGTATGTCTTTTTGCTGATGATACCAAGATATGTAACAGGGTTGATGTTCCAGGAGGGATAAGCCAAATGACAAATGATTTAGGTAAACTAGAAAAATGGTCAGAATTGTGGCAACTGACATTTAATGTGGATAAGTGCAAGATAATGCATCTTGGACGTAAAAACCCAAGGGCAGAGTACAGAATATTTGATAGAGTCCTAACCTCAACATATGAGGAAAGGGATTTAGGGTTGATTATTTCTGATGACTTAAAGGTAGGCAGACAATGTAATAGAGCAGCAGGAAATGCTAGCAGAATGCTTGGTTGTATAGGGAGAGGTATTAGCAGTAGAAAGAGGGAAGTGCTCATGCCATTGTACAGAACACTGGTGAGACCTCACTTGGAGTATTGTACACAGTACTGGAGACCGTATCTTCAGAAGGATATTGATACCTTAGAGAGGGTTCAGAGAAGGGCTACTAAACTGGTTAATGGATTGCGGGATAAAACTTACCAGGAAAGGTTAAAGGATCTTAACATGTATAGCTTGGAGGAAAGACGAGACAGGGGGGATATGATAGAAACATTTAAATATATAAAGGGAATCAATACAGTAAAGGAGGAGACTATATTTAAAAGAAGAAAAACTACCACAACAAGAGGACATAGTCTTAAATTAGAGGGACAAAGGTTTAAAAATAATATCAGGAAGTATTACTTTACTGAGAGGGTAGTGGATGCATGGAATAGCCTTCCAGCTGAAGTGGTAGAGGTTAACACAGTAAAGGAGTTTAAGCATGCGTGGGATAGGCATAAGGCTATCCTAACTATAAGGTAAGGCCAGGGACTAAAGAAAGTATTTAGAAAATTGGGCAGACTAGATGGGCCGAATGGTTCTTATCTGCCGTCACATTCTATGTTTCTATGTTTCCTGATATTTTTAAACCTTTGCCCCTCTAATTTAAGTATCTCTTGTCCTCTTGTTGTGGTAGTTTTTCCTTCTTTTAAATATATAGTCTCCTTCCTTTATTGTGTCAATTCCCTTTATGTATTTAAAGGTTTCTAGAATAGCTTTTATAACTATTACACTGAATAAGGCTGACATATTAATAAAGGTGCAGGCTTTAAATCAACAAATCTTACCTTTTTTCCCCACCTCCTGTATACCTCAGACTACCTCCAGAGTCTCTCCAAAATATCTCCATGTACACTTGGTAGCAGCAGCCAAGCTAAATTCTACAACTCTTACATAAAACTCCTCAATGCACCACCCCTAGGAATGGTTAGAACCTGAGTGAGCCTATGTCTCTTAAGAAACAATAGCAATTAGCAAACCACTAATTATTCAAATCAGATGCCTTACCAATTAGGAACAGGAAATCAAACCTTGTACAATCAAAAAAAACATTTCCAAGAGGTAACGCTTACTTGTAACCGTAAAAAAGAAAGATCTCAGACAGTTGAATCAAATCACTCTCCAGAATATCTCCAAGTACACTTTGTAGCAGCAGCCAAGCCCTCCAGCTCAGGCATAATCACCGCTATTTTCGCGGCAGTTCTCATTCAGAGTTTTGTGAAAAACCCGGGTAATGTAAAAAATAAAATAAAAAATAAAACACAAACCAGGAAATTTTTACATGTGTAAAAACAGACCGAATAAAAGTTTAGAAATATCCATTATGTCCGTCTGATATTACACAAGAGCACTGCCTACGTCCCTGGGGTTGCAGTATCCCATTTACAGTAAAGCTCTGCCATTGCGGTGTGTACGGATAGAACCATGGGTTTGGAGCAAGCCACCAAGGAACAGGTCACTGCAGTTATAAAATGCAAGGCGATCCTACCTTGTCTAATCTTTTTTGCCAGCTGTCCTCTCGCTTCACCATTAGCTCAATGCAGTGCGATAATGTGGCGAGAATGCCCGCTGTGGTTGCTTTGAAGGTAATGGCTTCTCCTTTAAAATCAATACCATTTATCCCCTTGGGATTCACATGCGGGAACACTAAAAACAGAAGGCTTTGTTACAACATGAAAATAGCTGCACTGCATAATTCTTAAAGTCTGAAATTTACACTGATAAAATACTGAAAATCACCTATGACGTGTGAACCTTCTATTTTATCTTAAATGTATATTAAAGAATTAGCAATTGCCTGGCACCGTGAAGGCACACATTGCACTGCAGGAGAAAAACATTTAGAGAGCGTATTAACTCCCTACAAGACTGAGACAAGATGGAGGAACCCAGTCCCAGGACAGAGCTAAATAAAACTGGATTTATACATTTAATTTGAATTGTCAGCATTCACAAATATAGATTGGTTACATATAGGGGATAAAAGGAATATTCAAAATCCTGTTTAAAAACTTAGCATTACTACAGCTATATACATGGCTGTAAATCCACAGGAAGTAATGAAGGCAACTTCGGATGTTTGCAAATAATATGTACCATTTGTCTAAAGACAAGATGAGCACAATGGAAAATGTACTTTACAATCATCTGCAAAGCCACATTTTGCCATTAGCAACACAGGAAGTAAATCCATCTTTGTAACATGCAACAGTACTGTAATGGAATCTAAATTAAATACAGGAATATCACTTACATTTCTCTTTATTGCCATTACTGGTGTGAATGTATTCTCCATCAGCGTGATTAGGAAGAAAATCTTCGTCCTCATCTTCAACCACTAAAAACGAGGAACAGAAACGATTTAGAGTAAATATCTGGCTTGGGCTCAAAACCTCTACACCACGTTCAAATTGTCATACAGTGCAAATGAAAGGTTCATCACGGAGGTGGACCAGCATGCTGAATAGCAGTGATCCAACCACAAGACAATCCAGCCACTCTGCAGCAGCCAGTTTCCACTAATCATCACAAACTCTTTTTGTTTAACCCCTTAAGGACTAAACTTCTGGAATAAAAGGGAATCATGACATGTCAGACATGTCATGTGTCCTTAAGGGGTTAATGATAATTACCACACCACTTAGTTAATGTCAGACACATTTTTATTACGTAGCTTGAGCACTTGGGGTAATGAAGCAATAGTAGTGAAACTAGGAGATTCATAAACAGCATACGAATTATATTTCATGGACAATCGAGGGCTAAGTTCTTGTGCCCACAAATCTAGAAAAGGTCACGTAAATGTGAGGTCCTCGACCGATAAGACGGCACTGTAAAATTTCGACTGAAAAATTCTGACATACCATTCTCTAGTCAATTCTTGGCTTGAGATAGAGGGTAATAAAAATCTGCATTAAAACACCATACTTCCACCTACACTAAATCCCTCATTTCTCCCTTACTGAAAGAGGCTGCTTGTAAATCAACCCTGGTAGCATGCCTCCTTCAAGATTGCTGGTGTTCATTGAAGCTTTCCCTGCCCATAAGGGAGACTTTGTTTTGCCATAACCTCAGAGGATGTACACCTTTCTCTTGGCTTAACATCGCAGGCTTGAACATTTTCCTAGCCAGCAGCAAATAAAACTATTCATGGCAGTCATTTCTACTGGCCTATGGGTGTGAATAAGAATGATCGCTGCCAGGCGAATTGGGGGAGCAATCATTAAATACCTTTATCTCGTTCAAGCTCATCTTTACAGAGTGCATCGGCACACGCATCAAAATACTTCTGCAGCGTGTCAACTTGTCTACACAGGATGTCGCGAAAGGTCTCCATCTCTGCGAGTTTCTCCCGCAAGCTGTGTCCCTTCTGCAAACAGAACATTAGAAAGTCAGAATAGTTTCACATTTCTACCATAAACTAAAACCTTTACTTTCTCACACACAATCTCTCACACACACAAGTACAAGTACAATGTAAATATGGCCTCTGCAGGTACAGTCTGGTCCCTTAAACAAAGCCTGCTGCGTCATTCATTGCGGAAGCAATCTTTGATACAAACTCAAGAGACCATGATGATTACCTAAAAAACAAGGCAGCCCCATTAGAGGATGCAGCTAGTGACAGGAGTAGCCTGCATGCCTCATTCACACAATACAGATCTATTCCTTAAACTGTTAATTGGTGACGACGGAGACAAGTGAATGCCAAAGTTTAAGGTAAAATAGCCAAAGGGGTAATCTTTTCTAATTTGTCTTCCTCACTTACCTTAGAAGAGTGGGATAATTTTTTATTTTTTATTTTTTTTTATTTATATCTGGCAGTTCAGTCCTTAAAGGGACAGCTTAATGTAGTTCTGGTGTCTATATCCTGTCTAGGCAGGCATTTTAATTTAAATACTGCCTTTGCAGATATAAGCCAGTGTTTACATTACTGCCTAGTAACATATCTAGTGGCAGCTTGGCACGGCACCACGTTTTGCCACACATGCGCAACAGTGGGAAAGCACTGGATTTGGCTGAGATAGTCAATTCTAATGATCTCAGCCTGTGAGATGGAGGCAGTGTGAGTTTTGTACTTCTTATTTAAGGGAAGCAAGGGTGGGCCAGCCAACTAACTTTTAAAAAAAAAAAAAATTCTATATGCCTGCTCCTAAGGACTGGACCAGTTTATTTGTCCTGATTGATGACCTGTGTAGAGAATGCACATCTAGGCTAGCTTTTGGCACTGCCCCTGTTTGAGACAGGAATTTGGGTGATGCTCAGGAAGACCAATAACTTAGTATCATCAGTGTGCAGTAAAGTGCCAAAGATTAGCCACGACTGAGGAGAGAGCAAAACATGTGCCATCTGAAGCCCTTTGCTGGGAATTCTACCAATCTAAGTTTGCAGACACACACAAGTTTGAGTGTAAATATAAAATGTGAATCAAACTCACCTTAAACGAGGACGTGGACGTAGCGGAGTAGCCACTTGCCCCAGAGACCAGGGACACCATTGAGCCATGCCGCCGAAGACTTGACTCCGATCCATAACCAGATTCAGACTACAAGCAATGGAAAAAGAGACAGTGAGCATTTCTACTTTGAAGTGAAGGCTATTAAATACATGAAGAAATCCATAATTTGTACTAAATGTACAAGTAACAAGAACATCACCTACCTGAATTATTCTAGCTGAAGTAATGCTAGAAAAGCTGAATGTACTTTATGAACGTTTACATTCAATTTGCAAAGTACAAAGATTAATGCTTTTGTTTGAATACTGTTAAACGTAAAAATAGATGTTATAAATAAAAACACATTTGATAAGAGTTGGTGATCCCTTCAACAAATGGCAATAATAACACAGGTAAAGTCCACAACCGCACAATTCAAAACAGAACGAAAACAGATGCAGATTGTTAGTTGCGGCTTGCATAACATCCAACATAGAAGAAGTAATATTGCTTGCTTGGGGGGCCCAAAATTGTCAACAGGCTCCCTTAAAAATTTGGACCAAAAAAAAAAAAAAAGCTATTTGTTACAATTTCTGTGGGGGTAGATGCAGATGTAGGGTGAGCAGCCCCCCCCGCCAAGCAAATGTTGTTAATACAGCTTCTTCCATGATTGTTCTGCAGCAAACAATTAATCTAACCCAACAATTTGCATTTGTTTTGCAAGATGTCAGTAAAGCCAGTTTCCGACACTGGCACCTGCTAGCTGCAGGTACTGGGAGTTAAGACAGCAGGCAACATGCAGGAGGCTGCCTGGTACCAAAAGGAATCCAGGGGTCAGGTTTCAGCGATTCGCTGGGATCAGCCACTGATGTCACTTCTAGAATAAGAAAATTAGGCAAAGAAGAACAGCAGGGATATGCTGTAAGCCATGTCCTTACCATCACCCAACTGCTCACTGACCTGCCATTCAACCCTCCACTGCATGAAAAACAGACTAATTCTCTACTGGAACACTCACCCCCAAAATTCTAAAATATGTCGGGAGACAGCCGACAGCTACCCAAAATAGAGCATTATCTTAAGATTGGAGGGGGGAAAAAAAAGAAATGAAAACTACAAACATGCGAGGGGCTAGCTGCAGAGTATAATAAATACACATTCCTTGGTACAAGCTATTAGAACAAGAGATAAAATTAGGAAGTGTAATTGGGATCTGCTCTTTAGAAATGTAACAATGTGTTCATTTTCCCAAATCCCGTAGATGATATCAAGAACGTATTTAATAATAAACACAAAAATGCACACAAATCAAAACACACACGAAGTAAGCTTATTGACATTAACCATTATGTTCATTTTAGCATTAAACAAGTTGTTCCAGGGTTATCACTTATACACTAAGCAAAATCCTAAAACTAAACCCCAAACCACTGCTGTAGGATGTAATGAATACACCGGACAGACAGACCGACACATTTTTATTACATCGTAAAAGTTAAGAGTAAGAGAATGCACCTCATCAAGTCATGAACTTTACATTAAAGCCATGATTTTGTTCTGGCTATCCATTTGTACCAAACAGCAGGTTTCACATACAGGACGAGCACACATTGATTACAAAGCAGCAATGTGCAAGGACGCCAAACCATAGCTTTAATATTGGTAAATAAGCATTTCTATCTGTAGTATACTAAAAATCAGGCACACAAACGATCTTTCACGCTTAAAGTATTTCTGAATTCTGTCAACTCCAAGTATGTGATTCCAGTGGTTTGTTTTGTATATAAACCTATAGGATAGATTGAGTCAGTAATACAGTCATCCAGCCAGTGTTAACCCAATAACAGTAAAACATGCAGCTGGACACACAGACATGAACTGGTTAACACCCAGCATACAGCTCTGGCACTGACAGGGTAAATGCTGCAGTTAGCAGAGCTCTCTCTGTGCAATGCACTTATGGTTTGCAGAAAAACCATCAGCAATTCCTGGCTGAAAATTCTCTTGTAAAACCATTTGATCAATTCTGAAAGCTAGGCTCTGCCAGAATAGCACCGCCAACATTAACGCTTTAAATGCCAGGAGAACGGACGAATATCTCCAGCCACCACAAAGCTGCGTCTAGCGACTGGCCAGGTCAGATGATTTGCGTGGGGACCCTGCGCACAGCCAGCAGTTACCTGGCCTGCGACTAATAGGACAGATAGCTTTTAAATAGATTCATCGGGATTCTGCAAATTGCGTTGCCCACAGTCTAAAACCTGCTCCACTGAGTCACCTTCTCCAGTACTTTCGACGTCCACGCACGATCCATTTTTCCTCTTCTCCTTTAGGAAGAGCAGATGCACACGAGACCCACCCAACCTCTTCTAGTGTTCAGCAAAGGAAGTCTGCTTGTCCAGACAGTGACAGCGAGAGCATGGAGAATGCTCACAGCTTGCTGTTTGCTGTTATTGACCCTGTTCCGCTACCTGGCAAATTACAGGATGATGGGAATGAAATAATCTTTTCAGACACTATTTCTGCTACAACATGAGGGAGCATGAAGTCTGCCCATGTTAAACCTTTTTAAACGTGCTCTTTTCTCCATGTAATCCAAAAATAAAACACTGTTAACTGCAGCCTAGAGAGTGTTAGTTTAGCATTTTTTCCCCATGCACCTTCCCTAGCTCCACTATGGGAACCACGGATTCAACCTACCCCTCTAGGATCTCAATACAGAGAAGGCAGGGGAACCACGGCTTTCAGGACACAGATTCCATCAGAGCTCCACATACTCCCTAATAATACCTACATGTAAAAGAACAATCCAATAAAAAGGTATTACAAGATACCAATTTTAATTAACAGAATTTTGGAATGAAAAGCTTTCGGGATCGAGAGAAAATTCAAAGTATCAGAACTTAACTTTGAATTCAGTGTCTTTTTTGCTCACAAATGCTATATGGATTTGGGAAAGGGAAGCCCTCATTACAAAATTCTGCTAGTCCAATAAAAAGGATATTACAAGATGCACATTTTATCTTTTAATTTAGATCTGCATCACAGGATTAATACAGCTACAATCTGTACACCAATCTGTAGAAAGACATCGTGATGGCAGCAGGTAAAACATATTAACAGTCCCATGGGACAATACAGATAAAGCGCCAACAGCACACGTATACCCTGACATGTAAAATCCCCAGGTATCCCTGGTCTTCTATAAATAGGCAGCTGTTAATAGAGTGTATCTGTACAATCTCACAGTAAGAAACATCATAACAACCCCCATTATGCCATTATCACTGCAAGAAGCATGTGTTGCCTGGACTTGCCACTAGAGGGAGCAACAAGTGTCACAGGATAGGAGCCATGCCCTCCCAATCCAGCAGTGCTAAAGCAATGTAATTTAACAGCTGCTCAGCTCGCCACACCCTGAGAACGAGAGCCAAAAGGCAGGCACGCACTGCAGTCCGTGTGTCAGCATGTTATATGCAGACCAAGGAAGAAAGACCATCACGCAATACAGTGGGTGGCCATGTCTGCGCAATCCTAGCATTTTCACCTTAATGACCTGGACAGGTTCTCCCAGATACCCGCAGCAGTTACGCACTACCCTGCAGTAAGATGGCAGAAACTAGAAGTCTCAGAGCTGAAGGTTTCCCTGCTCCACGTGACTTTCAATCAATAAGATATAAAAAGTTATTTAAAAATGGGCCTTACCAAACAGCAGCAGATACATACTTATTTTGCCAACCAAAAAAAAAAAAAGAAGCTTTACAGTGTACATTAGAAATATGAACCTTATTGCATCATTAGTATTTATAATAATTGGCAAAAACGCTGTACAACACAGTTCATCACAAAATTCTGCAGATGGACAAATGTGAATGGGGACATTAAAACCCTGTTAAAGACAAATATGACCTTTACACGCTGAACAAATTCTATATTGTCCCCTTACTAAAGGCATGCAGAAAATCCCTTATGTTAAAAAAAAAACCTAAAAAAAAACCTTAAAAAAACTAAAAATACAACACTAGAGGGAGCGAGAGTCGAGGCTGACCGTCACACAGTACAGGTTATTAAAGGTCAAAGAACGAAAGTAAACTCATGCAAAAACCAGTCACATACAACAGAACGGCCAGGTCAAATGGTTAGATTATTGGTATTTATATCACACCAACTAATTCCGCAGCGCTTTACGATATTAGATTATTATGTGTTTTAAGTACCCCAGGAAATGTTGTATTCTTAAAAAAAAAATATTCTGAATTATACACCAAGATTGCATTAACACAAATTACAAAAATATTCAAATTGTGCATTTGCCAAAATACAGTCTTTGATGAATGCAATCATTACCAAAATAAAGTGAAAATATTAAACAGTGCTTATCACTGAAAAAGAAACCCATTATGTCCTACTTACACTAACCCAACCCCAGATCTCCCTTCCAAATCTGTTACAAGAAATAACCAGTTACAGGAAACACTCAGATTACAAATTGAATGTCACCGAAACACAAGCCATGAGAGTGGGAATCCTGGGCCACACACTGGAGGAGCTCCTGCAGAATTCCTTCACCCTAGATTGAAGGAAGGACTAGATCTCCTTCCCGGGGGGGGGGGGCAGTCAATCTTTCCAAGAACCATATAGACTTACTCGCAGCTAATTACCACCCACTATTGTGGGACCTGACTGATACCAAAAGAGGATGGGAAGGCACGTTTTTATCCTGGCTGGGTGGACTGGCAGCGGTTAAGATGATCTTATTACTGAAGTTCCAATATCTAGTTAGGACACTGCAAATCCACCTACCGAAAACTTATCTAGACAAACTGCAGAAGCCCTTTATGGGCTTTATATGGGCCCATCATAAAGTTAGAGTGGCGACCAAGGTTCTATGCAAACATCTGGCGAAGGGGGGGGGGGGCTTGGGTTTGCCTGATTTCCGACAATACTTTAGAGCAGCCATCCTTGCCACTGTGGTTCAGACTCATGTAACGACCGCCATGCCACAATGAGTAGAGATGGAATCCTCTTGGACATGTCCTAGAGGTCTAAAATACCTATTCTTGGTACCCCATGCACAAAGACCAGGAAACCCAGACATGCCACACACCACGGCACGGCTTCTTAGAACATGGGGAAAAGCTGAGAATTGCTGGGAAATCAAAACGAAATTCTAATTTAAGGCCAAAACTAGCTGAAGTATAGCTGACTGACAATTTAATCAGTTCGGCTCCCGTAGCAAAGAATCCGGTCACTTCGCAACCCTGGCTCAATCACATAGCTCAAGAAGCATGTGACATCAATGAGAGCCTCCCTGCCCTAAATATCAGAAAAACAAACCATTTAATGGGCTCCCTACAGGAGCCTACTGCATAAATAGCACCCCACTATAAAAAGATCCACAAAAAAAAAAAAAATACATTAGAAATAGGTTGTCTAAGCAGCCAATGGTGACTATAATCCCACACCCCACGCACATTTTATGTAAACCAGGTCACTGACATTCCAGGAGACTAAGGATGCCTATATCCAATCAGGGAGTGAGAATTCATGTGCACAAGTGTCACATTGTGGTGTTTAGGTTATATGAATTTCCCCATAATCCTATCAGATCTGGAAGACTAAGTCACAATTTGTACATCCACATACCAAGTGCCTACATTCAGCAGCACTGTGCATTGTGTGAAATGAACACAAAAACGGTAGATCAGGTTAACAAGAGGTATTGAGGCCCCTGTTCAAAATCTATCACAATCTAAAAGGAATAGGTTGTAAAGAGAATGGTAGAATACATTCTATTTAAAGTAAAAATAATTCTTGTGCATACGGACAGCATAGTCTGTAAATTGTATATGATGTGTGCAGAGGTGATTGAGAGGCTGGGATTAAAGATCTCACTGCCCCCCCCCATCCAATTCAGTACAACTCTCAGAGCAAAAACAGACACCGTATTCTCAGCCTGGTATTTAACCCCTTACTCCTGCCGATCCAGTTTTGTGGTTATACAAACTGATTGTGTCTTTTTTTTGTGCATGCACTTTACCAGCCATCTGCTACACTGCCTTAGAACCTGCAGAACAGATTTAAAGGACATCATGTGGGATTTACACTCAGCAGGTATGTAAAAAGGGACGGACGATCCACACTGCTGCATGACTCAGTACTGGAAGGCATTCACTAGCCGCTTGGCTCATTAGCACTAGAGTATTAAAATGAATTTGATCCAAAGCCTCCCTTCCTTTACATACAGATACACAGAAGCAAAGCGGATTTAAACCTGTAGTCAGATGGATAGATGACGCACACGTGAACTTAAGACTAAGATACTGCATGTGAAAGCCTCCCTGTCACATGCGGTCATGCAAGAGAATGAATGCTTACATGACTGACAAACCTGATAAAAGGCCCATGTAATGACGAAGATTGACAGTCTCTCCCCCCCTCCCCCTTAAGAGCTACAGTAGGATACACCAAGTCATCATGTCTTGTTAGAGACATATTGCTGACCGCACCTTTTTACGAGACAATGACAAATGACCTGCAGGACTTTGCTTCCCATCTCGACTGGATAGAGTCTCAATTACTGGGATTTAGTTTAGGTGTGGCACTGCAAAAAAATGATAGTTTGAGTCTTTATAAGATACTTCGGAGAATGCAACATAAGTTTGAAGGGGCTGTGGAGCCTTTTGGAGTATATTTTGTATGATGTCAGTACACCACACTACCCCTACAAAGGAAACTCATTCGAGCTCAGCTCTCAGCCAGTCTGTTCCTGTACGTCCAATGTATTGCACATTGCTGTGGAATATGTTGGACAAGTATATATTATTCATAACGCTTCGGTTAAAGAAAAAACAATATATTTACAAAGTATAGCATTAGTAAATACACATTAAAAAAGGTACACAACAGGATTTCATATAAAACAGAACAAAAGCCTACAATTAGACATTCAAACAACACATTGCTTGCAACATGTCTGGGATTGCAGATGGCAATGGCTAATTTAGTGGTTCTGGAAACACAAAAAAGTATTAAGTATGCATTGTTTGCAACCATGGTAAAGAAAACCTAGAGATGAGAAGAAGAAAAAAAAAAAAATAATAAAAAAAAAAAGACAAAACAGTGTTGCACGTGGAAAATGACTAATCCTACGTCCTTGCTGGAATCCAAGTCTAAGTGAGTCACGGCAGTTGCACATGAGCACGGAGGTTGTGTGGTTCACAGTTGCTTAACAAACACCACTCCCTGATGGAGCACACAGTACTCATTTGTCACATGGACGACATAATCTCAATACAATAGGAACTTGTGACTACACTAGTGGGAATGTGTCCAACTCATACAGGGGGTTTCACAAGCATGGAGAGAAAAAAAAAAAAAAAATATATATATTTTTAAAAAAATAAAATTGGAAACTAAACTACAATTAAAAGCAATTTTTTATTTATTTATTTATTTTTTAATATGAGAGTTCTTTTGCAACACACAAAAGTGCGATAACTTTGTAAATTAAGGGTATCAATATTAAAAGGACATTGAAATGGCATCAGAGATCTGATGAACATTTCATTTCCTCCCCCCCCTCCACAGCAAACGACTGTCCTACTTGTACAGTGCTGGCTGTTAATAAGTTACTGATATCAGGAAGTAAGTAGTACAGGCCTTGCATTGTACCTGGATAATAAATAATCGAAAATAAATACATTTAAATAGAGTGTTCTTCAGAAATCCTGTAAACTCTCCCAGGGCCTTGTTTTCAGTAATGCCTACAGAAGTAGGACATTGTCAAATAATTCCCCAAAGCTGCCCCTGCAAATAATAAGCTCTTCAAAACCCAGTTCAAACTTGGTTTATTTTTGTTCTGTCCTCAGCCTAGTGTATGGCCAAATAAGTACCGAGCTACAGGTTATGCTCTCACAGAAAACTGGTGGGGTTGGGACGTCAATGGAATACAGCGTATAAAGGCACCAACTAGAGAGTGATTGCAAAATGCAAAGTGCAATGAAATTATTAAAAAAAAAAAAAAAAAAAGCCACACACACACCCACCACTTGTGTGCTCCAGAGCTGTACTTTAGGGTGCATTGTATTGTACTTTACATTTTGCACTATTGTATGTAATCTACTTTTGTTTTTGAGATTTTAACGTCCCGGGATTTTTCACCATTACTGCAAAGTATTTTTTCAGTATTTGTATTGGCACATGTGACATTGTATTACTAAGTGTTAAAGTGCTTTCAAAGTCATCCTTTTGCATTGACCCTTTGATAAAAAGGAGTGTATTATACACCTGTGAGTTAAATGTTTAAGTGCTATACTATATATTTTTGGATTGTTTATTGATGGTTGTGGACAAAAATATTAACCCAACCCATGTTGGTAAAATGCCTATTTACCCAATATAACTACAATCAGCATTATTCAACTTTCTATGTGATTTACCTAAAACAGCCGCTAGGGAGTTTCCCTTTGACATCGACTAACACCCTCGTTAACAAGATGGCGCTGGAATCTGGGGGAGACCTCCAAGATACCAGTGACATCACACCCGGTAGGAAGAGCACTAAATGAACCACTTAACACCTAACCAATTATTGATGTATTATTCCATGTTATCTCTGACAAAGCATATGATGTAATTGTGCTTTATAAGGGAGATGCCGTCCCCTCAGAATAAAGATTCAAGTTTTTTTAATTAACCCGAAACCTGTGTCTGGTGTGAATTACTTTAAGCGCATGCACGCACTGTTTCTTTAATTTGGCCAGGGGCAGATATGCACGATAATCAATTCATTGATTGATTCCACATCGATGGTGTTTTAAGGCAACAACTAAAAGGACACTGCAGGCACAGACACAATTAAATCTAAATTACCTCAAGGATTTAAGTTGTTCTCGAACAGTTAAACCCCAAAGTCAGCTCCAGCAGCGATATCCAGCACCATAACAATTTAGTTTTTGTGCTGGTGTGTCCCTTTAACAGTAAAAATTGCAGCCAATTTAATATTTTCACTGTTGCACTTTTTTTATTGGGATCCAACATTTTGAAGCACTTTTCTTATACTTTAGATTTAAAAAGTATATATTATAGTCTAGGCAACATAAGACAAGATACTAAACTTACTCAGCCGAGAAATAAAATGTATATCAAACTTCTATTGCGGATGATTAAATTATAACTCGAGGATGAGTGAGGCAGTCCTGTGGGTGCCTGGAGAACTTACTTTAGTTAAAGGGACACTGTAGGCACTGTATCTGCTTCATTTCATTAAACTGATTATATAGTGTCCGGAGTTCCCAAGTTCCATAATTTCATTCAGCATTAAACAGTTTTTCATATTTTTATATTTCAATGCTAAATTAGAGTCCTTAGCAGCCCCTCCCCTCTGTGCTGCCTGGCGAATGAGGAAGTATTAGCCTGAGCAGCTATGATTGGCTGATAGTGTCAGCTGTCTGTTTTTAGCCTATCAGAGCTCCAACTGACGGTATGAAGGGTATGACTACAAGGAAGTGTGTAATCTCTGCCTTGGCCACACCTGCGGAAGAGGCCAGACTGTGGGTGACCTGGATCATTTAGTGTTAAGCTGCTCTAAAATTAATTAATATTGTGTGGAGAGACAGTGCCAGGGGACTCCAGGCATCATAACCAATTCAAAGAGATGAAATTATTATAGTGAGTACAGTGTCCCTTTAACTGCTCTAAAACTGTTGAAATTAGAAATCGAGAACAGCATTCACAGCCTTAAAGCACCACAAGCACTACATTGGCATATAGGGGTTTTGATCAATTGCAGGTCAGCGTTTACCCCATTTTATAATGCGTTATGAAGTTTTCAGAAATATTCTCAACATAAAACTCTGTATTAAAGCTCATTAATGCTGACAGCGTGGAGTTGACAAGGACAGAGCGCAGTAGCAGGGGTTATTGTCAATACACGTTAATAGCTCAGCTCCTCTAGCGAGCAGGAAGTGACTAACCCAGATTAAGTTTAGTGTCTGTAACACAGATTAGAGAGATTAAAGAGATTACCATGGAGGTAAATCAATTATTACTTAAACCAATTACCATACAGTTACAAAGATGATCAGAACATGCAAAATACATTTTACACAAGGCACACCTTGACACCAACAACGTTTATATATCACAGTAGTTTCAACACATCACTGAGCAACTGATCGCCACACACCATCTCACACTATGGGGGGGGGAAGCTTACTGTAAAAAAGGTGAAAAAAAACCAAACAAAACCTTTTAGATGCAACAACAACAAAAAAAAAAACAAAACAAAAAACAAACAAAAAAAACCACAAAGTGGAGCTTGCACACAAAACAAGCAAACCCAACATTTTCATACATCACCAATACAGTCTGTACAAAGTATAATCTAAAATTATTAAATGCCGTGACATACATGTTGGTTGTGATGAAAGGGTTAGTTACCAGGCTAAAATGCTGAATTCTGTTCCATTCATGGTAACTTTATATACATGGTTTCTCTAATCCAGTGTTCTTGAGAACGCAGACTATATAAACCATGTACATTGTGGGCACATGCAGTACAATAGTGCACAGACCCAGTCAGTATGTGTGAAACGTTCCATACAAACCGATTTGGCTGCAGATATTGGCTCTGAATCCATTTTATTCTGAAATCATTTTTCAACCCAGTTTAAACATTAAAAATAGTTTGACCCTGGGTTAATCTATAATTGAGCTTTGGAAACTGATAAAATAAATCCCTGCAGGCCTAGGAAAAATATAAATCTAAATCAGTTTTTAAATGTGAGAATTTATTTAAAAAAAAAAAAAAAAAGTTATTTTTTTTTAAAACATACAGCTACAGTTTGCTCTGCATGGCAAGCTGCACATGAATGGGTGCAAAATGAACAATGTATGACAGCGTTAACGGTGGGCCTGGAAACTAAACAAGCTGAGTGTGGACTCACCTATTCACCAGAGTAAACACTGGTGTTTAAACAAAGCAGCATTAAGTCTCCTTCTACAAGGACTTCCAAACAGAAAAGGCTTGGTAGATTGCCATGATCCCAAGATGAAAATGAAAAGGAGAAGGAGGAGAAAAAAAAAAAAGCCACACCAAGTTTATGAAGTAGGACATCTGACCATTCATTAGAAGCCTTTGCCTTCTTTTTTTCTATTCTCAGGTACAGATCCCAACACAACATCCCACAAACAAAAACACCCATTAATAGTACAAAGCAGATCGCCGATACATTTTATAAATGCAAAAAACATTTAATATTGTATTGTAGCTTGTTAGCAAGGGAGAAACGCCATTTGAGAGTAAGGAACGATGTCATTATTTTGAGACAAAACTGGAAATCGGATCATGATTTACTGCAATTTTTTCCTAATTTCCCACTACAAATGAAGGCATTGCATATGGACTGTTTGACTCACCATGCTGGCGTGGAATCATGTGCCACCTAGATAATGATGGCCATTGGAATATATTGCTTCCTGAAAGATATCTTGTGGAAGATACATGTTTGGCTATGGATAAAGACAATTCACTAGTCAGGAACCAGAGGTTGCAGAAGGACTTACTTTATTCCTTATAGTGTGTTTCACTTGTTGGAATCAACAGCACTATTTGAAATGTTCCAACACACTCAGAACAGCTTCCTTAAAACCACTAACATCTGGCCCAGGCTTTTCCTTCGAGTCAATCAATCCCACTGCACAAAAAATTAAATCTGCAATTCAAATACACAACACTTGGTCTACGAGTGGAAATACAAGTGTGGCTTTAATGAACACAGCCTGTCCAGTGAATGAGTGATCAGCCTGAAGCACTAGTGAATGTCCCTCTAAAATAGAGACCGGTGTGGTTTGCAATTGCATTTATTCTACTATGGTTTGTTAACCAAAACAAACTAATACGGTCTCAAAACAAACCTGTCATTACACACAAGTTTCAAATGATGAAAGAAAACCATCTACAGAGAATTGCAAGCAGTTTTGTAAGGAAATTAAAATAGTCATTCCCTTCTCCTATAAATAAACACACACACACAGAGTTGGGAGCAGGAGAACCCTCCAACAGGCTGTGTTACTTGAGGTTCAGCTGCTGTGAATATTTTTATAGCAAACACAGATACCGTAATGTAAAACTCACAGTAACACCCCCAAATCAGGTGCGATCGCTGCAGGAAATTTTAAAGCATTCACATATATAATAAGTATCTGTATGGTAAAGATAGCGATTTTTTAAAAACAGGTTAGCATTTAAATAGGGAACCTGTTAGGACAGGTTCATTGTAAATTTCATTTTATTTGGTGCCTTAATGTTAAGCTAGGGGCGAGCAGAATGTGCCGTAAGATAAGATGTGGGAGAATTGCTTAATGTAGACTGTGACTAATCACAGACCAAAGGTGATCAGGCAACACTGTTATGACATTACTCATTTAAAAACCAAACGCCATGTTAAAATAACAGGGGAAAATGCCAAACTCACAAAACCACAATGGTACAATTACATTTTGATGAGGGCAATGTCAGTCTTCTTTAGCCATACATTGCTTGTACATATACACAGACAATATCGGCAGCCCCATAACATAACAATGCTTTGGACCACAAACAGAGCGACTTGGAATTCACATTACTATAGTGTGTGTCACACCTGTGAAACTATAATTATTTCTGCTCATGTGAAAATCTTCACCTGAATGTGCCCAAAATCTATCCTGGGAAATAATCCAAAGCGTTCATTTCTCAGGGCATTATAGTAGACAAAACAAAATTACAATAACTGGTTTTTCCTCTTCTCGATTAGTCTTCCAAACAGCTTGCCTACCCTAGAGGCAGTAATCAGGGACAAGGAAAATCTTTCAGACCAATTTCAGAATTAGGGATGAGAAGGAAACCCTGCTTCTGACATCTATAATTGGCACCAACACATGCAGCAATATCTGCAGTTTTTTTTTTTTTTTTAAAGCTCTGCATAATCTAGACACCGATATCAATGAGCCATGGCCATTCGGATCAGAGCTCATACCAGCATGTCTGGCCATTTATATAGGAGGTAAACCTGAAATTGCATTGACTCTGGTATTAAAATAGGATTTTTTAACCCTTTGAATTATCTTTCTTTTTATAGATTCATAGAGAGCAAGACCTGCTTTTAAGCACCATTAAATTTGTTTTTCAAGGCATTTTCCATGTTTAGAGTGATCTACAGCATACCTTGTGTTGTTCGATTGAATCTATCCATTGCTGACGGTGGTCCGGGTCTTGTGCACGCAGGTACCACACACTGTCATTAACACTGATGTCGAAGCGGCACTCGTCAAATTCATGAGGCTGAGAAGGGGAGGGAAAACAGTGTTATTATTGGTTACCAATACAGTTAAACTCACTTAAAGCAACACTATGGGTACCATAACTACTTTAGACCGAACTGGTTTACCTGGAGTCTAGACGCCAGGTCCCGTATCACAGTTAAATGGTTTACTCTCAGTTTGGCAGAGATTCTCATTCCCTGACATCCCAGTCTTCAGTGACCTTATGGTAGAGATGTCTTCACCCAGCTCTATATGAATTCATACTGAATTTGGGGAAATCTCAGCCAAATCACTGCCCTATGCCTATTGCATGATGTGAAGCGGAGTATATACCTACTATTTTGTCATTGTATGCTGGGCACAATCACCAAACCTCAGAGAGACAGCTACTTAATCATTAACTGCAATGCTCAATAAAAGGAACTAGAAGCACCAGCCTGCTATAGTAGTGACCCAGTGCCTTTACACAGTTAATGGTCACACTGTTCTAGCATTGCTAGACAATTTACCTGGGTCCTGCAAGGCTGTAGTGGTTATGGTGCTTACAGTGTTTGGGTAGCATACAAGAGATTATTAAAGGGTTACTCCAGCCTTTTTCCACGTTGTTAGATTGGCCTGATTTGCCATCTTCGAGCGCATGGGCTGCCCAAATCACATGCTGAGGGTGCAATTAACATAAAGAAGAATACAAAATATAACTAACTATACATGTATAGGGCTTCAAGTTGAAACACCGCTCATAAATACTCCTACCACCATGACCACTTCAGTCACAAGTAACCCTTTAAGTCTTTCATGCGCTGCCCAGAAAAACAAGCTCCAGTAATGTTTAGAAAGCAGTGAACACATCCAATAAGGACTCAAACCCATAACTGAAGATCTCAACGAAAACACCTGAAGCTGCCACATGGAAAAAAATCCCACTGAATTCAAGCAACCCGCTTCTAAACATTGCGGTCTGACGGATGGCCCACCAGGTGCTGGATCCAGTATTCAATGTTAAGCAAGACAATGCTGGTTAAATAAAACCAAAGCAATAAACAAACTTGAAGAATTTCGAAGAAGAACTCCATGTTTTTTGGCTTGTTTACATAAAAAGGAACACTCCATACTCAATAGTATGCAAGATTTGGGGTATATCTACTAAACAGTGATTTTATTTTGTATTTCGGCAGTAAAACTCCCTTTGTTATTCACCTATATGAATATATGATTTCTCCCCCACCCCGGGTATTGATACCTACCCAAATGTTTGTTTTTGCTGGACTAACCCTCATCTGTGCTGGTCCCCAATCCATAGCATTACTGCAGACCCATCTGACACGATTATCTAGAAAACGCACCCTGCCTAAGAACAGAATTTACATTTTCATAACTGCGTGTTGTATATTTATTAAAACAAAAATGTACTTTCAATGCAAAAGGTGCATCATAAGGTTATAGTTCTAGAACAATGTAATATCAGAATGTATAGGGCACAGTCATAGCTAACAAGGGGTGGATCATTTCAGAAATCATCCATATGAAATTAGGCCTTTGGTCACAGAAAAGCTCAAACCAGTTGCAATAAAATGGCAGGCCTACAGCGGTTATAAGACTCCCATAACATCTGGACAGCCTAAACGGCTCTAAACATTCTAAATTAAACAGGAGAAATTTAGTTTTCACTGTGTGAGCGTTCAAAAAGAACCCATTAACCAAGATATTTATTAAGGAGAGCCATATAACCGACTCTGGACCACCAATCTTGTCTGGATTTTGCTATGGGAAGCATTGCACTAAGAAGTCCAGCTGGGTGCCGTTATGAAGCAGACCATACAGATTACGTGGTAAGGGGGGGGCGCTCCAGCATTACTAAAATAGCAGGAAGATTACAGCAGATCCACTGTGAACCCCAGAGAAAGGATCCACTCAAGTTCTCCCAGGGGTTAGTTGGGTGGAGATAGATTAAAATAGGCTGGCCCAACCTCCATGGCGGAGATAACCAATACTGATGATCTCAGTCAAGTCAATGCTATCCAATAGGAACACATTTGGAAACTATTGCACATGCATCAAAATCCGCATTACATCAATCATCTCCTCAAAGATTTATTTAATTAATAGATCTCTATGGGGAGCAGTCAGTAACGTGCTGCACTGGACTAGAAGTCACCTATAGTAGCAGACTGTCACTAGAGGTGTTACTAGGCAGTAATGTAAAGCCTACAGGGACAGGATATATAGACACCAGAGTCATTAAATTGAACTGTAGAGGTTCTGGTGACTACTTAAGAATTGTATTTTTTGTCATTGACCATTAAACTTTGTTTAAAAATAAAAAACCTGGAACCTAACTTTTTTTTTTAGCTGGCTCCAAAATTTCAAACAAATTTGTCAATCCCTGACAGAGTGCACTGTAACAGAGCTCCCTGTACCCCAACTGGGTACCTCCGCCAAAGGACCGCTTCCTAGCAGGAACAGGAGACAAACCACACCACTTCTGCCCACAGTCATCGTGGCTTGACTGGGGCCCTGGAGCCGAAAGGGCTCCCCGGGCACTGGACGACATACTCAGTCCTGGGAGCTATAGTCCTTACAAGGACTTTCCACGTTGAATCCCCTGCAAGCTGGAACAGCAGACACAGGGGTTAAGTCTTCCTTCCCTCCAATAACAGTACAAGACAGTTTTGGAGTGCAAGCTGGAATGCTTTAATGGCAGCCACAACTGGCCTTATATGCATGTCCCCATGCAAGGGGCACTCCCCCATGGACCTTGTGGGGGACTGCAGCACAGAGTCACAGACTAATGACAAAGGTGTTTAAATACATGGCACTCTCACATACAAGCATACAGCCCCTCCCCTCTGACTGGGAGATAATTGGAACAGTAACTGAAGTAATTCTAATCCAATTCTCTCCAAGCACAGAAAAAGTACACTTTTTCACAACACCCCAAAAGTACCCTAAATACCCTACAAATGTTACACGTCCTGGTAGCACTGATCTGGGTGACCCCACAATCCCGTCCTTTGGACTGGTGGGGGTGATCCGGGTCCACCCACCGAAAAGTGGGTAAGGCCACTACAGCTGTGGGCACATCTGCCGACTCAGCAAACATGGAAGATGCCACGAGGCACTTTGACACAGCAAAAGAACTAGACATCCTGGAGGAGAGGATGCATCTCTCTGCCCAAAAGCAGCCAAATAACCACTCACTTCCACCACCATCCCTAAACAAGCGACAGATGCCTGCAGTCCCAGCAAGAATAAAGGCCCCAAAATAACGGCGAGACAGGAAGTTCCCATCGCTTCTGCTGAAGGCAGCACGCAAAGCAAAACCGCTCAGAACCAAGACTGGGACCCCTGGAGCATCAAAAGTACGTCTCTTATGGCCCACAGCTTGCTTACAAGGGGAGCTGCGGAAGACCCTGGTTCTATCCATCTGACTGAATCATCCACTCACACACGACTCGGGGCCCTGTTGTGTCCCTTCCTGCTATGGAACTGTGCTCTGCCTGCAGTAGGAGTAGGATGAAAGAGGCCCCCAGACTGAGCACTTACAGGCTTGTGACCACTCACAGCTACCTTCTCAACAGAAACTGAGGGTGGACCAACCTGTCATATTACATCTCCCTAACAGTTTACATTACACCATTTTGCTAGGCTTTAGCATTGTATTCTTTGTCTAATCTCAATAACCCAGGGGGTCCCCTAGGAGGCTTAACCCACTTAGTTTAGCATTGTTATACCTCTTTAATCACTATTCTACAGGGAGGAATCTTGGGCACACAGTATGCTTACAACAATGCCATTATGTATGTTCTTTTCCCCTCTTTGCACTGTGTTCCTCTACTTTACTCATCTTCATAAAACGTGCTGATTTATGTACACATTTAACCTGATTTTACATACTAAAATGCATTGCAAAATCTCCACTGTATACTGGCATGTATTTGTTACCATCAAGCACTACAAAAAAAAATAAAAAATCACAACATGAGCTTGTTTTTTGGCAATTTAATTTTTTCACTTTAATTCTACATCACAAATATGCTGCCAACACAGAGACGATATACCAACTTATTCTGTTTATTTAATGGCCAGTGCACTGTCCTCTCTGCTGAGCTCTGGAGTTGGCCCAAGAAGCAGCCTTAGCCTCCAGTGAACAAAACGCAGATATTCATGAGACAGAGTGCTGATTCAACTCACAGCTGTCACACACCAACCTTTAGTATTTAACAACCCTGAGGAATGACAAATGCGCTCCACAGCCGGATGGAGGTTTCATCTAAGAGAATACAACAATAAACCGTACATGAAGAAACAAGCTCATTTAAAAAGATCATTTCTAAACGGCCACTAAGTATCCATAAGGTCTTCTCTTTACAAGTCACTTTGTTAGGAGCTATATAAATTGATAAAAACCATTACAGATTTATATACGGAAAATACATTGCATTCTATAGATAAGCCAATCTATAGATTATAAGAAAGTCGTCCAGCAAATCTGTTATTATTTTTCATTGGCGAAGTACTACATTTACAGGGCAGCCCATTATCCCAGACTAAGCTTTGCAGGAGCCAAATGCATCCACTGTGGGGGATAGAGGAGGTGGACATTATCTTAAGATGAGAATCTTAACGTCTGAACCCATTGCTGGCAAACGGTAGTGTAAGCTCACGTCTCTCTGCTCAGACGTCCGCTATGGCAGTCGCAATATGGCTGCCATCAGCTGCTCAACCAGTTCAGCTTATCCTATGTGACAAGCTAGACAGGGGTTTATTGGATAATATAGAGCCCTTACACCAGAGCGAGAGGTTCCCGATGGAGATGAAGGCATCCGTTTGAAGTTGCATATTTTATTGCTTTGCACTATATTTTCTTTAAGTTTGCATTATCTAATTGCATAAAAGGTTTATTTTTGGTTTATAGTTTATCCTTAAAGCAGTGCTGTCACTTTGGCCTTTTCCATACAGATCAAATATTTAAATGCAGCGAAGGGGTTAAACTCCATATGTGCAGCGTTACGAAGTGAAACTCGGCACATACATCCTGAAGCCACCATGACCACTTCAAATGACTGAAAAGGTCATGGCGCTTGCAGGAAGTCTTTAAATTTAAAAAAAATAAAATAAATAAATTAAAAAAAAATCAACACAAAGCAGAACATAAAATATGTACCATTTTGTCTTACGAAGACTATTTTTGATAAAGGTTTGCAGTGGATGGGAGTTCAGTTGAAGATCTGGCAATTACATATCACAGTTTACTGTGAGCAGCACTTGATGGACTGGCATCTTCTTGCATAACGTCAATGTACTATATGAGTTGCAGAGAAACTTGTATACACCTAAAATGTCTACTCTTGTACCTGCTCTAGAGTTCGAAAGTCAAGTACAGTAAGGGAACAGCAAACAAAAAAAAAAATAAAAGTCCTTTAATGATGCCACAGGCTTAGTCAAACTATAGCCCTACTGTGTTCTTATGCATGTATTTGGATCATTGTGTTATATTATCTGCATTTATATAGCGCCAACAAATTCCAATATTATAGTAGGGAGAGATGTAACAATAAATGGGACAATTACAAAAACTTACAGGAACAATGGGATAAAGAGGATCCTGCTCAAACGAAATTACAGTTTACTGCACAGAAGTGATATTGTAGCATTCTATGTAAAGAACTAAAAATCAGGCAACTAACAGACCGTAATAATTTTAGGGGGGACTATGAAACTCTGAATATTATTATTAATAATAATAGAGGCCATTATGTCATGGGAAATCAGTCTGAACTCTCCATTCTTATGAGCTTCAGATATAGTTCACTAGAGAGTATTGTCCCGACACCAACAGGATGTAAATATGTACCTGCTAATCAGGCGTGCAAGAGTTAGGACAGATACTTGGAAAGGTTAGTTTTAGTTTGTCGGAAATACTGAACGGTAGTGAATTTAAAAGCCAATCTGCAAATATAGGCTATAAACAAAAAAAAAAAAAAACTGGCCAGATCAGTTTTATTTTTCCTCCTAAATCTATTTGAGACCCGCTCTTGCTTGCGCCAAAAAGTAAGTGCAGTGCAAATGCATCAAATTAAAGTAGAAACTGAAAGCAGGACATTTCTGGGGGTATGAGGGTAATGCAGAGAATCCTGATGGTTTTGGGGTTTATACACAGATTAACACAAATTTCCTATTAAAGCTGCCTGCGCAATAAGGGAGTTGGTAGCACTTTTAGCTAATGGTGTAGAAATAAATGTAGATGCACAATCATGAAGTGTTGCTAGCCTTGCATGCAATGCCAAGGAGACTACATATCCTGGCATCATAACTCACTGGCCTGGTATGGATGCTTTCCTTTGAAGTCATGACAAGTGAATGTTGTCAAGCAGTTGGAGGATTGGATACGATAATCACAGCTTTGTATTCTAAAGCACAAAAGAACAAATATTTCTGCTTCTCTTTCAAGCCTGAACAAACAGCTACATTGAGACCATATGCAAACCGTGCTTGGCATCGGGGATCTCTGTAATCATATATAGATTAGAGCAAATTTCAAGAGTCAGATCTGTTAGAACGCTACCCAGCATTCAGACTAATTAAATCCCTTCAGTCACCAGACAATATGGGAGAGAAGAAGAATACAAATTATGTGTATTATAGTTGTGGCACAAACTGCAATAGAATAGTGAACAAATTTCTGTCCTTTTCAACAAAAATGCAAAGCCAACATTCCATAACTCATTACAGGAAAAAGCTCTGCCACAAGCTTTATTTAATGACCAAGGAATAATCTCATCCTTCTAAAGCAAGGAGACATTGAGTAATGGCGAAGTGTTAATGATTTAAAATAAACATATTTATGCCAAGTAACTAAATACCAACAGTTTAAAAGGAAGACATTTTATAATACAGAATATATAAACAATGCAGTAAGAAAGACTATAAATTCCCTGCAGACACATGTTTTAGTGGTTCTGCCTGCAGACCCCAATATCACCCTTTCTGCTCTACAAGGGTCTATTTTTATCCCACAAAACTGCCTGGCAGAATTTTATGGGAGAAGTAGTTTATTCCCAGGTGATGTTTAACACATTCCATAATGTGTGTGGAAGTTTTGTAAATAGAAGACAGATAATGCCACGTGTGAATGGCTGCTGTGAGTTTGCACATAAAGTGGTTCCATGTTTAATGTAATTTGCAGCAGTCGACAAACTAGTGGCCCACACATAATTGATCTGTGGCTTGACTCATTCACTCATAGAATTAGAGCGCTTTGTCCAAATTGTCCATAAATTTATATATTCAATCCTTTTTGTTTGTTTTCGCTCATACATGTTCACTCTAAGAAGAAGATTTTGCAACAAAATAAATAAATCCATTAATTTTTAGGTGTACTTTGTGGGTTTTCCTTTTTTATAAATAAAAAAATAAATTTAAAAAAAAACAAAAAAAACCACCCCAACCACTTAACGATCATTCTTCAAAATCCTTTATAAGGCTGTACAAGTTCGGTAACCGTTTTTCGATTCCAGGCATAAAGCCAAACATATAGACAGCATTGGTGAAGGGGACTAGATGTGATCCAAATGTTAATAAAAAACTAAATAAAAACAGGCCAAAATACAGATATCACAAATACTTAACACCTTTAGAACCAGTGACACTACTCGGCCAAAACCATCTGTAATTCAAAGATCCACAATGGTACAGGACCCAGTGACATCCAGGCTATATAGTGCCAACGACGTTAAATTCTATGCTTGTGCAACAAGTGGATGGCAAGTCGCAAATATGAAAATCTCCCATAAAGAGGAACTCTGGGTCAGCATATAAAGTCACATAACAAACATACACTTTGCATCAACACAACACAACACAACACTACAATGTCACAACGAATATACACAAGGGAAAGTCCCTTCGGATTTCACGATACATCACACTACAAAGCCACAACAAAAAGAAATCCCAAAGGGACATTCCTTATATTCCGATGCATCCCAGCTCCATGTGACAGTTTGAAGTGTTAAAAAGCAATGTAATTGGACTAAACCGGCATTGTGATGCAGCACACAGCAATTCTTTAAGGTTTACAAATACGGAAGCTATCTGCGTGCCAAAGCATTTTGTCATATTCTGTGCCTTGTAATTGCCACAGGCAGACTGTGCACAGTGAGGATTTAATCGACTGGCAGGGCAGGAGATAGCAGGGGCAGCCAAGCCAGCCTGCAAGGGTTATGTATTGGACGAGTAGGGAAGGATGGAAATCCAAAACCAGCAACAAGACAGGAGGCAGAATGTTTGGAAACAAATAGCAATAAACATAAATGCCAATCTCTAGCATTTCAAACAGCAAGTTTAAATTGAAACGATATACCCAGTACAAATCAAAAACAATCCAGAGAAGGGGTGGGGAGGAGAAATCGTGTGAGCAGTTAGTAAGAAAAATCGTAGCCAAGAGCAGTCATCTTTGTTACATTGAATATTGTTGTCACCAGTTATAGAAACATGATGGCGTACAGTTAGACATGGGGGAACATCTTTATAGTACGTATTTTTAGGATGAGTGCCAAGCATAGATGTTCGTATAATGTTTGTTTCTTTGATTTTTATATTGTGTATCTTGTTTAAATTGGGATTAGAGAGAATTTAAATAAAAATTATATATTTGACTTTAGGTGACGGAAGGAGCTTATAGTGCTTGTATTGTCACAGAAGCTGCCAACCACGGTGGTAATAAAGAAACGTTGCGTACCATTTGAAATCAGGAGTGGTTACCCTGCTGGAAACAGGAGTATACAGTGGGGCCGGTAAATGATGCACATTGCGCAGACCTTCTCAACAGTGAGCCAACCATTCTAATCCCAAGAATTATGATCTTAATAAATAGGAACAAAGTTCTAAAAGCGCCACCCAGAAAGGGTTAAAGTAACGACTGTACTGAAAAACAAACATTCTGAACTCATTAAATCATTAGCCACTGGCCTCACAGGCATTTCTATAAATTCCAGTACATCACAAAGAATCCACAGCCTGCTTCATTGTATCTCTAACTGATTGTTCTGTGTTATCACACAAGTAGGGTTAATATTAAAATGAGGACAATGAGAAAAATAAATAAATCCTGAATCAGATTTCAAAATAACTAGTAAATCTACCACCAACATAGTCTGTTTGCAGGAGCAGAGTTACTAAGCAACACAAATGACAATGTGAGTTCCATAACTATTTCAAACTCTGAAACAATGTCTACAAGAGGAACAAAACTCATACAATTACATATACGCCATTGTTGCCAGGCCTTTGGAATTTGCTACGAAACTAAAATATCTAGAATGCAGGTTGATTAACTGTGGTCAACCGTTACCCCAGTCCCACCCCCCAAAAAGAAAAACCATATGCATTTTATCTAAAAATTATGCATTGTTACATTTGCTCTAAAAATTATAAGATTTACAAACAAGCCCCACTCAGAATATGTTGACAGAGATACCAGTAATCATAAGTACATGCAAACACGCCAATTTTTGATTTGGAGCACAAATACACATCCTTCTCGATACTACAGTGAGCCAAACAATCCATTAGTGTGAGCAGCTACTCGGCACAGAAACCCTACTTCAAATCATCATTTACTAAAGAGGTTAAAGCAGGGACAACGTAACGGATCACTACACCAAGATTCTCGGGCGTTGGAGACCTTCCACATAAAGTCATACAGAGGCCGTGCGGTAGCACATTATAGATACATGTACTATTTCAGTTCTTTTTCTTGCTGTGAACCAAATAGGACGCCGCTAGGAGATATCCGGGGAAGGCTAGCAGGTGATAGGACATCCCTTGCAGAGGAGGATTTAAATAAGTGGAAAGAAAATAAATACATCTGTAGAATGTATCTAGATAAGCACCTACTCAATATTTAACAAGGATGCGGTTTGTGCAGGATATCACACAGCTTGACACAGCCACTAGGAGAAACCCTCTAAACCTTTCATACACCTCAAAGAAACTGCTGAAAGCATAATGTTCTAATTCAAACACACCCAGAAAGGGATGCACTCCATATGTGATAGGAATGCTCAGCACATGGACTAGATTTATGGAGTTAGAGCGTTCCAAACAGTGGAACCATGTGACTCGGCAGCACAGTAGAGGGGGCCTGCAGTAAAACAAAAAGCAAACTGTTCTAACTCCAGTTCGGATTCCAAGGCCAGGAAAGAGATAATGTATCTGTTTCCTGTGCAATTCAGGGGCCGTGAAGCCTAGCATCTCGTGAAAAACTACAATAGACTGCAAGTGAACTATGGCCTATAAAAATCAGTCACAAAGTTTGAGAATTGTCCAACAGCAGGTACAAAAAAAAAAAAAAAAAAAAAAAAAAAAAAAAAAAAAAAAAAAAAAAAAAAAAAAAAAAAAAAAAAAAAAAAAAAAAAAAAAAAAAAAAGTAATAAACCACAAAGAAAGAATCCTGAAAGAGTTTATGTTTGCCATTCATTCCAGGTTTACTTTAAAGCAGTAACACCACCTGAGAGTACATTTCTTATAAATAGGTTATTACTGTGATACTTGATATAGTGCCAGCACTGGAGGGCCAAGTATTATAAAGTAATTAATGTAAAACCTACACACCACGTCCCCAATGATCGTGCCCTCTCCACTCACATCGGCCTCAGTAGACCTGCTTAACAACACTTCTCAAAGAAATGCACTCCTTGATGATGCCAACTGAAGAGCCAATACATCTGTGCCCAGCGGAATAAAGGCTACACAATCGTTGGCATAATCAGCGCAATTACAGGGAGTCACTGTGGCAGATAGAGAAACACCAACAGGAGAGTTCTCCTGCCATTTCCTTTCTGAGCGATTCATTTATTGCAGGACAGTTCACAATGTGATCGCTACATCATATATCTTATATCTGTAGACACACTGATCAGGTCCAGAAGAAGAGCAACCATAATGTTTTACAGGCGGATATACTGGGTAACGAAGACAGGATCTCTTTATATGCAGGTCAACAGAATTTGAATTTGATGGCCTGGACAGTTTACAATTTAAGGTTTAGTGAGCCGTCCATAATTTTTTGTATACTAGAATCTAGATCTTGCAGTTTAAGTTTAACTGTCAATTAACTATAACTGTTTCAGCCCCATGCGTTTTCTGCTGATCTAAATAGGAGGTAGGTCATTTAATGCATTACGGAGGACCCTTTAGGTGGAAACCGTTTCCATTTTGTAATTGCTAACTATATAGGTTATTGTCGTCAAAATAAACGATCTGCTTGGAGCTGCTGAAGCGACTTTTAAAATGTAATGATTTTATATATAATGCATTAAATTATGGAGCCAAAACTAAAAGTTGCTCCACAAAACACCTTTTCTTGTCTCCTTTGCAACCAGCTGTACATGGTGGCATGACTCTTTAGTATAAAATGGACAAATGAACTACAATCCCAGAAACCACTGCTGTACCACCCATGTGTGGGCTAATTGCTGAAAATGCAAAGTGATTACAGCAAACATGGAAACTTGCTCTGAACCTGTGTTTGCATACTTTGATAAATTAATAAACAGGTCACCTCTAGCCCCAACTGAATAAGGTTTTCTTGGGGAAAAATTCTTTAGGGTGTGGTTTTGCAATAATGTGCTTTAACAGAATCAAAAAGGTACATATGAGATAATGAAACAGTTTGAAAAGAGCATTTTCAGCCTAGATTATTTTCTTACCAAATGATACGCCCCAAAAAGGAGTGGGTACTACTTTATTAGTGAGAATAGTCTGATATGCTAAGGCTATAGGTTCTCTGTGTAATGGTAAAAGTGAGCTAGAAAGTTTGAGACCTGAAGCCGTGACAAGCTACAGAGTTTTTTTTTTAACCAGTTCTAACGGTTCATATTCTCTATACTTTTTCCAGGTCCACAGTAAATGTGCAGCACCATACACCTCTGTCCTTTTATTTCAAGTACAACAGCAGTTAGGATGAATGATTCTTACCGTGATGACAGCCTTGCTGAGGCAGATGGACCCTCTGCAGCCATATTCAGTCTCATCCTCAGACTTATAGTAGCTTAAGGTATTATTTTTGAGGACAACCCATCTGTCCTGCCAACCGTGAATGTAGTTTGTCCACTATAAAGAAAACACAAAAAACAGATTTGTAAGTCTAGGTATAAGAATGCTGCAGATTACAAAGAACACAATTAGATCATTCATTAGTGATGAAACCTGTTACAGTTTGCAGTAGATCGGTACCCGTTAAATGTAGAATTTATTTCAGGTAAATTAAATTTACATACAGTAGCAATATATAAGGATAACTTGGTCAATGTGTGCATATGTACGCTCACACAAAACGCCTACTACGCAGTCAAGCTAGTTCATATCTATAGCAATCAGCCCATTAGAAATGCAGATCAAATGCTTCTCGCTGGATCACACTTTACCTAAAATAGCCTACTGATTATGTATTAAACAAAATGTTACACCCACACACTATGTATCAATTCGGAATACAACATTTTACATCTCCTTCACTCACAAGAGCATTACTAATGTATAAGGCTCTTCTGCTTCAATGTTCCATCTAAACAAGCTCAATAAAAAGGGCTTCATATTAAACCCAAGATGAAAAGTATCCCAATTAGCATATTGTACATGGCATTCTGGGAGAATTGTGAAAATAGAACAGCTGTATGTGGGGCAATTTATGATATGTACACAGCGAGATATAACATTAATCAGTAGGAGGTTTGTTCGGTTTTGATCTCGCCATAACTTTGCTTGATGTTGTGACAGTATCTCTGTAAAATTTAAAGGTTTTACAGAGATACTGTCACAAGAATTCAATGCAATTCCATTATATTGAGAAGGTATATAAGTAGGGGATACTTTCTCAAATAGGAAATTACTTTTTGGCAAAATAGGGAAATGAACACAAAGTGGGGGAAGAGGGGGGACGGGGGATAGGCATGTTTAACGGTCACTGCCAGCCAGGACCCAATAAAGTCAGCATGTATACCTCTGATAAGAGGGTAAACTCACAGTAATGATAGATATGAAATAGCCAGTGACATCCCTGGGGCATTGCCACCCAGGAGCCATAACATCCCTGTAGTTTGCCAAATGGATGAAACCCCCCTCCCCCCCAGAAAAACCACAAAAAAAAAAAAAAAAAAAAAACCACACACACACACACACACACTTATTTCTAAATATGTCACACAGACCGCAGAGCAAGCACTGCATCTAAGCAGCTGGCTGAGGATCACAGGGCTTGCAGTTCCCAAGTTGGCTACCATTGCTACATAGAATGAAGAAATCTAAACTAACTGCATGTGTACACATAATGATAAATGGAATCGCTCAGTTTATAAATTAAAACATTGCTTTGCAGAATACGCTTTTGCACACAGGCTTACAGTGAATAGCACTAAAGGTGCCGTTAGACAACTTCCTAAATTCCCACCTGGAACACAGCGCGGCTGCAGGAATTATACAAAAACCAAGAAGTAGAGACAGATTTTATGAACAAGGTTTTATCTCCTCTAGTTCAGAAACGCCATTAAAAAAAAATTTAAAAAAAAAAAAAAAATTATATATATATAGCTCATATGGACAAATGCGTACAGTAAATAAAACAAGTAGGCATTGCTTATTTATAGTAAAAACAGAAAGGATTACACACTGTAAATTCTTTTTTCCCTTCATATGGTGGCAGTACGTATGGGTTGTGCTTCCTAATTGGGACAAGCATTTGCAAGATAGGGGATTAAGGAAAGTCCCTCCCCTTTACCCTATATAGGGCTTCCCCGGCAAACCCACCTCAGCCGTAGCAAGAATACAGACTGAGGTGGGTTTGATCTGCAAACTTGAAAGTTATCTCCACCAAGGCTGAAAACTGGCTTGTGTTTGGCCAATACAGAAAGATTGGCAGAACCACTGCTCTGTCCGTTCACCTCTTTGAAGTCTTGGGAACAGGCTATAGAAAAAAAAAAAAGAAAAAAAAAAAAGTAAGCCCAGAGAAATACCATTTGATAGATCGACCAACTATTCAACTTGAACGGTCATGTACAGAGAGGCAAACCTGAGAAACTTCATGTTCTCCCTCTTTGCCATAAAGGTCTATCCGGGCACTCCAAATCTCTGTAGATCATGAACATGATCGTTGTTGACACATCAGGAGTGGAATGGAAAGAGGACCTCCAGGAGATCCTGAGCCCAGTACACCGTTTTGGTACATAGCTGAAACAGACCTTGCCTCTGGCACCACCCTGTCTGTTGATGTGAAGGAAACAGTGTTGTGGGTTTGACTGCATTGTAATAGGTCCCTCAATCAACCAAGATCTGAAATCGGCATGGGGAGTGAAGAACTGCCTTAAGAGCTCTGAAATCAGTGCACTATTTTTCTTAGGACCAAGAACATTGGCACATTAGAGAATTTAGACGAGTGACCCAGCCTGAGTTAGATGCATTCTGTGGTGAAAATTACTCCTATAGGCTGAAAGGACAGACTTGTCAGGAAAAAACTTGAAGTTGTCCAATAGTTTAGCCGATCTTCCGCTTTTTTCAGAGAGTCTAGGAGGCAGAAATCCAAGATGTCCACACTTTGACCCAGAGGAGAGAATTTTCCACCGTAGCAGCCAAATCCAGATTTTGCTCAGTTGACCGCAAGAATTGAAGACAGACATCCCAGCAATCTCCTTTCCTGTTCTTATGGAGGGTTTTTCACTTTATTAGTAATTGAACCTTTCCTTTATGAGTGCAGTAGATGCAGAAGTAACGTTTTATGGTTAACACGAACCTCAAAAACAAACACTGTTTCCTGGAGAAGAAAATACATTATAGTCTCAGTCCATGTTGTGGTAGCGTTCTGCTAGCAACTTGAACATACATAAAAGGCAACCATCCCGATGCTGTTACAGGAGTGTTTTGAAGAGCAATGAAATCTCTTCAATCCACTTATGGCATATTTTCAGAACACTTCTTGAGGAGTCGCAATAGGGATATGATGGAATTCTGAACCTCAGGAGAGGAACCAATTAATTTAAATTCATAACCGGTTTAAAGGAATGATCCGAGATTGATAACCAAGAGATTCCTGAGGAACCCAACCAAGTTCATGGTTCACAGTACCATATCTCAAACTCATTGAATCCAACGTTAGAAAGATTATGGATTGTACAGATTTGAAAAGAGCAAGCGGTGCCCTCTTTAACTAGATCTAGAAACCAGTGATTGCAAGTCGGTTCTACTTAAAAGCCAGGCAAGAGACATTCAGATAAATACTGGTTCCCAAATGCAACCGAGAATGTTAAGTGATTCCACTGAATTGTACTCCAGTCATCTACCTCAATAGGGTGAAGTGCTGAGTTAACCCTGCAGGGGAAATGAACCTGCAAAGCCAAGGGTTGAACAAGGTCTAAACCCACTGAGCTATCCACACTTAATATAGAAATGCAGGATTACACCTCCAAACTTCTTGGCGTCCGAAAAGCCTACCCATGTCGGACCTAGTTCTACTTGTCGAGGCAGAACTTTTTTCGACATAGGTTAGAAAAGATACCCCTTTTCCTAATGGGAGTAAACAGGGGAACGAAAAGGACACTGAACTGTTGTCCAAGCTTAAGCCAAGGGAAACAGATCAACCCATGATCTTGGCAGTCATTGCCAAATCCATATTAAAAAGTATGTGACAATCACAATAAACCAGGAAACTGACAAGCTGCTTACCAGAGACTTAAATTACCTCCATTAAGGATTGTAAACAAGGTTTTTGGAAACTGCTGCACCTGCCAGCAAAGACCTCTACCAAAACCCAGAAGTCTGGAAAGTTTGTCTGCAAAAGGTCTCAGCCTTCTTGACGACAGGGTTTTTAAGCAGCTACTCCTGCGGATTTTTTATGAATTCCCAGTGTACCTGGGGGTATAACATTTAACTATTTGATGGTAAACATTAAACGCTGGGCAAGAAAGGCTCATTACACTTGTGCTTAGTTTTCACTGAGCGGTACGCCATTTTAAATGTTTCCATTATGAAAGTGACCAATACAACCGAACCAAATTGCACCATTCCTGAGCCCCCTTCAGATATAGGTCCATAGGAAATGGTACGGTACGGTTAAGGAGGAGCTGCTGGCGACACACTATACAATGCATTGATTGGCAGACAGGAAAAGGTCAATGCTCACAACAAAATGACATGCTAGGCATTTGGTCTAAACCCCGCATGCCCCCTGGCGGTCCTACTTGCAGTGGAAATGCACACCTGAATAGGCTGGATCATTCTAACCCTTCCGAACCATACTGACCCAAACCATATTGCTCAGTGGAAACGATGCAAGAGTGTTCCCATTTCTGCATATGAGAAAGATATGGGGTTTGAGGAACAGATAACCCTCATTAAAGTTTCGCAGATTTATCCTGCCCCATGGCCGATTATTTCCTAATGAACGTTCTTAGTACATCAGGTGGGAACCAACTTCACACAGTATGATGAACCTGACATGTCTTAAGAAGAAGTAGATAAACATTCGCCAGACAGAAGTAATCGAAGGGTGCTTCTCGTCAGTCTCTGCAGAACATCTCAGAGCAGCTGATACACTATTTGATGCTCTATAAGAATGATTGCATATTCTCAGCTTAATTTTACCCAAGAAATTGCAGCACCTTAGTCCATATTTATAAACCCCAGACCCATTTTAAGGGGAGTAGATACAATAAGCAAAAGCCTTGTATAGCAGAGGTGTACAAACAGTCTATTTTGCACATACAGTCCACTTTCTGCAAAACAATTCCATCCATAACTTGCAATTTTAATCAGAACATATTTTCAAAAGCAAAGATCAGCTAATCTTACCTTGAAAACCTCTGAGCCGTGTGGGGGCATGGTGACATGGGGAACCCTTCTGACAAGCTTCTTGCTGCCAGAGGGAACAGCACTCTGCGGTTTTCTGGAAGTTCCGGTTAATGCACGTGCAATAGTGCACCCGGAACTTCGGAGGGAACGTAACACCACCCGGGCGTGCGTTCCCCCGCTGTGCGCAGGGCCTGCAACATAATGAAGCCGTCCCGCGGCCTTCCCATACTCACCATGCCGGAACATACTCAGCATAAAGTTAAACAGAAAGGGCTCCGGAACCTGCACAGACGAAGCCATGCCGCTCAGCCTACCATCCAGGCAGCTTTCGGGTTTCCTCCCCCAGACAGCAACCTGCGTGCCTCACCTTCAACAGACGCTTGATCCGTCCCGTGCTGAGACAAGGAAGAACCGGGGATGCCCTTTATAGGGTAAAGGAGAGGGACTTTTCTTAGTCACCGATCTTGCAGATGCTGGTTCCAATTAGGAAGCACAACCCATACGTACTGCCACCATATGCCAGAAAAATACCACTCATAGTTTGACAAGACTACTACATTCCCTTTTCAGTGCGGAAATAGTTTACAGATAAAAAGAAAGGCAAGAGTATTTCTATTACAGAAAGTAATTGTAGCTCATAATTCCAGACATGTACCAGAAGAAATTCATTTACGTAAAAACCATTTCAGGAAGAGCAGTAGGTGCCTGAAGTTTTAGTTTTAAAATGATCCTTTCACAGGATTCTAGACCAGCAGGTGAATTTTCAGGAACTAAACATGAAGGCATCTTTTACACCAAAATAGCCAAATTGAAATTTAAAAACATCTGAATGTATATTTTTAAAGGCGCACAATTTTAGAATCACAGCAACTCAGTTTGGGTGTCACATCAATCCAGGATCTGGCCAATTGCTGCAATCCAGTTTGGCTCAGGATTACACCAGTAATAAGCAACAGACACCACCCACCCTAGAGGCATCAAAAACGATGGCTGAAAAGGTAGAGAATTACACAAGATCTCCAGATAATAAGCAGCAGAAGACCTCACTTTTTTTTTTTAAATAAAAAAAGGGATTTTTTTATTTTTAACTTAATGTTTCAAAAAGCAACTTTTTAGGATTTAACACACAACGTGTAAAAGTGATAAATATTGCACATTATCAGAACTGTAATAGCCAAAAGGAAGCAGGTAAAATAAGATGGAATTAGCTGGACCGGAAGGAAGTCATCACTTCCTGTTGGTTTTACATTACAAAAGCAAATTCCTATTCTTGAGATGCGATATTTTAAAAAGGGACACTACATCATGGTTTTATACTAAAATACAAACTTGCATCACAGCTTCTTGATTAATTAGTTTAAAAAAAAAAAAAAAAAAATTATATAAAAAAATAAAATGACTTCCAAACAAGCTGGAACAGAAGCCTGCATAATAAAAGGTCATTAAATACAGTGTATCCAAGGAACACTGAAATTATAATGTACAAACCTATCACTCACTCTGTTTGGAAAGGAACACTCTTTACCTGGGGATAAAATAACCCTGTTTGTGCACAGTTTCACTGTGAAACACTGTACATACCCCACTGCTTCTGGGAGTGTAAGTCCACTTCAGGTAGCATCCTTTGGGTGTCAACCAGCCTGGAACATGAATTCCAGACTGGCTAATGTCAATACTGTATATTTGTCGAGGCACGGAGTTGCATTCATTGGCTGAGAACGGTGAGCCTAAGCTTCCAGATATATCCGGCAGCATTAGCATCCAACCCAGCAGAAACTGGATTCACCTTTAAGCCAGCACCCCAAGAGAGCAGGCGCCCAACTGGACCAGGTACTAGGGCAAACCATTGCAAAGTGGTTTTCCCCCCATTAGTGGGAGACCAGGCCAGAGTAATCCTGGCATCATAACCACTACAGCAAGCTGTAATAATTTTGATGCTTGGAAACACCCCTTAATATAGTTCTACAAAAGTATTTGAAAGTTTACAGACCGTGTCAGATATATTATTGGGCCTCGGACACCTGGTACTTTAGATGTGTCATGCCCTGCATTAGACTCCACGATCCAGATTTGACCAGTTTCACATGGAAGCCTTCTGTAGTCAAACATTTCACCTGGGGTTCAATGGGTACCTACCACTACTTTCTGCAAGAAACATCTGCTAAAGAACAAGCTTAACACATAACCTATCAGAAATGTCACCATTTTGAAATGCAAGCCTACTGGGGCAACATCCAAGACCCCATATCACCTTATTAGGAGGAAGTGATCTTGGTTCTTAGATTGCCCCATTAAAGTATGCCGAAAGATAGATTTGTGAACTTTCACTTTTTTGTCCCAGAACGTATAAAATGAAAGCACGGTCTGCTAAAAAAAAAATAAAAATAAAAAAAGTATCCTTTTGCCAGTCACAGACCACAAGACAGCTTTATGTCTAAATGAGCTACCGGTCTATGTTGCCTTATTTAAAGCTGCAAATATATTACTAGCAAAGCATTTATCCAGGAAAGCTTTTCTGCTTCCTATAACATCCTAAAGTCTGGTTACTATCCAAGTTAATGGTACTCATTTTATCGGTATCAGGAAGATACTGCAGTTTGGCCTTTTCAATCATTGAACTGCCTCTCCCGCTATCGGGGTGTAGTACAAAGGACTGCCTGAATTACACAATATTTCCACATCTATGGTTACACAGTGACCTGGAAAGCATTGCAACACTGCAACCCCCCCCTGCCCACACACAATTTGTACCAAATTCCAAGCTACCCAATTGCTCATTAACGGGTAACTTGTTTTCTCAGTCACCCAATTTAAATGTTATCTGAGCAGAAAAAAAAAAAACAAACAAAAAAAAAACAACAAAACCAGTGCAAAGTCTGAAGTACTCTGATAACATAAGTAATAAGTGGCCAAAATCAGCACCTTGAGAGAGTGAGTTATCTGGACTCCAAGACAAAAAAAAACAAAAAAACTTTATATGTAAAACAACACCCATGGCATGATAATCTTCAAACACACCCTAGTGGACTTGACACAAGTATGAGACCATCTGATTATTGCAAGCTGGAAAGGGAAGGGCTCATCACAATCAACAGCAGGACATCTCGGAAAACCAATACAGTATACAGCACAGAGGGAAAAAAAATAAACTATTTCTACTTTAACGTTTACAGTCTGTTCCATCAACATACGATTACTGTTTAACACAAATGGAATTTCTATGTTTCGAGAATCAGTGGACCTTAAAAGACAGACCTGTATTAGCCTCAGAAGCATTAAATAATATACTGAGCTTATAAAAAAAGTAGTTATTTGAGAAATAGGGAACACTAAGCAATGAGCCATTTACCAGACATTTTAAAACTATATAGTCAAGCAAATAGTACATGAGGATATTTCTCAGTGAGAAAGTACATTTCCAATATGAAGAAATGATTGGGTCCAGCACTACGGTCAAGCTATAAGCGCACTATTAGCAACTGAAATATGAAATGCCCAAGTGACCTGCTTTCTTGCATTGCGTCCGAGTTGGCTAATAACATTTTAAATCCCAGGCATAGTTGAAACCTAGATCTAAGCCTTGCTAGTTAGCAGATCTATTAGGCCACTAAAAGAGTGGTAGTTACATGGAATACCAGTGCAGCAGAAGTAATTGATGACCACAATATAGAAAGCTAAAATGCAGCGTCTACAAGGTTTAGCAAAAATAAAAATTCTATTAACTTGTAGAACCGCTTCAATTTTTTTTTCTGAATGAAAGTACTTGTGAGAGAACACATGTAGTTATACAAAGTCTCATATGAATGTTAATGTCTGTGTAGCCCCTTACATCTCACTCCAGGCACCCACAATGATCTTTCTCCATTAGTGTAAAAAAAAAAAAAAAAAAAAACACCCACAAAACACTGCAGTATTCGAGGTCATGACTCTACACAGTAGAAAACCTGCAACTGAACTGCAACTCCCAGAAATCCTTGCTGTGTCCATTATGGGATGCTCATCAGTGATGTGGAAAGGTGATGTAGAATGCTTGTCAGATTCCATGCAGTGTTTGGAGAAAGCTCACTGCAGAACCTACAAGTACTGGGGATTTGCACGTGCTTATTGCTTTTCAATAGCCATTGACAAGTGAATATTTCACCCCAAAGAGTAGAAATTCACCCCTTAAAGGGCACCCTATGGCTTGCAGTGGTGAATAACTCAAGGCTTGGCTAGTAGCACACACACTGGACTTTTTCTTTAAAGCAGCATTGTCACCATCTGGGTATTCTGCACAATTTGCAAAAATTACCAATGGTGACATCACCGTTGGGGGTCTAGTGGCCAAGCAAGTTGAGTTCTACTTACCTAAACCTGCCTTCGCAGGTTAGGTCACCTTCTCCCAGTTGGTCCACTTCAGCTGTCACCGTTGACCAATTGAGGTCTACAGAGTGTCCAATGAAACCACAGGATTCTCTATAGATAAAGACAATTCTCTGTAGGGATGAGGGATTCTAGATGGCTGTAGCTCCACCAAATGTCTAGAAGTGTCAGGCATAGTAATTATACAGAGACAAAAGTAGTCCCTACTTTGCTCTTTATAATCGACTGGGTTGGAATTTTAGTGAAATTACAACAGTCCATAGGTATTTCACAATGTGGTACTGCATAAACACACTAGATACGTTTTGTATTTTCAAGTTTATAAAATCAGTCCTTTCTCCATATTGCTGCAACAATAACAAACAAAACGAAAGGGAAGAAAACTGGGACCACAAATGCAAGAAGCATTAGATTAGAGCAATATGGTACTTGCAATGTCCTTTTAATGACATTTCAAATTATTATATTATCCACAAATAGACAGAGAATCCACCAGCATATGAAAGTAATATGTAAACATACAGAAACCAGATAATTGATTAATCAGTGCTTGCTGACCTCCCAGGTTGAACTATTACACCAGATCATAAAAGGGAAGAATACAAAAGATTATTTCTATAAATGTGGTGTCCATCCCACTGAAATACATATAGCATCCGTTCTTAAAGGGATACTCCAGACCCCTAAAGCACGCTAGCTTACTGAAAAGTTTTACGCATAAAGGGGGTGTCCTCTTCTCCCACCACCCTTTTTAGCAAAAAAAAGTGCAGATTTCAATAGAAATTTACACTTTTATAAATTAACATGGTTACACTCCCAAGTTAGTCGATCAGACAACCAATCCTGTTACTTCCTGGTTGTTTAGCCCAGTGAAGCTAAGCTCAAGTGGCAGGCAATTGCCTGGACACCTGCTTTGAAAAGACTTCTCATTGAGCTGCATTGGGAAGTCTGTGATTGGACAGCCACAAAGTCTGGGCAGGAGTAGAAGGGAAGTGCTTGCAAGCGATTTTTATACGTACTCTTATGAAAATTACATTTTTTTTTTAAATGCACACATAAAATGTAAGCAAGTTTTCTTTGAAGGTATAGCTACTAAACAATTATTTATTTACTATTTGGGTAGTGAAGTGCAACCTCAACTTCAGAGTAGTTACAAAAAGAATAAAAATTAAATAAACCTTTAGAAACAGCTCATAATAAGTGGTTTACTGTAGCATTGATACATTGAATAAAGTTACAGCAATGCATTGTAAAAATCATTCTAATGCCAATTCTACTTTTCTTGGAAAGTGGGTCTTTGCTAACCTTCAAACTGAAGAATGGGTTGCCAATTCAAGATGCACCGATAATTAACGCAGGTGATAGCAAGGCATTACATATGGCTCTGAAGTAGAACTGCTGCAAATTAAAGAAGCCAGTGCCATAACACAGCTATATGAGGGTAAAGCACAACTTTTGTAAATCAAATAAATCTGCTTTTCATGTCATTTATTATAAAAACTAATTATGCAAGCTCAGAGTACGACACGGGATCACTGGTGGGGGACTTTATAAAATGAATTGCATTTTTTAGGCCAGAGTATTTCAAATGAAACTCTACAACGCAGCCATTTCCCAGCTCTGTTAGTCTGAAGCTGTATACAAATAACAGTGTAGTGAAGAAATCCAAAGAAGAAAATAATTCATCAGCACTGTAAGAGGCATGCAAATAGCTGTATAAAAGCAAAGTTGGAAAATCCATTTTATATATATATTTTTTTTTTTTTGCGGATAAGATTTCCAATTCATTTTGGAGTGAATTAACCTCAAACTTGCATAAATGTAAATAGTAAATCAAAACACTTCTGCAAACACTCTCCGAAAATGGGTTTCAACGAGTGATATCTATGCGACTACATGTTTGTTTTTTTAACATAAAAGAACAAAATCAGACACATAATAATATTCCAAAACAAGCACGTTACGCATTTACTCTGCTCTACTATAAACAGCCCAAGAAAATGACAGCAAATCAATGCAAGTGTTTCCATTGTAATGTGATAATATAGCACAATCATTAAAACTCAAATAGAAAAAATATATTTATATATAAAAAATGACAAGGTCATCTTAAATGTACACTTATTATTGCACAAGCACCGTTAAAGTAAATTGATTATGAAAACAGTCACGAATAGGAGAATTTACACAGTGTTACAAGGAGTACAAAGAAAATCAAAGATTGCTGACTACACACACTAATTCACAAGCCAAAGTAACAGTTGTGTTGAAGTGTGCGGTTTGTGGCACTACACTGATAAATATTGCTTCTAAATCAAACAGAAGAAACTATTGAAAGCTTGTCTTTTAATCTGTAATGTTGGTCCAGTGTCACTGCAATACTCCTGTTATTTACACATACATACAACAGTAGGGCTCTAAATACAAAACAAGGAATTGTCACACTGAGTGCAGGTCAGTAACTACCATGACTGTGATCCAGCTCCATGCAGGCAGTCACCGCCTGAGTGCCAGGCAGTCACCGCCTGAGTGCCAGGCAGTCACCGCCTGAGTGCCAGGCAGTCACCGCCTGAGTGCCAGGCAGTCACCGCCTGAGTGCCAGGCAGTCACCGCCTGAGTGCCAGGCAGTCACCGCCTGAGTGCCAGTGCCAGGCAGTCACCGCCTGAGTGCCAGGCAGTCACCGCCTGAGTGCCAGGCAGTCACCGCCTGAGTGCCAGGCAGTCACCGCCTGAGTGCCAGGCAGTCACCGCCTGAGTGCCAGGCAGTCACCGCCTGAGTGCCAGGCAGTCACCGCCTGAGTGCCAGGCTGTCACCGTCTGAGTGGAGGCTGTCACGGGCTGAGTGGAGGCTGTCACGGGCTGAGTGGAGGCTGTCACGGGCTGAGTGGAGGCTGTCACGGGCTGAGTGGAGGCTGTCACGGGCTGAGTGGAGGCTGTCACGGGCTGAGTGGAGGCTGTCACGGTCTGAGTGGAGGCTGAGGTCCTGTAACCCCCGGCCCGGCTCCCCCCTCCGGCCGCCATACCTTGGACAGGACCCCGCAGAGCTCCACGGGCGGCCCGGACTCGGTCTCCAGATCTTCTTCCGAACCTGACGAGTTCCAGCTCTGATTATCCGACATTAGTGCCCGCCCGAGCCTCGTTCCCAGCCTCAGTCAGCGCCCCGAGCCGGCCCGGTACCCGGATGTAAACACAGCGAGGACGGAGCGAGCAGCCAGCTAGCAACCAGACACAGCGGCCATCTTCACTGAGTGCTGACCCCGCCCAGCGAGCGGGCCACGCCCAGCGAGCGGGCCACGCCCCGCGCCACGCCCCCTACAGCGAGCGACCAGACACAGCGGCCATCTTCACTGCGTGCTGACCCCGCCCAGCGAGCGGACCACGCCCCCAACAGCTAGCAACCAGACACAGCGGCCATCTTCACTGAGTGCTGACCCCGCCCAGCGAACGGACCACGCCCCCAACAGCTAGCAACCAGACACAGCGGCCATCTTCACTGAGTGCTGACCCCGCCCAGCGAGTGGGGCACGCCCAGCGAGCGGACCACGCCCCCTACAGCTAGCAACCAGACACAGCGGCCATCTTCACTAAGTGCTGACCCCGCCCAGCGAGCGGGCCACGCCCCGCTCCGGGCCACGCCCCCCGAAAGTGCGGCCACTGCGTGAAGCCAGCTTCTCATCAAATCACGCCCCCTGTCAACTTTACACACGGCCCTGCCCATTCTGCTTAGGTCTAGAACCCCGCCCCATTACGAAAATGCAACGATCATTTTTTTGAGTCCGCCTACTCCCTTTGACGTAGTTACCATGGTGACCGTAGTCCGACGTGTCCCGCCCCATTACTCAGTGTATACCTTTAGTTAAAGTACGTAGGGTGTGGCGTAAAGTGGGAGCTGTGTAATAAAGTGTTATTATGGTCACTGTTTATACTGCTTTCTGGTACATTTCATGTTTCCTCACTTCCAGTCTTGTCATTTTATTTCCCACTTCCTGTTTGTTTTTTTGGGGGGGAGTTTGTTGTTTTTTTTGTTTTTTTTTGGTTCACACATTTGTTGCTTTTATTATTATTATTATTATTAATATTATTATTATTTTATTATTATTATTATTAATATTATTATTATTATTATTATTTATATAGCGCCATCAGATTCCGTAGCGCTGTGCTTCCAGTGTGCATGTCTGTCCAGCGGGGCCGGACTGGGAATAAAATGTGGTGAGGGCAGTTTTTAATTAATATTATTCTTTATATAGCGCCAACAAACTCTGCAGCGCTGTACAATGGGTGGACTGACCTCATTAATCAGGGGTGGCCGGGGATGGGGCAGGTAAACAGTTAAATAAAACCCTCTTTACATTGACCGGATTGCAGCGTGAGGTCCCTCGGTGCTGGCTCGGGCTCCGCTGAGCACGTAAGGCCTTCCCCTAAAGAAAAGCATCGGATCACTGCTGTCCCATTGGGTTTTTAAAACACGCCAGACGCCTTCGTGTAAAGCGTGAGGAGGACTAGCATCGTCTCACTGAGTCAAACTGTGAAACTGCAGGAAACGTCTTTAGTGGCTGTCTGGGGCCACGAGAGGCAGTCTTAACATGCAATGTAAACATTGCACTTTCTCTAAAACTAAAATGTTTTACAAGGTACACCGCACCCAGACCACTTCTATGAGATGAAGTGCTCTGAGTGCCTATATTATCCCTTCAATGATCTCCCAGGGCAGCCCATGCACCCAAGACTCCTCGCGTGAGAAAAAGGCCACGTGTACTGCGCAACACTAGCGGATTTAATGCTGCATCCAAGATCCACTGCATTATATATATTTATATAAGCACCATAACCACTACAGTTTGCTTTAGCCATTTTTAACTAACTTGGGTCACCCAGGTCTGTCCCTTTTCACCGATATCACTAAAGCAGAAGTTCCTCTTACTCCTTTAGTGATCGCAAGTCAGGTTACTCCAAGCACCATGGCAGGGACACAGGCAGTATTAATTTTGGCAGCAAATTTTAATTTAGTTTTAGTCATAGTCTTTTGACTAAAAAGCCATTTTAGTTTTAGTTGTATTTTAATAACCTTAAAATAATTTCCTATTCACAGATATTAAGTTGACATGTCTGTAATATCCAGGATTTTGATCCTTTATTAAATATAAGCCATACATTTCTTTACTCCGATCTGTTGGTATAATAGAGGTGATGCACGCTGGCTGGACATCTGCGACTCCACAATAATCTCAGCAGCTACCGTACGTGAGCTGTAGCTGCTATGACAAAGAGTAAGATAATCACTTGTAGAATGTATTTCTTTGCCTCCCCTCTGACACTGAATCCTCAAGTATACGCTGTTCTATCAAATTAGCCCTGTGTGCCAAGGAAATGATGTAAAGAGTATTTATTTATTTATGAAATATTTTATCAGGAAAGATACATTGAGATTTCTCTCGTTTTCAAGTATGTCCTGGGAGTTAAGTGTCACATGCGAATATCTATAATATTTAGCGTAAAGCGAATATATCTGATGGCAATTCTGCTAGCATAAAGTTTTGATTTTCTATACTTTCATTTAATATAAAGATTTGTGAATGGGGGATGTACACAGATACTTCCGGAGCTGCCGAATGCAGATGTGTGCAATCACTGCTCAGGGGGATGGGGCGAGGAGGTTTAGACTCCCACTCTGTAAGACCACCCAGGATGCAAACGAATAGTAGGCTGAAGAATTTGAATAGTGGAGGATAAAGTAATATTTCCTCTGCCATCTAAAACAAAACATGTAATCATATATAGCTGTGCGGCTGTAATTATAAGCCTATTTGTATCGTAACTTATGTAGTGAACATAGGTTGTTATTAAAGTATAATCTTAAATGAATACTCGAAACTTCAAGTCCCATAAGCACTACAGCCCTCTGCCCCCATAGTAATTTGTCAAACTGTTTAAGACCAGTTTGACAACTTACCTAGGTCTCGCTAAGTGCCCAAGGCCGCACTGCCTGTTTCAAACTGTTGTCAAACTGTTTTATGTGTGACAAATTACTCTAAGTGGGTGCCACGGCACTGCTGGAACCATAACCACTAAAGTGGGCTGTAGTGGTTATGGTGATTGGAGTATTACTTTAAATTTAGTATTTACTTTAAATTTAGTATTATTACATTACCACATTACCAGACAGCGGCCAACTTTCTCTCCCTTTGACTTTCTCTACGCTCTAAAAGTACCTGAGTAATGGGAATGGTTAACTCCAAATAGAACTAAAAATGCTTCCAAAAACCTTGCTTCTCTGAAAACAGAGCTCTGCGATCTTCCTTTAAAGTTCATAAAATTCTTAAAGGAACACTATAGTTAGGAATACAGGTTAGCTTTCAGTAAAAACCTGGGGGAAAAAAGGCTTTAATTACTTTTACTCCAGCGCTGAGAATCTTCCGCGCTGCTGGCAACTCTGCCTCCCATAACATCATCTCTCTTCAAAGAGGAGTATTGGAGACTGATGTGCATGCGCAGCTAGTGCCGAACTCATCAATATGTTTTATATTGTAGAGGAAGCACCTCTAGTGGCTGTTTATAAGTTTCAATATGACTGCAATGTTTTACATCCCAAAGGACAGGACAACTGCACCTTTACCACTGTATTGGGATGAATTGGTCTGGGTGACATTAGTGTTCATTCAAGGTTCATAAAATTCACACAATTCATTAAAGTGTGAGTTATCAGGAATTCAAAATTAATTTAAAATGTCAGTGCAAACAGGCAAATTGAAAAAAATAAAATACTCCATGTTTGCATTTCTGCTATTTTGTCCTAGAATAAAATTGTTTTTGTTACAGTGTATCGTAGTTATCTATCGCTCAACTTTTTGTTTCCCTTTGATATTGTGACCCCAATATCATAGGGGGTGGGTGGTATGGAGATTGTGATAAGTTGGGTTCTGAGAAATTTCTATTTTTTTTCAAATCACTTTAAAATGGTATGAAATATACTGGATGCATTGCACCCACAGCCACTTAACATCATAACTACTACAATAATCCATAATAATGCAATATGCTATACTGAGTGATTATGGTGTTTTGAGTGTCCCTGTATTATAAACCCAAATAACAATCTAGGTGGTTTTTGGGGTGGGGAGGAATACAGCATTATGTTAAGCTTTTTAAAAAAAAGATTTTAAATATGTAGTTTCTAAACTTTCAACAACTAATTTCTAACTAGAATGTAAGCTCATTGAGCAGGGCCATCCACCTCTCTGTTCCTGTTCGTCCAATTGTCTGGTTAAATTACATGTCTGTTATATAAATAATAAAATAATAATAATAGTAACTAAAAGGCTGTACTGTCACTATCTGAGTGTAATGGAAACCTTTAATGAGTGCTTGGAATAAAGTGGTTTAAACACATTAAATGGATTAATAATAGAGAACAATTCACTCTGCAGAGAGAGAAACCTTCTGTAACTGACAGCTATACAGCTCCTGTCTGCAAACATTACAGGGCACTTTCCCTTACTAAAGATGGCGGCCCCGGCCTCTCCTGCAGGGGCTGGGCTGAAAACAAACCTTTCTTCCAGGAAGCGGGTCAGTTTGAAAAGAAGGGGGGAGATAATTCTGGAAGCAGAGATAACAAGTGAATGAATTCCAGGTAGGTATTTATTCCTTTTAATAACAGATGAATGGTGAGTTCACTATTAGTGCACTATAGAGCAGGCTGGTTCACTAGTGACAATCTCAATATAAAGGGCTTACATGTTATTCTGTATCAGTATGTAGACTCAGTCACAGCTATGTATTGGATCAGTTACTTGACATATTTCAATATGATGTCCTAACAAGGTGTATAGAATCCTTCACTTCCCCAAAGTAGCAGCAGCTGTTACATATTAACCCTTCAGAGACACAGTGCTCTCAGATATGTCCAGACATGCTATGGGTCTCTTGGTCCTGTCACCCTGTTCCAGTATTACCTGTGTAGCAGTAAAATAATCAGGTTCAACTGGATTTTATTAAATACTGAAATGTGATGAATTTAACAACAATTTGCAATATTTAGACAAAATGGTTAAGCCGTAACCATACCAGTTGGATAGTTGTTTTTCTACATCACTAAAGTTTGAAATATTAGTGAATGACACTATCTGCTTCCTCTGTTATAATTCACAGTTTACAAGCAGAGTGTTACCAGGACAAGTCCCCACGGCGCCAAGTTGCTAGTGTTCTGAAATGGCAGCAGGTTGAAGGTTTAATTTTACTAACAGCTTGTTCCACTTTCTGTACCCCTTTCTGCCCAATATAAATTCTGAGGAAGGGGCAGGGAGCGCAGTCATTAAAACAGGCTCATGAATAAGGAGAAATACAAAGATTAAAAAGTAGTTGGATTTTTCTATCCCCTACCATTTCTTACGCAGTCCCACGGTTACTGTGTGTGTTTCTTACAAAGTTTATTTACTAAATTGAGAAATTAAAGTGAATTTCACATAAGGCTAAATTAGACAAACTGGAAGCATAGCTGTGTTTGAGAATTTTTGAGGTTTAGCTATTTTGACCTTAACATGACATGCATCACATCGAGGCTGCCTCGATTAAAAATCTTAGATCACTCTGCAGGCTGAAAAAAGCTGGTAAATATTATTTTCTTCTGATTTCCACACCCACTCCAGGGGGGACACTGATCTAACCAATCAGTGTCCTATCCCTAGGAATGCTTGAAAAGTGCACTAGGCATGCCTGACAAATTTACACACGTGCATGGAAGAAGTAGCGTAATTAAAGTAGAGAGGACCTGGGTGCAAGAATTTGTTTGGGCAGTCTTAACCCTGCAATGTACTTATTGCAGTTTATCAGAAAGGGGACAGGGACATAGCACCCAGACCACTTCAATAAGATGAAGTAATCTGGGTTCCTATAGTGTCCCTTTAAGCGATATCCCACAAATACAACAGTACCACACATGTACAGGTTACATGAGGCTTTGGAAAGTTAAAGAGCAAAACATGGGGCTTGGCCATTTCAGTCTTCATACCTGGAAATGTGAGGAAGTGATTCTCTGGGCCTATGTCACATTTGAGACAGTATAACAGTCTGTGTAATAATATTTACACCGGGGATCCAGATATAAGAGTAGTCGGTATAACGAGCTAATAAGTCAGTACAGGAAGCTGGCAAAGAGTAATATGGATTAGGGGTCTGGCGAAATATGTCTGACAAAAACTTCAGGGTGTACTCTTGGAAAGTGTTTTGCTTCCATGTGGCTGCTTTTTTGTAAAGTGTATAGGAAATTTATACTGCAATCTTGATAACTGCTTTTGTACAAGGTCTTTGAATTAATGTGAATCAGATATGGCTGAGTACACTGGTAAGCCAAATCTACTCCACCATATGCGTGAGGTATTCAACAATGCACTTTGCTTCTCAATGTGTGTGTTGCTTCTGCAGACTGGCACTGTGCTCTCATCATGAAATGTGGACAATATGTACATGTCTTTTCTGTCAGTGTACCTATGGGCCAGCACCTCATCCTGTCGCAATTCAGTTGTGCCTTTGCGGTTTTTGCCAGAGGTTAGCTTTGTGGAGGGGGGTACCTTTCTGGTTCTTTTGCACTGTGCCCCAGTCTGGCGTATCAAAGTAAAATGATTTTTTAAATAGATCTATGATAGTATAAAAATGATCTAGCCATAGGTGCTATCCCTTATTTGTTAATGAGAGGAGGAGATCCCATACAGTTTTGCAGAAGACATGGCTGATAGACATATTCGGTGTTATACTTCCATAGCAAACATAAGGATTACAAAATATGCAAGAACATCTCAATGAGTGTGTCAAAAAGTGGTCCAAACTAGTGAAAAAAAGGTGAGGATCAAAATATGCCACTTCAGATATTCTGAAGTGTCTTCTTTAAGCAATAGTAGGCCTTTGTGGGGTAGTTTGAACAAGCAACCTGTTGGAATGTTCCAAAATAAGACATAGCTCCATTAAATCCATCTATAACTCCTTTTTAATATGCCAAATTTATCACGTTTCTTATGGCACGGGGATTTCACAAAATAGTGACAAATCCATACATTGGGGCAGGGCTTGACAAATTTGCTTGAAAAGTAGGAGTCAGGTTTTATTTATTTTTTTACTAACAATGCATTATTTTCAGAGACATAAATACAATTCTTAAAAGGACACTTTAGTCACCAGAACCACTTCAAATTAATGAAGTGGTTCTGGTGTATATATTCTGTCCATATAGGCTTTTCAATGTAAACACTGCATTTTCAAATAAAAAAAGATGATACTGACTGGTGCAGCGCATCATTTTGCCACAAATATGCAATAGCCTCTCAGTGCTTTCCTATGGGAAAGCCTTGGCTTGGTGGAGATAATCAAGATTGATTATCTCAGCCATGGAGGTGGGGCCAGCCACAGCAAGACCGGCATGGTGTGGGAAAAAAGGCAAGTAAAAACCCCTGTCCCATGCTATCAGTGGGGGGCCAGTTACCTAAACAGACACTCACTGACAGACACAGAAACACACTCATACCGACAGACATTGACTCATATCCCAACACCCGGCAGGGCGCGCACAGGAGCAGAGCAAGAGGAGACAGAAAATTGTCACTTAGCCGGTCGCTTCCACTGTCGCTCAGCCAGCCACCTCCATTTTCCCTCGCCGCTGCACAGACAGAAAAATCCCATTTGTCGAGCCCTGAATTGGGCTATTGTTGTATACAGAGGACAGAGCAGATGAACAGTCACACTATGCCCCAAAATGAGACATAATCAAATTCATCTATGAAATTTCACACCTAAAAAGATGAAATTATGTGGTCTCTTATATGGCACTGTAACGTCACAATACTGTGTCTATGGCAGAAGATGTAGCAGAGCATAATTTTATTTTTTTAATTTCTATTACAGTAGCACACATCAGATTTACAAAACACCTATCAAAATTGTACAAAAATGCAAAAAACATTATATGTATATTTTTTTATATACAAATGTTGACATACATTGGTGAAAAAATTGTGACACATTAAAGGGACACTATAGGCACCTACTGTAGGCAGAGGGAGCTATAGTGCCAGGAGTACAGCTTTGTATTCCTGGAACTATAGTATCCCTTTAAGGCACAATATACACAATGTGAGATACCTTGCAGTGTCTAGTATTACAAATTAACACTATTTCAATTCCATTAGGACCACAAAGCTGTTTGCGAAATACCTTTTTAGATGGCTAAGTTTTTGAGACTTGTGCTCCTAGGTCCTAATGGCCTTATCTAAACCTGCTTCTTAGTTTTCTAAATGTATTACCTGTTTTTGGAGCTAAACAGCCCACGAGCTGGAAACCTTTCAAGTAAAATCTTTGAAGTATTTGTTCTCGTTTGTGATATCCCATTGCGGCAAAAATATTTATCTAAGGAAATCCTTACTATAATATTTTGTATGTACACCGCGTTGGCAAAGATGAGTAAGTCAATATCTGTCATCATACGTGACTGGCTGGACAAAAGAAGTGGTTAAAGTGTCGGTACTGGAGTCTACATGTTGCAGTCAATTAAGACAGTTTAAAAATAGGAACTACCAGGGAGTGTTTTATTGACATTTATCCTCTTTGAAGAGGGTTTTTTTCTTTTTAATCTGTGTTTATTTGGCCTTGTGAAGGTTAATTGATCATGTAACATTGATTATGGAAAGTGCGTCCCCTGCTGGGTTGTTCAGATGTTATGGTACTTTATCAATAGTATTGGATTCAGACGTCTGGTTGGCTTTTTCCAGTAAAAGTCTGTTTTCGTTACTTTGTAATTTTTTGTACTGGTTCGTAATTTTTTAAAGTATTCTGTAGTGGTTACGGTACCAGGAGTCACCTGGCACTGTCTGACCGTAAACGCTTTAACAAATGGTTTGACACTGACCGGTTTGAGTGCCTGTGCTGCTTGTGGTTTGAGCTGACCTCGTAAAGCGAACAGCTGACGCTCTAAGATAAAGTTTAATGTTACAACCTAGTATGAGCTTATGTGAAGTGTTTACCATCACAACTTTGTCTTCTGTGAAAAGTCCTCTCTGAGTTTTGCTTTAGAGAACAGCTAGATTAAAGTGGACTTCCCACTGTGCTCGAAACCATGTGCCGTCTGTTCTTCCATATACCTCTTCCCACGTTTTCCTCACTCCTTGTCTCTCCCTTAATCCCGCATATTTTAAAACATTGCCACCATTCAGTATGTGAACAGGGCCTGTTTAATAAAGTGGTCTGGGTGCTGGTGGTCTTAGTTTTAACACTGCAATGTAAAATATTGCTGTTCAGTAAATGCAGTAATATTTACATTGCAGGTTTAGATAGGCCTATAATAGTCATTTTCCTGACAACCACTAGAGGAGCTTCTGCTGTGAGAACCAAGTAAATTTTCTCTATGAGGAGCATTGGCTTTAAAGGGACACTGTAGGCACCCAGACCACTTCAGCTAATTGAAGTGGTCTGCGTGCTGTGTCCCATTTGCACTTAGTGCTGCAATGTAAAACATTGCAGTTCCAGAGAATGTTTACATTGCAGCTCTAAGTCTGCCCTCAGTGGCTGTCTACCAGACACTAAAGGGCTTCCGGAGTCCAAACTGACTTTTGGTCCGTTATCTGACGCTGGACGTCCTCACAGACCTCAAGCATCAGATTTTTCCCATAGGAAAGCATTGAATAATGGAGCACGGGCGGAGCCTGACCCAGCGCAGAGGGACATCGGTGCTGGATTCAGGTAAGTCACTGAAGGGGTTTTAACCACAACAGGTTTGTTTTCCTGGCACCATAGGATCCCTTTAAGACGTGTCAATGTAATGTTAAAGGATGCAGGCTGTGCGGCTGCTGGACTGGATTTCTGCGTGGAAAAAAAAGTAAGTAAAACCGTTTTTTTCCCAATTTATACTTACATTGGGAGATGGTCAGATTTGAAAAAAAAAGGATAACACTATATACAGGCTTGTATTCCTAATTCGCTAGTGTTTGTTTAAAGTACCAATTTGGGCACCATAACAACGTAATTTAAATTAAGTTGTTATGGTGGCAGGAGATCCATGGCGCTGACTCAGCTTTAAGAGCTAAACGGTTCATGAATGGTTTAATCCCAACGTTGGTGTTTCAGCGCCGGATTGCTCTTCCTTCCTGTCCTTTTGCTATCTTAAATGGTAGATATCGGAGGTCTCCGGCAGGGACGCCGCTTAGAGTGGTCTGCTGACTCACTAAGCCAATCAGTTTTCCATGCATAGAAAAGGTATGCAACTTTTCCAAAAACAATAATTAGTTTTGCTCTATAAGCTCAAACCTTTTGTCTCTCCCTTCCAACCTACATATTTTTCCTTTTTGATCAACTAATATCAATCTATGTGAAATCTTTCTGTGAATTGTAGTGTAAGTTTTTTTTAGTGTTCCAAGGTAGAAAATCCTTACTCTTGTGCGTGGATTTATCGTATAGTGTCTGCTATAAAAAGTTATGAAATGTCATAATTGGCTGAGTCACTGCTTGTTCTGTGCTCGCTATAAATGTTGCAATGCCAGAGGAACTTCAATTGTGAATATCCTTTTTATTGTATATGTTATGCATTACCTGCAACTGTACATTAACTGGAAAACAGTCAAAATGTCCATCTGCACCTTTATGTGTAATTTGCAGTTTGATTTTTGTAGTTAAAAGTGACGTTCTAATGCACATTAATTAAGAGTGTTTTATTGTTGTAGAAGTGCGCTAGGATCTGGAATGTGCAAAATTTTTCAGCACCTCTTAATTTTTTGTTTAATTAAAATTAGGGCTATATATGTCTGCATTAAAGAGATTCTGTAGTGCCAGAAAAACAAAGCTGTTTTCCTGGCACTATAGGTTCCTACAGTGCCCCCCTCCCTCGCACCCACCTTCCCGGGGCGCCGAATTAGTTAAACCCCTTCAGTCACTTACCTGAATTGAGTGCCGACGTCTCTCGGCGCTGTGTCAGACTCCGCCCATGCTCCTCCCCTGCCGACATCAGCCAGCGGGTGAGACCTAAAGCGTATGTGCGGCAATGGCCGCTTACTTTACTATTTCCCCATATGAAAGCATTATTCAGTGCTTTCCTATGGGAGTCCGGTGTCGTGGGAAGTTCTCATGCATAGCGTGAGAACGTCCAGCGTCATTTAGATGACCAAAAGCCGTCTAAGCACCCGGAAGTCCCTCTAGTGGCTGTCTGGTAGACAGCCAAAGAGGTGGTGTTAACCCTGAGAGGTAATTATTGCAGTTTCTCAGAAGGGTTAAGGGACAAAGGGACACTGTCCCTTTAATAACCTATTTCTTTTATGTTTACTTTTTCTTCTAAGCTGTATATTCAATGCTTTATTCATGAGCCTTAAGCAAGGAATCATATCCGTTAATTATACTCATTTTTTCCCCTGCAATTTGAATGGAATGATTTCATTTTTAGATTAAACTACAGAATGTGCTGGCCTTTTCTGGAGAAAATAAAATACTTCTATTTTCAGAACATTATGTAAGCCAATAACTCAATGATATTAATTTATTAAGCAGTCAGTCACAATTATAAAGAAATCTATGGCTGGTAGATCAGGATTGTGGCTCCCTGTACCCTGGCTCGGTACCTCCTCCAGGGGCCACTTCCTAGCTGGGGACGGGTAGGGGACTAGCACTGTCCACTCCCAGGGACTGGCCGGCACAAAGCTCTGGAAGCTTATTAGTCCTTACAAGGACTTTTCCTGTGGACTCCTCCACGGGATGGAGCAAGCTGGCACATTGATTAGCCCGTTACTCCCCCCCCCGGTAAATGGATGACACACAGCTCTGGGAGTCGAACTGAAATGCTTTATTGGTACAGTCAATTTATACACAGACCCCCATAGGGGGTCTCCATTCTATTCATCAAAAGTCCGTCAGTCTCAGACTGGATGGGGATGGTTTACAGAACATCTCCCACTCTTGGTGATATAAACAATTCAACACTTGCATACAGTAATACACATCACATACATTGGGGAAACCTTAGGGACTCCGTGCCCCGGGAAGGAAATGGGGCGCACACACATAAAACATACATCCCTGGATAGCCCCGGAGCCCTGCAAATTGTATAAAGAAAACATTGTATAAAGTCTGGGCTTGATGCTCCGTACATCCCCGCAAGTAGTTCCACGGAATTGCTTGGTTTAAGCTGGCAAATTCAAACTTCGCGCCTAAGTAAATCAGCGGATAGGGAGGGGAGGCATTACGAGCTGAGCCCTTTAACTCGCGCCGGCCTATCTGTAGAAAGGGCGTGTATCAAGTTGGAATAGTAGCTCCTCCTCCTATTGGTCGCCTAAACTCTGTAGCGACCAATCAGCACTTGCTCACACCGGCCTATCAGGATGAAGGGCGCGAAACCAACTTGCTGAGCTTCAGGGCGGCTAGCGTTACTCTTCAGCTGTGAAGCAGACTCACAGTTCCAGGGATTCTGCTGGGGCACGCGTCTCTCTCCAGTGGATATCTCCACGTAGGTAGCACCGGAGGGAGCGCTCTTCTTGCAGCTACGAGCCTGGACTTGTAGCTCCTGGGTAGGGAGCCCCTGCAGCCGCTGTCTGGATCTTCTCCGGTCAGTGATTATGGCTCCTTTAGGAGCAGGTAGGGCGATCCCACGCAGGAGGACCTGAAAACAATGCAGGCAAGAAAGTGGGCATGGCACTCCGTGACGGCGTTCCGTCACAAGGATATTATAGTTTTCTTCAATCACTTGGATGTGATCCTATTTACTCTGGACATCTTGACTTTAACCCATTAAGGACCAATAATATTTAATGCTATTTTCACAATCTGGTCTCTAACAACCTTATGGTATTGTGCAATCTCTTACTTAAAGGGACACTATAGTCACCAGAACAAATGCAGCTTAATTTAGTTGTTTTGGTGTCTATAGCATGCCCCAGAAGGCGAAAAGGCAATGTTTACATTGCCCCCTAGGGACACCTCCAGTGACAGTCACTTAGACGGCCACTAGAGGCGCTTCTTGGGTCAGTGATGCACAGTGTGCAGAACCTATGCTCAGCATCACCACGCACTCCATGGATACCCTGAATGTTCCTCATAGAGATGCTTTGATTCAGTGCATCTCTGTGAGGAGATACTGATTGGCACAACGCAGTATCGTGCCTCTCATGCGCGATAGCCTCCCAATGCTTTCCTGTAGGAAAGCATTGGATTGGCTAAGATCATCAATTTTTATTATCTCCACCAAGGAGGCGGAGCAGGGGCAAGGCCAGCCGAGGCGAGACAGTGCTGGAAAACCGTGGTCAACGGGGACCGGCCACTTAAAATGTGGTTTTACACCTACAATATCAGAAATAGCATAGTCTGCTCTATACATTCCTACTCTCTGGATGGAATTTCCATTATAACTTAAGATCTTTGAATGCTGTATTGTTATTACAGAATTGTATTGTCATCTATCCTGAAGAGTTTAAATTATGTATTTTGGTGATATCTGCAATGCTATTTTTTTTAACAAAGTAACACTATAGTTATTCATTTTTATTTATTTTGTTATCCTGTGAGAAATCATGATAGTCTCAGCCAAGGAGGCGGGATGGTACCTCAGAGACCAGCATTGTGAGGGAGAAAAGGTAAATTTTTTTAAATTTTTTTTTTTACTCCCTACAGGTGGAAGCTCAGGATTTAAACGGCCACTGGGACACAAATCAATTATTTCAAATCAATGGGCGTCTGCAGAGCTGCTGGTAGTAATTTAAGGATCACGTTAAGCAACATGGCTGCTACAGCTCGGTGCTAATGTGCCCAAAGCAGTCCTAGGCAATAACGTCATCTTTTACGCCAGCGTAGGGTCGTAAATGACAATATTGTGCTAGTGAAACACGTGTTTCCCAGCCGGAAGCCTGGAGAATAGAATGTTCCACACAGAACGATACATCTACAAATCTAGGTGATGGAGCAGCATGCTTTTTGTAGTAACTTTGCATGGCTACTGTCAGTCATGGTGAAGGTTATAAACATCTCCTGTTAAAGGAGCTTTGTCACTTATATGATCTTTACATTTTTACACCGAAATACCAGCAAGTTCTCTCTGCATGAGAGATACAGCAGCTCCAGACGTTTGTTTCGACCCTGTCCCCATGCTCTTCATTTTGGATGGACCTTTATTGCTTCATGCCTTCGCCCGCCTCATTCTAATACTGGTCACTGCTAAGATGAGCGGGGTTAATGGCATTGGATTTTATAACCTTTTTTATATGCTTGTCCCAGTGGCAATTTCTGATGCACGTACAAATGCATGACGGACGCAGGGTTATGGCATCAGGGCCTGATCCCATTTACACTCGTACCATCCTGGGATCGGCACCTTTTCATGGTTAAAGGCCCATAAGCACGTTCATTTGCGGTTCTATTGTTTTCCTTTTCTAGTTGACACAGCTTATTTTGACCCAGATTTTTTTTTTTGTCTTTCTGTTATCCCTGATCATCATAGTTTTTGTGTTAGTATTTCTGTCCTGGATTTCGTAATTTAGTTCTGCTACTTCAGATTTTTGCATTAAACCTGGCGACTTTGCGGTCCAGTAATACGCGTCTTACTATGACTTTCACTGTGTCTTTTATTAAGTGCTGACTTAAACTTGCTGAAGATTCTATCCATTGCTGGCAAATCACTTAGGATGTACACGATCGGGTATGGTCAAGTTTAACTTTCTCTGTGATGTCAGACAATGGGACGGACATGTAGCTGTAGCTATTTTTGCAATTTATTGTAGCTTCGGTACATAAGATGGAAGGGCATGTGTGAACTATAACCATTAAGCAGTTCACATGAGTTGGTTCTTGAAGTGTCCCTTTGATATGACATCATAGACCATCATTAGTCCTAAAGGGGTTAAATACAGTATTGCTATGGAGCTCAGTGAAACTTATGCACCAAAGCTCATAGTAAAGGGGACAAAGTCATTTGAGTTCTGAAGAATAAATGTGCTCGCTAAATTTTAATATATAATATGCATCAATTTGTGGCCCCTAGTAAGTGTTAACTGGCTTGAAGATTGTTTTTGTTCTGATTTATGCGTACGGTCCAACATCGTATTGCTTGGACTGAGTTATGAAAGGTGTTTTTCTTAGAGGTTCGCAATCTTTCCAACGCCTACTCGTTGCGCCTGCTTGCCATATTTCCTCTGCTTCCCACCGAGTAATATTTTGCAAACCTTTGGAATGTGGAGGAGATTAATTCTCCAAAAACAATCTCCGTCCTCTTGAGTCTCCTCTAGCTTAGCTTCCTCAAGGCTTGGCACTCACTCAGGCTTTGGAGCACTTGAAGAAATTGTTTTCTAATTCCTGAATTTTTCAGCTCCTAATTATCTCGTACAGGATTCTTATTTAGTCAGGTTATGTGATTGCTAATTGATCTTTTTGTTGTTACATGGATAGTCGCCAGTCACTCATTTCTGGTGAGAATTTTATTAAAAGGACAACAAACGGGAAAAAAAAACTTATCCATTTAAACGGACACTCTGGTTTCACAGTATAGATTAAACTGCTACGTAATTATATCTTTATTTTTTCTTTCTTTCTTTTCTAAGCACTATGTTACATTTACTTTTTTTCACTATTTATCCTGCTTGCATGTGAAGATCACCCACTCTGCCATATATTTCCAGCCGTCACTAAGATCTAGTCCCCTCTTACATTATATATGCATCATTTTACAGAATGAATACTTTACTCAATGGGAGGGGAATAAAGCAGCTGCTTCCTTATCTTTGATGGCATATTGCAGAGGAAATTGAATCTTTGATTTCTTGCAGTAAAATTGCATTCAGAGGTCTTAATATATAGGCTGATGGAGATAAACTAATTTAGCTCATTTAAAAACAAAACACAAAACACCTGGGCAAAGGACTGTAACCCAGCTTACACCTTACATTCATGTACGGAATCTGATAGCGCTATATAAATAATAAAATAATAATGTGTCGGAAGGCTGGAGTGTCCCTTTAATAATATAAACCCACCCAGTATAACTGTAACCTAACCTACACAGTGCACCTAATGTGTGTGGAAGCCTGGAGTGTCCCTTTAATAATATAAACCCACCCAGTATAACTAACTGTAACCTAACCTACACAGTGCATCTAACGTGTGTGGGAGCCTGGAGTGTCCCTTTAATAATATAAACCCACCCAGTATAACTAACTGTAACCTAACCTACACAGTGCATCTAACGTGTGTGGGAGCCTGGAGTGTCCCTTTAATAATATAAACCCACCCAGTATAACTAACTGTAACCTAACCTACACAGTGCATCTAACGTGTGTGGGAGTCTGGAGTGTCCCTTTAATAATATAAACCCACCCAGTATAACTAACTGTAACCTAACCTACACAGTGCATCTAACGTGTGTGGGAGCCTGGAGTGTCCCTTTAATAATATAAACCCACCCAGTATAACTAACTGTAACCTAACCTACACAGTGCATCTAACGTGTGTGGGAGCCTGGAGTGTCCCTTTAATAATATAAACCCACCCAGTATAACTAACTGTAACCTAACCTACATAGCGCACCTAACGCGTGTGGGAACCTGGAGTGTACCTTTAATAATATAAACCCACCCAGTATAACTGTAACATAACCTACACAGTGCATCTAACGTGTGTGGGAGCCTGGAGTGTCCCTTTAATAATATAAACCCACCCAGTATAACTGTAACCTAACCTACACAGTGCATCTAACGTGTGTGGGAGCCTGGAGTGTCCCTTTAATAATATAGCCCACCCAGTATAACTGTAACCTAACCCACACAGTGCATCTAACGTGTGTGGGAGCCACTGTACATGTCTATAGTATGGCAAAAACAAGCAAACATTTTTTTAAAGTAAAATATAACATTACTCGGTGCATGGAAAAATTAACTTGAGGGTATCTGATAGATTATAATGAAAAGGCTAGTGCCGATCCACATCATTTTAACACAGATTAGTTATGTCGGCTTCCTCAAGGCAGATAATCCCAATAATAGGGGCCCAGTGTGGGCATCCATGACTGGAGAAAACGAAACCTAAATATGTAACTGTAAGTCACATGCACACATCGATTATCAAATTGAAGCAAGATTTTGCCACAAACTGGTCGAATAGGCCCAGCACAAGAACAGTTTTGGGGAATGCAAGTCACGGGAGCAGTCATTCACCCTATTCCAACCCTTAGGGCTTTATGTGCTCAGAGTGTGGGCCGTGTTTTGCTGGTTTTTCTGTTTGTTTTTTAATGGCTGTGCCCGGTGATGGGATCGTTGGAGCATATCTAAAATGAAACCTTCGGACTTTCCAGGAATGACTTACGATTAAAATGTGCACAGGAAACCTGTTTAATTTTCTTTTTATTGATATCTCGGTTATTACAGCACAAAAGACGAGATGGGTTTGAAGGTCAGGATTAGTTCGAGTCAAGTACGGGGCATGTTTGAAGACTGTCACTTTCCTGGCACTTAGTCATAGGATACGTCTGGTTATGAAACTGTGCAGGACGAGCACTTAATGCCTGACGCTTTGTTTAAACCTCTCGCTCGGGCTGGCTTTTCCTCTGTTAGATGGTTTATTGCTCTGTTATTGCCTCTGATGGATTGTCCCTATTTTTATCAGCCGTTTCATGTTCTCATCTGGGTGTTATTGTTTATAAGCTCCATATATTTACCTTTGTATGTCTCTGTAACAATTGCTTTTAAAGTGACGCTTTCCACTGTTGGCTGCAGATCCTTCGTGGCACTTACATGGGAACCATCTATTTCCAAGGTTACCTTCTATAAACAAATCACTTTCCATAATTTATCAGTCAAACCTTTTAAATAGCACGTGAGAAAATGTTTACTTTAATATCACTAAAGGCTTGAAATATTTTCTAAATGTATCGCATTGTTTTAGATTTGTATCTCCATAATTTTATTATATCTCAATATTGGGAGCCTTTTGGGAAGATGGAGGGCGTGTGTGTGTGGTAGTGACGTTGTGCCTGTCATTTTTGAGTAAAAGTGACAAAAAAAATTGGTTGTGTCTGCCAAATGCCTATGTGCGCAAGGAAAATGGAATAATGGCAAATATGGGGTCAATTCCCCAAAATGTACGACGTAGTAATAATGACAGTTTATCACTTAAGTAGGGATTGTGTTACGCTAAAACGAAATTTTAATAAACCTTAATTAGTATGCTTCATGAAGACCTGTGAGTAAATTTACTTTTTAATTTAAAAAAAATAAATAATAATCTTAAAGGACCACTATAGTGTCAGGAACACAAACCCGTACTCCTCACACTATAGTGGTCAAATCACTGTTTAGGTTCCACTTTTTTCCAGGGCTGCGCAGGTCTCGCAATGACGGTCCCCGCCTCGTTCAGTCTTTGTAGCTGAGATTATTAAATTGGATGATTGGGAAACATTGGGAGGCTATAGCGCAAAACGCTACGCTGCATCAGTCCGCAACTCCTCATAGAGCTCCATATTGTTGGTGTGTCTGAGTGTGTAACAGAGCTCCACATCAATAATACTCCCAGTGATGTGACTTTAAACTCCAAAAAAATGTATACTCCATTATATTTTTTAGTTGTGAAACTTATTAGTAAGTCACCTAAAATTTCTTGGAAAAGCCTGTAGCGTCAACACTTACTCACACCCCTAAAATGAAAGTGTCCCACTTTGTTAGTTTGAAACGTTGGGAAGTATGCAATATAATTATACACTTATTGGAAATAGAACAGGGACACAGAAACAGAGAAAAAATGCAGGGTGTAGCTCCGGTCAGAAACTAGTTTTTGCACTTTCCACTTCACCATTAATGAGTAAAGAGTAACGGCCGGCCCAACAATTCAGCTTTGTAGTAGATCATTCACCGAAGAGAACAAGAATGTATTTTTTATTTCTTTTTTAAATTATGGTCTCGATGAAAGCTCATGCTGCCTCCGGATTAAGGATGTTTATCTCCAATTTTTTTGGAAGTTTTTAGGGCTTTTCTATTTTGATCGGTTTCTAAAGCAGACGAGGATCATTTTTCAGCTTAAAGCACCAAATCTCGCTCATGTGAATTTCATGATTCAACTGCTACAATAACATCACAGACATTGAAATAGAAACTAAGCACAGAAGCTACAGTGGATTTTAAAAAAAGGAAATGAAAGTGCTGTGTGCGTTGACCTGGTACGCGCTTTTATTCTAGAAGGAAAACCATTAATACGTTCAGGCCTCCCAAGGGGGCTTATTCACTAAACACCGAGCCATGTGCAACTCCTCAACTGCGGGGCTGCAGGAAGACTGACCTATAGAATATTTTATTTCCTTTAGTAATACTGGATGCCTTATTTTTTGTCCCTTTTCAAGAACCTTTCAAGAATATTTGGTGTGTGTACCTCGCAGACTGCCACAGGAATACATCTCATCTTACTGTGTTTTAAACTGAGTAATTGTGGCTATAAATCCATTGGAAAAACCAATGAAAGAAATCATAAGGTCATAAATTATTCATTGGAATACCCACCCAATAGCTGGTGAAATTTAAAGATTGCGGGGAACCAGACTTCATCCCCTCTTTGGGAAACCCCAGCTCCAGATATATTGGACTCATATGAAATATTAAAGGGTTACTCCAGCCTTTTTTGTGAGAGGTTCCGTATTGGATACTGTTAAAGGACCACTATAGTGCCAGGAAAACATACTCCTTTTCCTGGCACTATAGTGCCCTGAGGGTGCCCCCACCCTCAGGGTCCCACTCCCGCCCGGCTCTGGGGAGAGAAAAGGGGTAAAATTTACCTTTTTTCCAGCGCCGGGCGGGGAGCTCTCCTCCTCCGATCCTCCTCCTCTCCTCCCATTCGGCTGAATGCGCACGCGCGGCAAGAGCTGCGTGCGCATTCAGCCGGTCTAATAGGAAAGCATTCATAATGCTTTCCTATGGATGCTTGCGTGCTCTCACTGTGATTTTCACAGTGAAAATCACGCAAGCGCCTCTAGCGGCTGTCAATGAGACAGCCACTAGAGGATTTGGAGGATGGATTAACCCATTTATAAACATAGCAGTTTCTCTGAAACGGCTGTTTATAAAAAAAAAAAGGGTTAATCCTAGAGGGACCTGGCACCCAGACCACGTCATTAAGCTGAAGTGGTCTGGGTGCCTAGAGTGGTCCTTTAAGTCACCGTCTGTGTTTGTAGTAAAACCTGCAAAAAAAGGTATTGACTAACCCGGAATCCAGCATCCGGTGAAGCTGCCGGCGCTGTCTTCCCTTCATAATATCAGCCAAGGCCTCATCCTGTCATATTGCAGGCTTCTTATGGAGAACTATTTCGCTGGCTCAGAGCGCATGCCAGGGCTGGACTGGGAATAGAAAGCAGCCCTGGAATACTATACCAGTCCCATAATGCATCGCGCCAGCATAGTGCGCAGATATGGAAGCGGGAAAAAAGCTGAAAACTAAATGTGAAAGAAAGCACTCATAGGGCTTCAAAATAAACAAAATTGCGGATTTATTGTAAGCAGACGTGCCTTTGCATATAATCAATGTTTCAGTCCAACTACCTTGACGTATTAAGGAAAGTTTGGTCATTTGGACTGAAATTGTGAGTGTATGCTGTTGCCCAGCAGACATTATCTTGCTTATTTTGTAAGTAATAAGAGTGTGCTCCTCACTTTGACCGACATCTGGACGATCTCAGTCAACGCCAATTCAATTCCCATAGGAAAGCATTGGGGGCCTATTGGGCATGTGTGGCAAAACGCTGTGCTTCACCGCACCAATCAGCATCTCCTCATAGAGATGCATTGCATCAGTACATCTCTATATGTGGAGCAATCAGCGCCTCCATGCAGAGTGTGCAGCACTGGACTAGGAAGCACCTCTAGTGGCCGTTTGAGTGACTGTCACCAGAGATGTGCCTAGGCAGCAATATAAACACTTTTCTCTGAAAAGGTAGCATTTACAGTGCTCAGCCTACAGGGACAGGCTACATACACCAGAACCACTACATTAAACTGTAGTAGTTATGGTGACTATAGTGTCCCTTTAATACGACATCTTTCTCTCACCGGTCAACTCTAAATTACAGGGAGAGGAGGAGACACAAGTGAAGATGCATTTTATTTGTGTCTTTCTCCCCCAAGCCCCTTCCATGTGTCTCTTAGCCCCAGCCCCATTGTCTCTTTCTCCCTTTCCCCAGCCCTTCTGTGAGTGTCTTTCCCAGGCCCCAGCATGTCTATGTGTATCTTTCCCCACAGCTCCTCTGCATGTCTTATTCTTCTCTTCCCAGCCCCTCTGTGTGTCTCTTGTTCGCCTTCTTCAGCTCCTCTGTGTGTGTCTCCTGTTCCCCTTTTCCAACCCCTCTGTGTCTTTCTCCCCACACCTCTCAATGTGTCTTTTTACCCCACAGCCCTCCATGTGTCTCATTCCACCCTTTCCAGTCTTACATGTATCTCAGTAGCCCCCACATTTGTCCCATTAGCCCCCAGCCCTCCATGTGTCCTAAAGCCCCCCCTCAGCCCTCTGTGTGTCCCACTTGCACCCTCCCAGCCCTCCATGAGTCCCATTAGTCCACCCCAACTCTCTCTGTGTCCCATTGGTTGCCTTCCCCAGCTCTCCCTGTGTCCCATTTGTCCCCCTCAGCTCTCCCTGTGTCCTATTAGTCCCCCCTCTCGGTGTCCCATTAGTTCCTCCCCAGCTCTCCTTGTGTCCCATTAGTTCCCCCTCCCTGTGTCCCATTAGTTTCCCCAGCTCTCCTTGTGTCCCATTTGTCCCCCCAGCTCTCCCTGTGTCCCATTAGTTCCCCCAGCTCTAACTGTGTCCCATTAGTTTCCCCCAGCTCTCCTGTGTCCCATAGTTTCCCCAGCTCTAACTGTGTCCCATTAGTTTCCCCAGCTCTCCTGTGTCCCATTGGTTCCCCCAGCTCTCCCTTTTGTCCCATTAGTTCCCCCCCCCCCAGCTCTCCCTGTGTCCCATTAGTTTCTGTCAGACTGGGTAGGGGAACAGGAGCTCCTCTACCCCGGTCTGCCTGCTCGGCCACGCTACATTCTGGGACCGGCAGGAGGGTAGGGGAAACCCCTCTTGCCTGTCACCCTGTAATTGCGCTGTGCGGCCCGCGGGCCGGTGCGCACTAGGTGGCCGCGCACCGACACTCTGGGAAATTTCCTAGTATAGCAAAATGAGCAGTTTTATTAGAAGAGAGGGGAGAAAAACACTTCCCTTGCAGACACTGACGGCAGACATGTTTTATGCACATAACTGACGTTAGGTTGCCTGGAACAGAGTCCTGGGTTGCCTAAGTCACATGTGATGTGTAACTAGCCCCTGGCACACTAGTGCAGATTACTCTGTATGTGCATTGTTTCCAGCAGAAACACTGCACTTAAAATCACTGAGGTGGTCATGGTAGTTGGAGTAACACTTGGTTAGATTGCATTGTTGGGCACGCCTCTCTTTAAGGGGATTTTCTACAGCGTTCACCCCACTCTTTCCCACCAACTAGTCCAGTTCAAACCAGTCTACTAATGACAGAAATAGGACATCGTTGTGTAGCAGCAAGGCTTCTCATTCTCCCTGCTCTGACTAACACAGGAGGGAGAGCATCATAAATCACACTGATCAGACTCCCTCTGTTCTCCTACTGTCAGGATGTTACAAGGTGAAGAGATCTTCCAACTGCACATGTGTAAATCTGTCAGGCATGCGCAATGCACTTTTGCAGCATTCCTAGGGATAGGGCACTGATTGGTTAGAAAGTTACTTTTACAATTGTGTTTATTTTTTATTATTTAGGGTTACTAAATGGTGGCAAGGGTTTTTTGATGCATTTGTTTTATAGATATGCCCATTACCATCTATTCTATAGTACCCATTTGTTTTAATATTTGTTGTTTTTTAACTATTTACTATTTGAACAAATAAATCATCTATTTTTGTGGAACTCCATACCATTGTGTACCTGACCTCTTCAATTGGATCCAGTAGCCATATTTGGCACCCCTGAGCCTTTAAGACAGAGCCTGGCACGGCTCTGGACCATGTGAGTCAGATTCTAACCCCTACCCGGTTTTATTTTGTGTGATTTATATACTGTATATACTGTGTAGCATTGTAGAATCAAGAATATTACATGCGTTTGTATACATTTTTTTACTCTATTTTATGACACTTGAGTTTTTGTTTGACACTGGTATATATTTTATGTCTTGTAAATATGAAAACAAATATATATTTATATATATATATTCACTTTTCATTTTTCAGCCTGCAACGTGAGGCATCTGTTTTATTTAAAGCTTTTGAATGCGGCAGTTTTCTGAAAGTGATGCATGCACATTGTACAGCGCTGCGGAAGCTGTTAGCGCTTTATTAAAGGGACACTATAGTCACCAGTGCAACTACATGTATTCCTAACCCTATAGTGTTAACACCACCATCTGGCCCCCCTGGGCCCCTCATGCCTCCATAAATATAGCAAAATCTTACTGTATTCAAGCCTGAAGTTGTAACTGCATGCTGTTTGCCTAAAAAACAAACAAGCAGTCTGCTGACATCATCAGAAGTGGTGGCCTGATCCAATGCTTCCCCATAGGATTGGCTGAGACTGACAGATGCAGATCAGTGGCAGAGCCAGCATGATTCAAACACAGCCCTGGCCAATCAGCATCTCCTCATAGAGATGAACTGAATCAATGAATCTCTATGAGGAAAGTTTAGTGTCTGCATGCAGACGGAGGAGATACTGAATCACAAGATGCTCGGGCACAGCAGATCTGAGTGGATGGAGGCATATTATGCCTCCATCAACTCAGAAGTCCCTCTGGTTCACTCTGAGTGACTGCAACTGGAGGTGTTCCCAGCTTTAAATGTAAACACTGTATTTTCTCAGAAAATACAGTGTTTACATGAGAGAGGCTGCAGGGAGCTATAGTTCTCACCTGAACAACCTCATTAAGCTGAAGTTGTTCAGGTGACTATAGTGTCCCTTTAATAATAATAATGTCCCTGTCTTTTGTGCTGCTGATCTGTGTTCAAATCTTGTTATGGTTAAATACATTTTCTCTCTCTTTTTTTTTTAATGATTTTTGCTAAATCGGATAAAAGTGGTAAAATAGTGATTTATTGACATTGTTTCCTGTTGGGAAAAGGCTAACTTGTCAATTTCCATTACAAAACGTGGTGTACGGTAAAGGTACACTGTGCAACAACATACAACACTGCGGTGATATAATTATTTTCTCCCCTTTTTCTACTACAGAACAAACTGACTCATTGATAATAAATTTATGGCTGGCTGGATAAGATTCTGAGGGCAACTGGATATGTGTAGTGTATAGTTTGTTTCTGAAATGTGTCCAATCAGAGAGCACCAATATATATAATTTATTTATTTTTATTATCACAGTTATCTGGTGCCCCCTGTGATGGATGAGCACCCACTAACATACACTCTCCAAAAACCAAAAAGTTCTATTTTGCCAACTGAAATGTTGGTGTTCCGTGACCTTATGAAAAGCATAGTTTGTATCTAAAGAGTTTAGTTTCCCAAATTGTTATTGAAAGATTAAGAAAGCAGCATACGTTATGTGGTAGATTTGAGTGGAACAGCCAGTTTTAGGCTCTAAGTCTAAATAGTCTGCCTGGTCAAAACGATTCATTTTATTATATAAAAACCATACAAACCGTAGTATGGATAGAAAATATCAAATGGAACTGAAATTAAAAGGGAAAAAACCAAAACAAATGCCTATCGGTAATTCCACGTTAATAACCGGTGTACTCTCCCATGTCTCTCTCTGTTCGTTTGCTGTTGCTCTGATATTTAAGACTTGTCAGTCTGCCTATATCCCATCTCCTTTCCCATTTCCGTTGATGTTCCTATATTGTTCCTCTCGTCCTTCTCACCCCTCCCTTTTCTACTTTGTAAATCACCTGCTATAAGTATCTCAGGGAGTCTGAAAATCCCACCTAGACTCAAATGAATCCAGGATTCCAACGAGGAGTTGTGAACCGTGGCATTTTAATAAATGGAGGGTAAAAGGAACCTACCAACTTTATAAATGGATACATAAATCAAAATGTCTTACTGCAAGTCCAGAGAGAACCCTGGAACAATCTGAGGGCCACCACAGGTCCAGAGCTTATAGCTGGGCTGTGCAGCCAGATCCAGCCAGCGAATACTATATTATTATATATTTCTCCTTTATGGAATTTATTGGTATATTACATGTAATAACTAGGATTATAGAACAACACGGTCCTTCGTGATAAGTCCAAATAATTTCCTTGTACGCACACATTTGATATTGTGTCTGTCTGTCTGTCTGTCACTATGACTATCTGTCTGTCTATCCATCTTTGATTGACAAGCTATTTTTCTTTGTTTCACCCTGACATAATTAATGGGAATCTTGTGTTTTAAAATACATATTCTCTGACTGGTTTCTTGTGCTCATGTGACAGTGGAATTTGATTGTAATTGAATTGCCGCTGTGCCCCTCTGTCAGTCTGCTCTTGAAACCCTCATGACGTGTAGGGGATGGAGCGTGTCTCAATTGTTCCTGACATCTAATTCTGCTTTTGCGAACGTGTTTCCCTGCAGTGCATCTCCCCATTTCAATCCAATCTGTTTTCTCTTTGAAAGAGCAATCATATCGACTTGTGCTGGAAAAGGTCTTAGGATAGAGCCTGCGGAGGTAGGAAGTACAGAACACAAAGATACTTTGGAGAAGTTATATGAGGAATATTCTGTGTTTCACAATAAACCCCCTTTTAGTAAATGAAGGAGATAGCTGTGAGATATTCTTGGATATTTTAAAGAGAACCTACAACCCATTAATTCTGTTATGTACCTTTAACCCTATCACGACATTCCATTCTGCAGTCAGAATTGCTTAACAAATGTGAATGAATTGAACAAAAAACAGAATTATCTGTAATTGGCATTCGTTTGCAGTAATCCCCATACATAAAGGCTTACACTATACTCATTTTTTTACGACCGTGTTTTTGTTTTTCCTTTTTATCATATGTTTTTTTTTTTTTTCTTTAATTCTGAAAAATAAAAATACAAAAAATTAAACATTAGACTTTGACAATTTATTGCAAATCCTTGACACGTTAAGCATACTGAAACGGACATCTATAAAATTAGAAATAAAAAGGCTGCTATTAAACTTGGTTATCTGCTCACGCTGTTTAGTCTTCATCTAGGCCTTTGATGTGTCCAAATGGTCATCCTGTCACTAAACAACTTACAAGATGTGAACGGAACAAGCAGAATTGTTATTTTTGTGTCTGGCACCAATTTAGAACAAATATTAAACATGGTGCGGAGTTACTGTGCTTTTTTTTTTTAATGAAAACATGGAAGCTTTGGAAACAAAATACTTTATTTACAAATGTTTAGTGCTTGTGCAGTGCACTGTGTTCATGTTTTTCCTTTGATATAGAAATTAGTGTATGAACAAAGCAACAAATATTTAGGCGCCCAATATAAAAGGTGTGAATTAATCATTGCATTACTGAGGAGGTCAGTAACTGGTTTAATCTTTCCAGCAGTGTCCAGTAAAGTACAAATGATTAACAGACGTGTGGAAATCATATTAGCTGTGAAGAACAAGTATTACTCCATGGCCCTCATGACATTATTTTAGAAATATTCTGCTATAAAATCTTGATACAAACCTGCTCTTCTCAAAGAACCATTCCTGTACATATGCAGGGCAACTGGAGCATCAGTTTTTAAAGGGATTCTTTAGTGCCAGGAATAAAAAATAAAGTGCTCCGCTCCCTCCTCCGTTCTGCATTGAGTGGGGTCTAATGCGCATGCATGGCAAATGTCGCTTGCACATTACACCCCCCCTTGGGAAGCATTGAATCAATGCTTTCCTATGGGGAAAAATCTGACGCTGGAGGTCCTCATGCAGAGCGTCAGGACGTCCAGCGTCAGATACCGAACCAAATGTCTGTTTCAATTCAGGAAGCCCTCTAGTGGCTGTCTAGTAGACAGCCACAGAGGGCAGACTTAGAGCTGCAATGTAAACATTAGTTTCTCTGGAACTGCAATGTTTTACAAAAAAAGGAACAGTGCACCCAGACCACATCAATTAGCTGAAGTGGTCTGGGTGTCGACAGTGTGCCTGTAAGAAGGGCTTTATGCGAAGAGGGCTGTACCTAGAATAAAAATTAAAAAGTATTTTAGGCCTAGAATAAAATTTAAAAAGTGCTTTAGGCCTAGAATAAAAATTAAAAAGTGCTTTAGGGGACTAAACTTTAATCAAAATCCAAGCAAGAGACCGTCATTTAGTGACACACTTACTGTTATGTCTATCTAGTCATCTTCTTCTTCAAATGCAGGCTGCTTGACTACCTGCCGTTCAGCTCAGGCTGTTCGGGGCTGTGCTGTGTTCATACATTGATAAGGTGGTATTTTTATTTTATTTATTATAATTTTTTTTTGGGAATAAAGAATTTAGGAGCGACAGAGGCAGTCTGATGCTTCTGAACACCGCAAATATTTTGTTTTTGAAAAGAAAATACACAGATGCGTGGATGTAAAAAAATACAGCATGTTAATGTGGTCAAATTAATTAAATATGTTATTTCAGCAGTGGCACAATATAATATTGCACTGTTAGTACTTTTAAACATTCTGCAAAGCAAAAAATAGGAGGGGAAAAAAATATATATATATTAGACTTTTTCTTAATATAATTTTTTTTATTTTGTAAAAACTCCACGGGCGACAGATTTGTTTTAATGTAGGTAAAAGTGTTCTGTAGTTGGATGACCTACATAATAATTACGTAAGACTTCAAACTATGATTTATTTTATTTTTTATTTTTATTTGTTACAAGCAAATATATCAAGTATGTGTTTGTTCTGTGAAAACAGGCTCGGGCTGTTTAATAAATATAGCACCTTTTTTTTATTTTTTATCACAGGCTTTGAGCTGCTGCGATTTGAAAACGTGCTACATGGATCAGATAGAGGATAAAGACGCGACTTTCGGCAATGAAGCGTTTCAGTACAGAATGGGTCTCAACGACAACAAAGCCGGCATGGAAGGATTGGATAAAGAAAAAATCAATAAGATCATAATGGATGTGACTAAAGTGAGTGCGTCCCCGCGGTAAAACTGGCACTTGGCTTTGTGCTACAGAACATGTGTTGATGCTTCCAAAAATGCTTTATCACTGAACTGTGGGACTGTACAAGGCGACTCGAGGCACCATAACCACTTCTGTGAGATCAAGTGGTTGCCAAGGGTGTCACATTAAGCAGATCATAGATCATTAGTTCTAGATGCCGATTTTTTTTTTTTTTTTTTTTTCTTATGAGCCACACACGCTCCTTAATGATTCCCTTCATCTGTTACGAAATATGGAATATTTTCCTGCCTGGATTGGGATTTTAGGATAAAAGGTTGCCCTGGTAACAGCTCTTATCTTTCCGAGACCAAATGAAGGTCTTCGAAATGAATGTCTGACATATGATAGGAAATCACAGGATTATTTTTGTAATATTCAAGATTGGGAAAAAACTATTTTCTTTCATTTTGGAAAAAAAGTAAATTAACATTTAAAAAAATAAAAAAATAATATATATGTATTTTTATTTTACGCAGGGCTCAAGATTTTATGACAACGAACTGAAAAAGGATCAACAAGTGAATCAACGCATTGAAAAAATGATGCAACAAAAAGCCAGACTGACCAGCCAGCAAATCAAGAAAGCCCAGGCCCAGGTATTGCACCTGCTATTGTTGAAGCAGGCTGTCAGTGATGGGAGTTGTAGTATAATTTTGGATGAGCTCTTGCTGTTTTCCCAGCTCTTCCTAGCTTGGATTAATGATAGAGAAATTAACGCACTTCTGCTGTTGAGAACTGCGTTCCCTGTAACACTCATGAAACCAAATGTCTGGCTGGGCGTCATAGGAAGTGTAATGCAGAGCGGCACAGTGTCCTAGGTTAGCAATCGCTGGTTCTGGATGAAAATCAAAGCTCTAATTAAGGAACCAATCTTTGGTTCTCTGAGGTGTTAAACTGAAATTAAACTCTTAACAGATTAAGGTTTAATGTGTTAATTAAAACAATTAGTTGGGAAGTTTACCTGCAAAAGGTCAGATATTTTAATAGAAACTTTGCTATATAAAGTCTGACTTTGATTAAAATTTGTAGCCGTCAGTCTGCGCTCAGTCTTCTACATTTCTACATGTCACTGCGCCACTGGGATTTAGTAAACCACAACACAATAGCCTTATCTTTAATTATAGCCCTGGACACACAATGTCTGTGATTTGCAAACCTTTCTCAAACATAATGAGAATGTAAATACATATTGAAAGATTACTCAGCGCACCATGACCATTTCAATGTTTTGAAGTGGTCCTGGTGCCTGTAGTCTGTATGTGCTATTATTTCGTCTTGAAACGTTGCACATATGGATTTTAACCCTAATGCTGCCGGCGTCACAGGGACACGTCATTAGCCAGCCCGGAAGAAGAGGTCTGGGTTGGCGAATGTCAATTCTGTGCTTATTCCTGCACATCATTGCATTCGTTGACTGAGTGAGGTCAGATGACACTGAGCCGGATTGAATATAGCTCTGCATTATGGGGTCACAGGACCAGGGTACAGTGTGGTATAATGGTTATAATGCTTGGAGTAACCCTTTAACTTCTGTCTGTTGCAATGTATCTTGCCTGGAAAGGGTTAACTCGCTTTGATTGCAATGACTTGAAAATTAAACTGCAGCATTTATGGTAAGATAGTCAAGCCGTGACTAAAGCTTCGTTGGAGAACCTTTTTTTAAATAACCAGTTTTTTCATTTTCAATTAGCACAATTCATTGTATAGTGTACAAACTGCAGATAGAGTTGCAATCATGGCTTTTCAGAGGAATGGCTTGCTGTTTTCATGTAAATGTAATGCACTGTTACATACCACCTTAAGAAGTTTGGAACGTGGGAAGCTGGGGGAGGGGGTGACCCCAATAAGATCAGCGTGCTGTGATACAATAAGGTATGCATCAGCATGTCAAACTCATAAGAAGCTCACTGAAATGTTAAAAATAAATAAGAAAAATACTAATTTTACAACAAAATAGCTGAATTGGAAAATGCTATCAGCTTAATTTGTTTGAGCTAAACTTTGCAATCACCCTGGCTATCCTCCATGTTTCCTACTTAGTTTTTTTGTAAATTGCTTTTGAAGAGTGTTTTTTTTTTGCACAACCCGTTTAATTCCAATTTGGTCACTACATCTGCCGATGGCTGTGCTAGGTATCTACTACCCTTCCTGTTAAGTAGTATTTTCTCACATATTGTATCTTTAACCTTCTGCTTCCACATAATGGTATCTGGCTTTATTTCTCATTTTGTAGAAACATTTCTTCCACTCTTAGGTTATTAGGATGTTTTGATTGTCTCATTGTTCCCCCATCTTGGAATTATACATATATCTATATATTGTGGTAGCATATGCACCTATACCTCTATTTATGTTTTGTCTATTATGCTTGTCTTTCATCCTTAGTCTCCGCCCTTTTATCTCCAGTTCCCAATGCTGTTCTCCTCCTCTCCAGAGTTTTTTCTTGATTTCTTTCTCCAGCATCTCAAATTCACCTTTCAATACTCTGTGTCTAAACAAACTATCTCCAGTATCTAAGTCCTCCACACCTCAGCCTCTAGACACCTCTTGGCTTAATGGAGCACTTTAGTCACCCAGACCACTTCATCTCAATAAAGTGGTCAGGGGTCCTTTAGTTTTAACCTTGCAATGTAAATAGGGTTAAATCCACATCTAGTGCCTGTCTACCAGACAGCCACTAGAGGCACATTTTTCTGCAGGTCAAGTAAATTTCAGTCTGGGAATCAAATGCTGCTCATTGGAGGAGCGTGATGTTTGGCCATGCATGCATATCTCCAATTCATTGCTTTTCTATGATAATCAGCAGATTGGAGGAGATCACAAAAAAAGTCAGCAGGCATAATGATGTCTTCGGAGGCGTAGCGGGCACTGTCAGAAAGACCGCTACTACAGGTATACTTAATCCTGCAACAGCAATGTTTTAATTGCAGGGTTAAAATGACAGGACCATGCACTCAGACCACTTGATTGAGATTACAAGATCACGGTTAATTTAGTGGTCCTTTAAAAAAAAAAAAAAAAAAATACACAACAAAAAAAAAAATGACAAAACAAAACTGTGGTTTGGCGAATACTGCACTAAGCTCCTAAAGTACATTTGGGTGAATACTTTCTGGTATAATATTTGGCACTGAGGAGTTATTTACCATAATTATATTTACTTGCTTTTAAATCTGGAGTTTGCGGTTAGTAGGTCTTGCAAGGGACTGCTGTTAAAAACTGCCATCCAAGATCTAGATAGAAATTCTTATAGCAACTTTGTCACCTCCCCCTACCTTGTGCCAAGAAAGAGATAATCGCAGGTAAAAGTAAACATTAAAGGGAAACTGTAGTGCCAGGAAAACAAACTTGTTTTCCTGGCACTATTGTTTCCTCCTCTGTCAAGGCACCCCCCGTGGTGCAGAAGGGTTGATAACAACTTCTGTCACTTACCTAGGTCCAGCGCAGATGGCTCAGCTCCGCCCACGCTCTGACGCCAGCCAACAGGGGAGACCTAATGCGATGCACAGCAATGGCCACGCTCGCATTAGGATTTCCCCATAGGAAAGCATTATTCAGTGCTTTCCTGTGGGGATTCCGGTGACGCTTGAAGTCATCATGCATAGCGAGAGGACATCCCGCATTGTTTAGATCAGTGGTTCTCAACCCAGTCGTCAAGTACCCCCTACCATCCTCAATTTAGGGATTACCCTGTTGTGTCTAAAGTGTTTTGTTTTTTCCCCCCTAAAAACAACTTAGATGCAACTGGGCAATCCCTAAATCCTGGACTGTTACGGTGTACTTGAGGACTGGGTTGGGAATCACTGGTTTAAACAACCAAAAGTCGCCTATCCACCCAGAAGTCCCTCTAGTGGCTGTCAGGTATACAGCCAGTAAAGAAGGAGTTAACCCTAGCGGGTAATTATTGCAGTTTATAAAAACTACAATAATTACATGCTCAGGGTTAAGGGTGATGGGAGTTTGCACCCAGACCGCTTCAATGAGCTGAAGTGGTCTGTGTGCCTACAGTGTCCCTTTAACTTAACTGTAAGTCTATTTACAAACATATTTTATGCCTGTAAAAGCACCATGTAATCATAATTTAGTTACAGGTAAAATAAAATAACATATTGTTACAAGGTATCAACTAAAGTAACTTTTTTCATTTCTGTATAACTTTTTTTTTTAAGATAAATACCTTATAAGTTAGTAACTTGCATATGTGTTAATAAACTACTACACAGCTGCAGACTGTACATCATGTGAGATGTAACCCATGATAACAGTTTCCTGTCTGCTGTGTGCCCAATGTATATTTAACCCTTCTGTGCTTGCAGGGCCAAACCTAGACATTTTGCTGCCTGGATCCAAGTATGAAATATCCCCCCCCCCCTTCCACAAAAAATAATGTCATGCTCGGCTCCAAAAAAATAATTGGATTACTTCCCAATTATCTCCAGGATAGAAGACTCTGTGGAACTGGGTTTGGGCAGAAAAGCCATGCTTCATTTGGTCACAAGGGACTTCGATCTATCTTTTGAACCAATTTGTATGATTTTGACGTATGTTTGCATTTGGAGTGCATTTGCTGATTCTGAAAATGTAAGTTTTATGTGAATGTGATGCATACTTTTAAAATTATGAATAATGTGGAAAAACTGTATTTCTTCCTGTGATAATGACATTACCCATTGTGTAAGGTAATTGTATCACCGGCAGAGGGGAGTATTTTGTGTGGGAGTGTCTGAGTATATTGTACGTGTTTATTGGTTGTTTTCCTAAACCCTGTGGGTGGTACTAATGTGTAAGAATGTGTATATAAGAACAATAAAGTTTTTAATAATAGAGTTTATTGTATGCTGTTCCAGTTCGACTGTTAGGAGTGTAAACCTATTCGTATGGTTTTTCCTATTTGGCTGTTTACGACATTCATATGGTTTCCCGTTCAGCGGATTGATGCCTTTGGTAGCTGCCAGTACATCTGGAAGGGGAATATCTCTTAAACGGCTTTTAACCCTTTTTATGCCTCGGGGTGCCATTACAATTGGTGGCAAGCGGCGGGATCGTTCCCACAGCCAGAAGGACAGCTACAGGAGACACCATCCCGTGGATTTACAAGTTGGGGGCAACGCATGTCCCAGTACAGCGACCCTAAAAGCAACAGAATGGAACCAGCAGTGTTATACGAGGAGGAGGACCTGGATGGTCGGGATGCATTATGGAAAGGCGTCTGGTACCAGGCCCTGGATAATGTACAATACCAGCGGGGTGAGAGTCTCCCCAGTGAAGAGCAGCGGTTGCAGAAGCAAGTGGCCCTGCGGATGCCCTTTGTAGCAGAGCAGCCCCTGGAGGAATGGGTGAAGGAACTAGAGCTATGGCTGGAGGATGCCTACCAGGCATATATACCCTGGACAGCCAAGCATGACAAGCCAGAGGGAGAGGAGTTTGATGGTCCTGGCTTGTTATGGGAGTCCTTTGCAGAGCCTGACTTCGGGAGCCCTGCGCAGACCAGACTTCAGGACATTTTCTACGAGAGGGAGGCTAGGCATGACTGGGATGACCTCCATGAGGTAGAGCAAGACCTGGCTCACCTAGCAACCCTGGAGTGGGAACTGAAGCAGGACTACCGAGATCTCTTCCACTCCATTGAGAAGGCTCAGCAGGACAGCAAGGTGACAAATCCAGACCCATTCAGCTGGGAAGATATTGTGGAGATTTACTGGGAAGAACCCCAGGTGGCCGTTGGAGATGGGACCGAGGTCTCTCCACTGGTCCTGCAGGGAATTGGGAGCCTAGTCTCCATTCCCCAGCGGTAGAGTGATTTATTGGGAATTGGGAGCCCAGTCTCCATTCCCCAGCGGCAGGCTGAGTTACAGGGGCAGAGACAGTCGGTCCTGTCCCCCAGCAGCAGAGTGACTTACTCGGAGAGGGGAGCCGTGTCCTCCCTCCCCAGGGGCAGAGTGTCCAGCAGGGAATAGAGACCCCAGTCTCCTTTCCCCAGCAGCAGGACACTGTATTGGGAGAGGAGACAGTCGGTCTCCCTCCCCAGTGGCTGGAAGTATGTATGGGAGAGGAGCTTGTTACCCCCTCTCCCCAGCGGCATCTTAACGCACCAGGGGGAGACAGTAAGCCCCAAAATCGTGCAGATGGGACCGTGGTCTCTGCACTTACAGCACAGGGGGTAGGGACAGTTGGTCCTGTCCCCCAGCAACAGGGCTTTTTAGCCAAAAGGGAGACAGTCGGTCTCCCCCCACAGCAGCATGGTGCTTTGTCCAAAGGGAAGACGATCGGTCTCCCCCTCCAGCAGCACAGCTATGTATCCAAAGGTCTCCCTCTCCAGCAACCAGGCTCCCACCAAGCTACTTCCGTGGTAGTGCTGGCACCAGGGCATAGTACAGCTGGTCTCTGCCCACCTCGCAACCCACCAATTCAGCATACCAGTCCCCCACACAGCTGTGGTGAGGCACCTGGACATGGACAACTTTTCCCCGTACTCAGGTGTAGTAACCATTTATTGTGGGTGGGTTGTACTACTAATTGTGTTTTATGGGTGGGTTGCTGGACTAACCAGGGCACTGACCGGCAGGAGGTCAGATACCCTGTTAGTCTGTTTGGAAAAGGGGAGAGATGTGACGAGACCAATCTCGCCACTGTGCATTGGAGGAGCCTGGTTGCCCGCCTGCTGCCTTTAGACTATGGTCCCATGTTGAAATGCTTGATTTTCCCCTGCAAAGACACGAAAGCCGGGTCATTCGGTGCTTGCCCTCTTTGAGCGGTGATACTCCAGATAGCTATGCCATGGAGCCCATTCATATAATGAAAGACTATGGAAAAGACTTTGGCTCCATGGCAATTGAACCGTATGTGTGTGATCTGAGCGCCATTCAGTAATAATGTGCGCTCAGATCTGAGCTATCTGGGGATATGTTGAATGTACCTGTTTTATGCAATGGCTGCCCAGTTATATATTTTTGTGTATTTTATTGTCTTTTGCTGTTCAATGGAGTTTTGCCTCTGTCCTTGGAGATAATTGGATTACTTCCCAATTATCTCCAGGATAGAATACTCTGTGGAACTGGTTTTGGGCAGAAAAGCCATGCTTCATTTGGTCACAAAGGACTACGATCTATCTTTTGAACCACTGGACCAATTTGTATGATTTTGACGTATGTTTGCATTTGGAGTATGCTGATTCTGAAAATGTATGCAAATGTGATGAATACTTTTAAAATTATGAATAATGTGGAAAAACTGTATTTCTCTGCCTGTGATAATGACATTACCCATTGTGTAAGGTAATTGTATCACAGGGAGAGGGGTGGATTTTGTGTGGGAATGTCTTGTACGTGTTTATTGGTTGTTTTCCAAAACCCTGTGGGTGGTACTAATGTGTAAGAATGTGTATATAAGAACAATAAACCCACAGCTCTGTCTGTTCCTGTTTTGACCCTCAACACGGAGCCTTGTCTCATTCTTGGGGGGATTTATTATATGCTGTTCCAGTTCGACTGCTAGGAGTGTAAACCTATTCGTATGTTTTTTCCTATTCGGCCGTTTACGGCATTCTTATGGTTTCCTGTTCGGCGGATTGGTGTCTTTGGTAGCTGCCTGTATGTCTGGAAGGGGAATATCTCTTAAACGGCTTTTAACCCCTTTTATGCCTGGGGGTGCCATTACAATATGTAAATACATCATTTGGTGTACTTAACTCAAATTTTAGGAAAGTGCAGGTTATAGCTAAGAATACAGAAAGATGCAAATCTTTCTTTATTTCTTTTCCCCCAAAACTTAACAGAATCGATTGTGCAAAAAAAGCCTGATTAAAGCGATAGACCCTATGAAACGCCATAAGGTTACTGTCCAGAGTGTCTCTTTTAGCAATACAATGTTTCCTATGCATTTCTCATCAGTTTAGTGAAATGTATAAGTAGGTAACGAAGTTTAAAAACATGTTAACAGCGTTTTTAGATCACAGCGGGGACTGCCATTGGTTTAGCATTATTTATTTAGTGTCTGGTCACGGACTATGGTTTGAATTCTACTTGGATTGTAAAGAACCGAACGTACAGTCCACCCTAACCGTTGGGCTTTCTGTATTTCCCAGTACCCTGTCCAGGGCTGTCTGCAGTAGTAAAACGTGTGACGGGCAAATCTCTAGATTTATAATCTATAAATGTTTATTAAAGTACATCTTTCCACCTCTGTCATATTACTGTCTCATATCATATAATTTATATTAAGGCATCATTGACCTTTTTAATATGATACCGTATCATTTTTACATCACAGCCGGCACACGCTAAAGTTCTGTTCTGACTTTTCTGAAACTTGAAATCGTTGGTAAAATTGAGTTTCTAAAGACTTCGAGTTCTTTATTCCATCGCTCTGTGTGTTTTATGGATTATGATTTAGAAAAGCCATTATTGGCACCTTCGGCACAGTCAAATCATCCCGTCTCATTTTCTTGTCAAATGTTTAAGATACGCACAAGTTGGCATTTTATATCAAATCCTGGCTCTCGTTTTATTAATTTACATCTTCCAGTGATATCATTTTTTTTTTTCTTTTACATTTTCTTTCTGTAAACTAGGTTTAAATATTTTACAGTTGAATTCTATGCTTTTTATTTTTAACATGACTTTTATATGAATTGCTTTTCAAAGACTTGTTTCAATACCCGTAAGACCTTTTTGCTTCCCTTCCTTGAAGCTTTTTCACCTAAACAACCTTAAAGCCAGACTTCTCTCTATGAAGCTCCTAGTTCACCCAGATTGTTATTGACCATTAATACACACATAGGATTGTTTTATGTTTTTGAGCGCTGAAGTCTAGTTTTGAAAATTACGGATTGAAGGAACACTATCATTTTCAGAATGCAAATATGTATCGCCAATGCTATAGTGCCCTAGTCACGGTTACCTAGCCAAGGTTAAAAAAAAGTTATAACCCTGCACCTGACAGGCTCCGACCGACACACCCTCAGGCGGACAATTTACCCAGAAGCCTAGGTCGGACACGACTGGCACAGACAGATCACGCTGTCACAGCCGAGGAGACTGTCACCCTCCTAGACATACAAGTTGAGGAGGGACTTACGGGTACCAGGCTGACCTCCATTTACCAGAGGTTAGTCGGTTCTTCTCCCACATACGGAGCTAGGTGATCCGGAGCGCTACTAGGCAACGAGGCCCGGATGCTTACCATAACCCCAGGACAGACCGATCATAAGGGTCAACAGTTAAGCACGGGATGCGCACCGCAGGGTGCTCACGCAGACGCGGGGTTGGATGACATACACTGTATTGACGGTAGACTGTCCGACTTCCCACATGACCACTATTAAGGGCTTAAGACCGCACGGTGGCACAGTCCGGATTATCAAGGGCGGGACATAATTGCAATTGTTTTGATGTTCATACATGTCTTGTATTTTTTACTGTTATACTTGCCGTATGCTTACGGAATTCACTGAAAATATTTTCAATAAATATGATTGACACAAAAAAAAAAAAAAAAAGTTATTTTATTTACCTTTTTGCCCTCACTGTGCAGGTATCCTCTGTGAATCTCTGCCTCTTTGGCTGGGATAACCGATATTGATGATCTCAGCCAATCCAATGCTTTTCCATAGGAAACCATTTGGAGACTAGTGTGCAGCGCTGTGCAGGTTATGTGGTCCCTCTGAGACAGTCTGATGGAAATAGAGAGCGTTACTCTGTTTCACAGAAGAGTCCCTATTGGCTGTCTGAGTGACAGTCACAGGGAAGGTTAATCCTGCAAAGGAAATGTAGCAGTTGCTTTACAACGATTAATGTTCCCAGCTGCAGGTTTAACTGGGGTGCCATTTTTTGTTAAAACCCTGTAATAGAACCTGTAAACTTAGCTGCAATCCAGGGCCGGACGAAGCTCCCCTTGCTCATTTCCACGCCTCTGTCCGATGTCCTATGGTCCAATAGAGAGAACCATTTGATTGTACCATTTCACTGGCACCAAACACATGCACATGCTCTATGCAAGTTAAGGGAGGCAGTGACGCAAAGGAGGGGAAGAAGGGAAAGTGAGTAAGTGAGGGGAGAAACGTGCTTCATTAGATCATTAAGCCTGCTCAGGGTTCCGGGCTGTCTATTTCACGTGTCCCAGGGGTGTAACTATCAAATATCTCCGTATGTTCCACGTTTCAAGCAGAAATGCTGCACATACAGACTATTATCACCATGACCACTTCTAAAAGCAGACGTGGTCATGGTGGTTGGAGTAACTCTTTAATTTGCCAAAATGTGAATTCTTCATGAAAGGTTTGAGTTATGTCAGCCCTCTGTATCACAGTTATGGAGGTTCTGGAAACCATCTACAGTCCTGGCTACAAGTCATTTTAACTGTTTCCAATGCAGGATAAAGCGTACTAAACCTATGTGTCCAGGTCCTGCGTAAGTATGTGGAACAACGGGGTATAATTGAGAGTGTGTGTGTGGACAGAGGGGGTCATTTAATTTCTTTACTATAGAATACATTAAATAAGTATTATTTTTAACATATAGAATCAGGATAGAATCTATGTATTCATATTTCCCCTTTTGCCCATACAGAGCACACTATAACGTTAGTCATCTGTTTAGGTCATGCTTATATCAGGAGTCTCCGTGAGGCCTTGAGCATGAGATGTTGAAATCATAAGAGTTGGGATACATTCAGTCATTTATTACCAGCAAGTTATGATGTGTTCATCTCACAAAGCTTAAAATAACTTAATATGCTGCTTTTGGGTGACCTTGACTGGGATTTCTAAACGTACTTCACTGAAAAAGGGAATTCATTAATCAAGAGACGAGAGCGAGAGTGTATAAAACTTTTTTCTTTTTTTTTTAAAGCACTATTCAACATCACCCCACGCAAATGTGTGAATAACAGGAAAGAGAACCCAAGAAGGGCAAAGGGAGACAGGAACATTTATATAAAAATAACACTTTATTCTAAATAATATACAAGGCAAATAAAAATATACATAAGCGAGTATGTGTGTGCATACTCCTATAGAAACAGGTCAGTAGACACAAAATCTAAAAACAAATTTCTCTAAAACAAAAAATTAAAAATAAAACTGAGAGTCCTGGAGACTACCTCTGGAAGAGATAGTAAATCTGATATGAAGAAAGTGAGGCTGGAGACACTCCATAAACGGCCAGCTGATGTGTTGAATAGTCTGAAAAAATCTAAGTGATCCCTTGAGACAATGTACTTAGTAATTAATGTGGATAATCGCAGATGGTCTTCCTGAGGATTTTATGATCCTTACTGTTTGTTGTAGTATGTCCGTCCTGTAAGATGTGGGTGTCCTGTCACTTCAGCGTCTCTCCTGTTTTCCCGCGTCTGATCACAGGTGGATTGTGTTTCGGGCACTCCAGCAGTTCAAAGGTGAGTAGCTCGTGGTGTTCAGTAATTCCTCACTCCTACATGTTTTGTGGGCCGTGTGGCCACTTCTTCAGGGAGTAAATAACTATTTTTTATCTACTGAATCTTACTGGACTGACATACTACAACAAACAGATCATAAAATCGTCAGGAAGGCCACCTGCGATTATCCACATTAAGTACTAAGTACATTGTCTCCAGGGATCCCTTAGATTTTTTCAGACTATTCAACACATCAGCTGGCCGTTTATTGAGTGTCTCCAGGCTCACTTTTTTTTATTGCCAGTTTATCAATGTTTTGTCAACATAAGAAAAAGAAAAGACAGCAAACCTATCATTTCACATTGTACAGTTCAGAAGTACGGTACATTAGTACAGGTGCGGGAGATTAACAGGGTTACATATCACTTGGTACATTGTTCTCTACAATGGGAACAGTTGTTCTCACAGTAGTGAAGGGCATAGATCATTTACTCGCAGTGGCTTCAGTGTCATGGGGTATATATACACGTGCTGCGCCAGAATAAGAAACATTAGTACAATAACAGCTTAACCCATAGTACCACAAGTTCTCATACATACAAGTCTTGACATTTTAGAGTTTTTTTACTCCAATGCCACACCAGACCTGCGCCCAGAAATAATATGGGCAGCACATAAAACGGTTATACGAGGAACACTTAAGATAGCAACTGCCAAAAAGAAGACGAAAGCCCAAAGTCTAAAAAGACTTTTGACTGAGTTACGGACGCTAGAACAAAAACACAAAGGACATCCAGACAATGACACATTTAGACGCTTAGAAGCGACCCGACTTGACATACGCACTCTGCTATTAGACGATACATCTAGAGTCATGACCTAGTCCAAAATATCTTTTTACGAACAGGCAAATAAAATGTCACTCTAGTGGCCAGAGTCCTCAAACCCAGAATGAGACGAGGACACATAACATCCATCCGGCATATGGATAAGTCAATCAAAACGATGCCTAAAGATATCGCTGAGGTTTTTACCGAATACTATAAATCCCTCTACAATCATTCCCCTAACTCAGAGACACTGACGATAAAGACGAAAATGCAACCCTTTGGTTCGTGCGGGACCTCGGACTACCTAAGTTACCACAAGAAGCAGTGGACATTTTAGCAGCTGAAATCACCGCTGACAAAATATACCGGTCAATAACAGCTTTAAAAGGGAACAAGGCCCCAGGACCCGATGGGTTTGATGGTAGTTACTACAAAATGTTTTGCGAGGAACTGGTCCCCCACTTAACAACAGTATTCATTGGGTTTCAGACGGGAGGCACCCCGAAGCCAGATATGTCCCTAGCCACCATCGTATTATTGCCAAAACCAGATAAAGATCCCCAGTCCCCAGACAGTTACAGGCCTATCTCCCTCATAAACCAAGATATGAAACTCTTATCAAAAATTCAGGCAGAACGCCTCAACCCATTCCTAGCGTACTTGATAGACGCTGACCAAGTCGGCTTTATACCGAATAGACAGCTATCCGAAAACACCCGCAGGTGGACACAAAGACTCCAACGTCGTTCGTTTCGCTCGGCGCGGAAAAAGCCTTTCACAGAGTGAAGTGGCCATACCTGTTCACACTCCTGACCCACCTAGGGTTCCCTGAACAGTTCATGACCTTATTAAGAGCAATGTAAAGCAACGTCAGAGCGCAGGTGAAGATCTCAGGGGCCCCGCTCTGAACTTTTCAGCTTTTCAACGGTACTAGACAGGGATGCCCCCTCTCCCCTCTTTTATTTGTCCTATCGTTAGAACCCCACTACAGGCCCTACGGCAACATCCGGGCGTGAAAGGTATAGAGGTGGGGGGGTAGAGAATTTCTGGTTTCAGCCTATGTGGATGATGTGCTCTTAGCTCTCACCGACCAACTATACGAAGGGACGGAAGTCATCACCTTTGACGCGCTAAGACAGCGGGGCCACCTCACCCCGCGTACTTTTTTAGACACATACAAATTCGAGATTTCGCAAAATTAGCACACATATAAACAGCGGCCCAGAAAAAGATGACGTTCTTTGAACGCATCTGCCTCCAAGAAATTATACCCAAAGGCATGATAACGCTCATGTATGCCCACCTCTGTTCAGAAGCTAGGGACTGGGGCAAACTAGCCTATATGGATCAATGGGATAGAGACCTAGGGGAAACGTTGGAAGGCATAGAGTGGCAAGAGATCTGGGAGGCTAACCATACCTCGTCAGTGTGCGTTACCCTTCAGGAGCAATCTATGAAAACTATGCTTCGCTGGTATACTACAACAGTTAAACTATACCAAATGCACAAAACTCCTACAGATGAGTGCTGGAGGGGTTGCGGTCTGAGGGGGACGTACATGCACATGTGGTGGGAATGCCCACAGATGGTCACATTTTGGAAACAGATACAGGCCCTATTGTCGCAGGTCTTCTTAAGAACTCCAGACCTAGATCCATGACTAATCCTATTAAGCAGGACCCTAGACGGATGGACTAGGCATGAACAAAAGCTTATCTACAAAAGACTGGCTTAAACCAGGCATACCACTCATCACAGGGGTCATAAATAGAATAAAAGAAGTCCACTTGATGGACAACCTAACAGCTAGGATAAGGGGCACCTTAAAAACTTTTCAGAAGACCTTGGGAAAACTCCAATCTGGGAAGTTAATATATAATCACGCTCCGACTGAAGAACTAAATGCCCCATTCAGGGAACCCCTCCTCCCCCACCCCACCCCCTCTCCTTTCTCTCTAACTATCTGATACCTCTCCTTCTTCTTTCTGTCTATTTCTATCCAGGCTTACAAGTTTCATAAAAACTAAATATTGACCAACATAAGGCATCCCTAACGATAGTCATATGTGGCAAACAGGAACCATAAGCACCAGAGGCAGTAAACTGCTATTCATACACAGTTAGCTCAGACGATTTTCCGAGGACAGAGTAAAACAATAAATATTACTAGCTAGCTAAAGAGAACCTTGGGAACCGCCTATATAAAAAACCATGAAGGAGATATGCCAACGAATGTCCATATGCCATAATCCTCTGTTATATATGACAAATAGATGTATATACCTAATGTTACCATCTTTCTTGCTGTTATCTACTGAATGTAAATGCTAACCATTGTTTGCAGTATTTTATGTCAATACAAAATAAAGAATTAAAAAAAAAAAAAAATTACCAGGAAAGGTTAAAGGATCTTAACATGTATAGCTTGGAGGAAAGACGAGACAGGGGGGATATGATAGAAACATTTAAATACATAAAGGGAATCAACACAGTAAAGGAGACTATATTTAAAAGAAGAAAAACTACCACAACAAGAGGACATAGTCTTAAATTAGAGGGACAAAGGTTTAAAAATAATATCAGGAAGTATTACTTTACTGAGAGGGTAGTGGATGCATGGAATAGCCTTCCAGCTGAAGTGGTAGAGGTTAACACAGTAAAGGAGTTTAAGCATGCGTGGGATAGGCATAAGGCTATCCTAACTATAAGATAAGGCCAGGGACTAATGAAAGTATTTAGAAAATTGGGCAGACTAGATGGGCCGAATGGTTCTTATCTGCCGTCACATTCTATGTTTCTAAGTGAGTCTTTTGATTTTCCTATCTGTGCGTTGGGCTTATTGTTAATTTTTGGTTTTTTATTTCTGTTTTTCCATTTATTTCTGTTTTTCTTTTTTTCTATCAGTGCAGATAATAAGCTGAGTTGAACAAAATAGGTGATTTTTTTATTTTTATTTGAGTTTACGTTCTATAAATATGTGTTTAGTCTCGGTGATTCTTCCTTTTCGAACAGATGGACAGACTTGTATTGGAATTGGAGAAGAGGCGAGATTTAAACCGTGTTATCGTGCATATTGACATGGACGCATTTTATGCTGCTGTAGAAATGCGAGACAACCCGGAACTGAAAGACAAGCCGATGGCTGTGGGATCCATGAGCATGCTGGTAAGAACTGCACGTAGATAACCGTATCTCCCAAGTGACCCTCGATAGACTCTCTTTCCTGCTCTCATCTGGCTTGTTTTAAAGCTCAGAATATTTTTATTCTTTCTATCTTCTCAAGTGCAAAGCAGACTCTCTACAGGTAAAGAGATATTCCAGGTTAAATTGCCCTGATTTTTCTCTATGTCAAGGCCATCCTGTATCCAGAACGGAGTCTCTACACTGAAGAAGCTGCAGATTTGCTACAAACTAAGGAAAATCAGGGCAATTTAACCTGGAATATCTCTTTACCTGTAGAATACTGCAGTACAGTATACACTTTTCTAAAGAGTACAGATATGTGTATAGTTTTACTTGGCTTTTGTAGAGGAAGCGCCTCTACTGGCTATCTGAAAGATGCTAAAAAAAAAATGTCATCTTTTACATTGCAGGGTTAAAATGGCAGGACCATTGTACCCAGACCATGACATCGTAACATTAGTGTTCCAATAATGCATTATAAAGATAATATTCGCAATAAAAAAAATGAAAATAAGTTGCATGTTGTATAATGTGTCCCTCGGAGCTCTGCTTAGTGGGTCTGTTTGCATTTGCATGTGGAACACTCCAATACCAGAATGAGAGTGACCAATCAGGATCCTGCCCTGCTATGCACGCGCATGCACAAATGGAGAGAACACAGAAGCACGTAGACTTAGTGGGCGGTCTTTAACAGCAGCCATTGTTATACATTTTTATAAATGGCTGCCACTAAAGCCCACTCTCAGCATAGAAGCAGAATAAATGCCCTTACATATAATCCATTTATAAGGATTTGTCAGGCAGGAAGTGTCCAAGAAGTTGCTTTAGTAAAACAATTAGTAAACAATTTACTCGGTGACGCACACGTGCCATGTACAGGTAAATGTCAAGGAAAGTCCAGTAGAGAGAGAAGACCTCAGACCTGTACTCTGAGCCGCAGGAGCCAGATCATTACACAAACTGGAACAGCACGGTACAGGCTCACTAATATCAGCTGTGTCTATTTTAGCCAGAAATCCAATCTGTATAATCTGGTTATATGGAACCAAAGTCACGGAAAGAGAAATCTAATATGCAATGTCTGAATCGCGTCAGAACAACTACGCACTAAAGGAGGTGTGCAGCGCAATATGTTGCAGGTTAATAAACGTTTCAGTACGATTTCCTACAATTTACATTTTAGTGAGAAATCCTGTGTTTTAAAATGTGATGTCCCACCCCAAATATACCCTAACCTACTGAATGTCCATTGAAATGTTTGGGGAAACTTTAATGTGATAAAAAAAATCTTCCATTTAAACTTCCTTTTTTTTAAAATTATTATTGTTTATTTTTTTTACAACTTGCCTGTTTTAACGCGGACTTAGCATTTCAGTTTTGAATTGATCACGTTTCACTGTTTAGTGTCTAAACTTGTCCGTCTTCATAATATGATAACTAGCAGTTACGTTGTCTAATGTGGTTATAGTACGTGCGATGGTAAGTGTGATATTCAGAGACTGTGATCACGTTTACAGATCTGTGCTAGACTTTTATTTATAGACTTTAAAATGTAAACCGGAACAGAGGCCTGGGAACCTCGTTTATCATATAGATACTCTGTAACAGCCATCTAAAGCATTACTCAGCCGATGCCCAGGGCGATTCCTGTCTGATAAGTCATTATGTATAGCTCAAATGTACGACCACTTATGGTCTTTGCTCTGTAATTAACTCTAATTGATATATTTCATTGGCCATATGTATATCTTTTTATTTTATATTTGATATTAGTATCTCTCATAGTAAAGTAGCAAACTAAATTTCAATATACACATCTCATTTGTTTTTGATGTGCACACAGGCACAGTCCCACATATACACAGATGCATAGTGCAAATATAGGCATTGGTTTTATTTTATTTATTTATATATATATATATATTTATTTTTATAGACTATTACCTATGTTCTGTTTTTTTTTTTCTTCTAGTCCACATCAAACTATCTTGCACGAAGGTTTGGTGTACGTGCTGCTATGCCAGGATTCATTGCCAAGAAACTGTGTCCTAATCTCACCATTGTTCCGACAAATTTTGACAAGTACCGTGCCGTAAGTTCAGAGGTAGGTGGTATATATCGGTGATGTAACTGCCGAACATACAACCCTAATATATCGTTCTCAAATGTTTTTTGACCTTCAGTGATTTCACTGAAAATACTCTACATTATTATTATGATCACCATTTACATGGCGCCAATATATTCTGCAGAGCTTTACAATACTATAAAGGGGGAAAAATTAACAATATATGAGACAATTGCAAAATGTTTCAGGAGCAATAGGTAGGACCCTTCTCAAAAGAGATAAGTCTGTTCATCCAATATTGAGTACTACGAGTGTATGTAACCTTTAAAAATACGGTACAACCTTTAAATTCTATTTCCTAAAGAAAGATTCATTTTTTCTTATTTTTTCATTCTCTTCTCTCTCTGCATGTGCCATGCCTAACTATATTTTGTTATTACCGAATATGTTGACAGTCACAATTCATGTACTCAACGTGCAGGTGTAATAAAAACATAATAAAATTTAGGATAAGACCTCGTATGGGATGAATCACACAGACTCTGTGTTATTGGGTGCTCTTGCGGCATTAATCCTGAACCCTTGCAATCCTATATTAACGTTACCATTTACATTAATGAAATGCACATCCTTTTCAGATTCGAGAAATCCTTGCAGACTACGACCCTAATTTTCTGCCCTTGAGCCTCGATGAAGCCTACTTAGATATTACAGATCATCTAGAGGAAAGACTCAGCTGGCCTGAGGAAAAACGACGGCACGTTATCACAGATGAGAACGTCACGGAGGAGAGAACACTTGAAGGTAACACAAATTGAGAAACATTTATCCATTGACCTCTCTGGAGTGGTGATTTAATGTTGATCCTGAAGGTCAGGAGATGAAAATTGTAATGGAAAACTAGTTTATGCTATCCTTGAATAACATTGGAATGCATAAAATACTTCTTTATATCTGTAAACATCGATGCTGGAAGAATACTTTTATATCTGTCTTAGACTATTGCAGTTAGCATTACAAAGTGAATGGTTAGTTTTCATTTAATCACACATTATTACAAATCATTTTCTGTAGTATCTTTATACAGATATCTCACAGCAAGCACATACATTGTCTGCTATTTCTCTCTATAAACTCACATAGTGTTTATTTTGTGTAAGAGTTAACTATCGGTAGATCTCAATGTGATGTAATATTGTGGTTTAATTCATCATTATATAAACAGTCTTGGAGTTTAAACTCAAGATGAAAAGATATGCTGCACATGTAACACAGTGTTCAGAGTTTTTTTGGTCTCTGTGTGTTGATGTTTCTATATGTAGAGGACCAATGTGCGTTGCTTATTACAGACGACATTGCACAACATCATCTAATAAGAATATATTTAAAGGGACCCTCCAGGCACCATAACAACATCATCAAAATGGCTTGACCTCTAAGGGTTGAACCGTTTAAGAAACTGCAATGATTGTATTGCAGAATTGACGCCACCTCTAGTGACTGTTTACCAGAGAGCCACAAGTGGCACTTCTGAGTCCTTAGCAGTGTTTTTCTCTGCTATCCAACATGGGGTATCCTCACACTTTGCATGAAAACTTCGAACATCTTCTGTTTTCCCCATAGGATAGCATTGATTCAATGTTTTCCTAAGGGGAAGCTTCAGTGTGTGCATGGGGCTTGCCAAACATGTGTATTCAGTCTTACCATCGCCGGGACATGCGCGGGAGGAGGAGACCTAGCATATACAGGTTTGTATTCCTAACTCTATCGTGTTCCTTCGATTTCCAAGGTTTGGACTAAATGGCAGAATGAATATAAAAAAAAAACAATAACATTGAACATTTAACAAGTGTGACTTCGCTGATCATGTCATCTTGTCTGGAGTTGAGCAAAACCATAATTAATTGTCTATGCTTTAAAGACTAGCCGGGTTCCTAAAGTAGAATACATAGGTAACTAGGAACATCTTTTCAAAGCGGTTATCGTAACCTAAATTTCCAGCCAATTCCCGCTTTAGTAAATAGTATGTCTACAGACGTTTTATCAAGCATGCTTTCTATGGTGATCTTCTAGGTGCTGAAACTGGGGAACAAGTACAGTGCACATCACCCGTTCTTTTTGAAGACAGCCCTTCCTTCCCTGCTGACCAGAACGGTACAGTTACAACTCCGGACAATGCCGAAAGGAACCAGCTGGTTAAAACGGTTGTTTTTGGCATATCCAAAGAGGATGCTGTAGAGGAAATGCGCTTTCGTATTGAGCAGAAAACCAAACTGACCGCAAGCGCAGGTAATGTATGCTAGTTTTAAGTCTTTCACCATTGCATTGTGCATTATAGTGGATTTAATAGACCTACAACGTTATTCCAGTTTGGAGTTTTAGCATCCTTTTTGAACATATTCAGGTAATCTTTGCAGATGTTACCAGATGTTAAATTTTTTCTTCTCCAGGATATTGTCAGCTTTTTATATTTTTGTAAATGCTCAGCTTGAATGAATTTGTCATAATAGAAATAAGTCAAATGTTTAGGCAGACTAGATGGGCCGAATGGTTCTTATCTGCCGTCACATTCTATGTTTCTATGTTTTTGTATTTTAATTTTAAGAAAACAAATCAACTTAGAACATTTTTTAAAGGACCCTGCTTTAACTAAGTAAAAAAAAAAAAAGTGCAAATATACGTTGTTTATAATTTCACGTATGGAACAGCATAAAACAGATTTTTATTTTATTTTTTTAACACAAAAGATATTGTTAACAAGTCAAACATGCCCCAACATTATACAAATTGCTTACATTTTTTTTTATTTTATTTTTATTTTTTTATCTACTTCTCTTCCTCCATAAAATTTTTAAAATACTTAACTGAAAATTATATGGAGAAAAAAAAATGACTGTACCATCCTTTTAAAACTAGCTGACTTGCCCGGAACTTCTATGGCATCACCCTCGGGCAATGTTATTTTAACGTACACGAACAAAACAGAATAAGATCTTTGTTCACATGTTCAGAGTTCATTGATCCCAAATATGTGTCAAATTTGGGTAATTTTCTACAACAAGAGTTTACTGTTGGCATGGCATGATAATAGGTAGGTATTTGGTATTTCATTTTTATGAATGGTTATGGGTACAGAAAACCCTTACGTTAGAGTGGCTGTAGGGAAAGTCTACTATATGTTTGGCTCAAGCTGGGATTCATTAGGCTGCTGCCCAAAAAAGCAACATTATTACAAATCCCATGCAACTCCGTATGATATCAAAATGTCCGCACAAAGCATAACACACTGTGCATGACGTGCTAGAATATGGTTTTATTATTTTAATTTCAGAAAAATCTGTTGGATGTTTCAATCCATTTTCTGTCTAAATTTTGTTTAGAAAAACGGTTTACTCTGGTTGTCGTTTTCTCAAATAGAATAACATAATAACTGCTTAAATAGGTCTACTCACAGCAGACTCACTACTTTGCAACATTGCATCCAATGTTTGGCTTTTGTTATCTGAATAGCTGTAATGGGACCTCTGACTGCATACATAAAGTACATTACAAGCAATGGCTTTTACCAAATATGATCATCTGCACACTGCAAACAGCAGGGTTTGAAATTGAATTGTGGAGAAGTTGGCTAATGTAATGAAACACTATTTTATAGAAAGCACAGCAAATTACTTGTAACATAATTATACTCCCAGCTATTGTAGAACTACAACTAACATAAAGCTCTGCCGACCTCAGATTATGTGACAAGCATAATAAGCGATCTATGTAGTTTGAATGTCTCTTTAAACCCGTTATCCAGTATTCAGAAACATCATTGTTTTGAACATCTTTCAATGACTGTTATTCATCATTCCACTATTAAATTGTATGATCGGGACGGTGAATTCTGTAAGATTTATAGTCATAACTCAACATTGCCTGTTGGCAATTCCTGCATTGCTGACACTGGGTAGTGCTCGCTACTGACCAGCACGTGTTGAAAGAGGTGTTTCTTTTCCAAACAACCATTATTACCCAGGTGTTCAGATACAAGCGGTACAAGCTCGCATCGGTGGCTTCCCAGCGCATTTCACACAGTGAAGTACTAAGTCATAGGTTGATGTCTCTTTTAAAAAAACATATACAGGGGGGGCGTGGCTAGCCGAGCTACAGAGCGGTCGAGGTTTTACTGAGCTCCCGCTATAGAAGTGCAAAACTGTCTATTTTGCCACAAAAGAGAGCAAATTTTAACGTTGCCGACACCTGAGGGAACTCCCCAAGAGAGAGATGGGGCGCAAACACCGAAGATTTGCCCAAGCCGAGAGCAACAGTCACACAGATATCCGACTGTCCTTCACCAGGCCGCAGCCGCAGGCCCGACCAAACATGGCGCCCGTGGAAACACGCAGCTCCAGCGATTCTGAACGATCGCTGGATGAAGAGACACCCCAAGCACCCAATCCCAGCAGCGGGATATACCAGAGGTCTGAATCAGACTCAGACAAATCCCCCTCCACCAAGGAAGATATTAAAAACCTCCTGCGGGATCTGAGGGAGGTATGGAAAGCCGACTTCGCTGGAGTACAGGAGGAGGTCGGAGGCCTGAACCGCCGTGTGAGAGAAGTGGAGTGCAGGGAAGTAGAGAGGGGAAAGAAGCTGGACGATACCAGCTCCCGCCTAAATACACTCACCCAACAAGTACAGCGCCTCTCCCGCACAGTCACCTCCCTAGAGACACGGCACAGACGTAAAAACATCAGGATCCGTGGGGCCCCAGAGTCAATAGGCCAAGAAGCTCTGATCAGCTTTACCCACGAGGTCCTGAGAGAACTCGGAGTCCAGACGGACGCAGAGAGACCGCCAATAGTGACAGCCTTCAGGGTCAGGAAGGCCCCCACGGCACCCGCGGACGCCCCCCGGGACATCATAGCCACCACCAGAGACACCAACGTGAAGTCCTCTATAATGGCACGGTCCAGACAAAGACCAAGTCTGCTCATAGCCAATACGAAAATCACAGTATACGATGACTTACCTTTTGCAATCTTACTTGAACGGCGTAGGTTCGCACCCACCACCCGGATCCTTCGAGACAAAGGCATTAGATACCGATGGGGACTTTCGGGAACACTGGTGGTACCACATGGGGACACTGTACATGTTCTTTCGGCTTCTGAGGACCACACTGAGTTCCTGAGAGGCCTTGACCTGCCGGCACCACCTCCAGCGACACGGCCAGCAGTGGCAGCCCAGTCAACCGCGAACCCCACAGGGGAAAAAGAAACTAGCCGGAGACGCACACCCAATAGAGTGGAAAGACCATCCATAGGACTCTCCAACCCAGGGGTAACCTAGCCGCGATGGCAGGGAGGGGAGGCCAACTACCGCCCATAAGGGCACACCCGGGACTGATCTCTTGGACTTCCAGGCAGCAAATCCCTACCAGCACTAACTGAAGGCTAAACAAGTGCTCCTAACTGCTAATGTATTCTATTCTATAATTTTATTTTAATGTTTTTTGTTCTCTTTTTCTTCTCTCTTTCCGCTCTCTGGTTTATTCATATGTTATGCCATGACTACTGTTATCAAAGACCCAATCACAACCTCAAACACGACCACAGACAGGATGGGACACTCAGAGAGAGGCAAATGTAAACGAGCATTCATAATAGAATACACCACACAACAGACACCAAAAACTACAAGCCCAACATCCAACGGCACACCTCTCTGACACACCACTCCTGTACCACAACATACACTGCAGGAACTGGGACCCCCACCGTAAAAGCAAGTAAAAACCCCACTACTCCTGGGATATATCACACTGCACTTATCCAAAAAACAAACAATCCAGTACCGAATGTCAAAAGCAACGTCTCTCATTTACTTGCTACTCCACGAATTAGTATACTCGACTAGACACCACTACCTAAACAGGGTCTGAGTCTGGGACCCAAAACACAACAAATCCTATGGTTAGGGTCGAGCTGACTGCCCACTAAAGAAGCCCAGATACATGCAGATGGCACAACCCAAGTAAGGGAAAATAACACTCACCCCAGACTGTGGTACCATACCAATGGGTCTCCGGTTTATATGACTCTAAAACATTCCTATCCTCCATACTGAAAAGAGAATGCCATGTACTATGCTGTTGAACGATATTGTTATATTAACTTGCTACACACAAGATCTTTTGTATTTCCATATAATATGCATCTAAAAAATCAAAAAAAAAGAATTAAAAAAAAAAAAAAAAACATATACAATTTGTGTTTTTTGAAATCTGTTGATTTCTAATGGAGAAAAAACATCACAAGAATAACTTTCTTATCTTTCTCCATTAAATAATGGATCCGTTTATTCCATTATTACTTCATTACGTGGCTGTATTCCATTGTCACTATGAAGAGGCAGTAAAATAAAAATGTCTGTTATCCGTTCAGGCTTGAGACTTTGTTTACTCATAAATAGAATTATAACATTTTCTAATGACAGATTAAAAAAAAAAAAAAAAACTTCACGGGGTCCAATAAAGTTCCATAAAACTATATTTCAAGTTGTAGTGATCCATAATCCTCTCGATGTCCCAGTGATAATATATTTGGCTTCTTAGTGCTAAATTTGATTCCCCTCTGGAGGATAGACGCAGGGAAGGTCTCATGAATTGCAGACATTATTTTCGATCTATTGATTCGTGCTTTGTAATACGGACCACAAATCACTGCGCTAGCTGTTCAGTAATGGTAAATGAGTGTTCCTCTGGGCTAGGCCTGCTAGTCGAAGTATGCTTGAAACCAATAAGTCAATAATAATAATTATGCACATAACCCATTATGTTTAGCAGAATCTCATCACGCATTTTGTTTTACTTTGTATTTAGGCATTGCTCCAAATATGTTGCTGGCCAAGGTTTGCAGCGATAAGAACAAGCCTAATGGGCAGTATACCGTCCCCCCCGACAGGCAAGCCGTAATGGATTTTATCAAAGATTTGCCAATTAGAAAGGTAGGTGATTAAATCTGCCTCTAGAAAATATAGATGGAGATGAAGATATATATATATATATGGAGTGGAAGCTAACTTTGTGACAACAGAGTTACAGAAATTCTTGATCCAGTCCACACCTAAGACTCCGATTATTTACACCTTACCCAAGGTACACAAGAGCATTGATCATCCACCAGGCAGACCCATAGTGTCAGCCATAGGGGGAGTACTGGAACCATTGGCTCAGTGGCTGGACTATTTATTTAAAGATACAGTTGTCAAGCTTCCCACCTGCATTAAAGATACCCCAGACCTATTGAAACTTCTGGACACCATCAATTTACCCAACACTACTACACTGCTGGTAACGTGTGATGTGAAAAGTCTCTACACAATCATTCCTCATTTGGATGGTATAGAAGCAATGCGCAAAGTGTTACAAGACTCAACAACATACACAGGCCCCCCGATTGAATACGTCATGGAAATCCTGGAGGCAGTCCTTACACTTAACTACTTCAGATTTGAAGAAACTTGGTACCAGCAAATAGCGGGGACCTCCATGGGAGCAGCTATGGCACCCATGTATGCCAACAGCTTTATGTATATATTTGAGACCCTCCACATTCTACAACCGTATGAAGCAAATATTTTATTCTATAGGCGCTTCATTGATGACGTGTTCCTTATATGGAAGGGAGATCACCAGTCCATTTTGGAGATGATAGAGGCCATCAACAGGGCACCCACACCGGTCAAATTAACGATGACAGTGAGCCAGGATGCAGTGAATTTTTTGGATGTCCATATCTTTAAAAAAGAGATGAAGCTTGGGTATACTTTATTCACCAAGACAACGGATCGTAACACCCTACTCCAAGCTGACAGCTTTCACCCACGACACTTGAAAGAATCCTTACCACTCTCCCAGTTCCTAAGGGTTAAAAGGAATAGCTCAGATCCCATGAGAGCATGCTTACAAACTAAAGAAACATGGAATAGGTTTAAACAGAGAGGCTACAAGGATGCTACTCTTCAGAAAGCACTTGATAAGAGCCAACAGCCTATGAGAGAGAAAAAAGATGATACACCACGACTAGTCTTTCCGACCACCTACAATACGGCATCCCACAGCCTCAAGAACACCTTGCACTCCAACTGGCGTTTACTATCAGAAGATCCAACACTACCAAAAATCTTTCAGAATCCACCCATGTTGTGCTATAAACGGGGAAAAAATCTACGTGACCTCCTGGTAAAGACGGACCCAGTACACTGCTACACCAAACAACAAACAGCACAGAGCCTTGGTTGCTATCGCTGTCTGGGCTGTGTCACCTGCAGCCACATGATACCTGGAAAATTCTTCCAGCATCCACACACTGGGCGGAAGTACCAAATTAGGCATAGGTTGACCTGCACTTCGGATTTTGTCATCTATAAACTTCAGTGTCCGTGTGGCCTCTCCTATGTGGGCAAAACTGACCTCCCACTGAGGGAACGGATCCGCAACCACAGATCCAACATTCGCATTGCCTATAGGGACAATAAGGCTGAACTCCCTGTAGCAAAACACTTTTTGGCCCATGGCCACACGTTACCCACCCTGAAATTTATGGCTATAGACCATATACCCCCCCTCAGACGTGGGGGTGATCGAAGTAAACTTCTTCTACAACGTGAAACGTTCTGGATAAAAACTTTGGACACAGTATATCCCAGAGGCTTGAACGAGAAGTACACATTATCTATGTTTCTATAGTACATTTTTTTGTTTCCCTGTAGGAGTTAAATACACTGTTTAATCTCATCCAATAATCCTAAACATATTTGTTTATACAGCAATGTGTATAAATTGTCTTGTTGATATAATTTGATTTATGCTCCCCCTGCATACATTGCATATCATTCCATTGCTTATTCCATGCATGGTAATTAGGCTATTACACATAGTTTGGCCACACATACTAATCATATAGGGGTTAAATACCCTACTAGACCACCATACTCCAATGCTGTGTGCTATGTACCTAAGAGATAACACTACTCATGTCACATCTTGTATATAATCATAAATAACTATGCAGGGGACACTATGCAATTCAACACTGGTCATTTTGTCTGTCCATATTATTTATTAAACTTTAGTACCCTATGCATAATCAATGTATTAACATGGTAACACCTCCTGCCTTGAGCTGTTGTTTTTATTTTTATTTTTAAAATCATGTATGTCTATATTAAATGTGTTTTTTAGATCCGAACCATGAGATATGCCCACCCTATTTGCTACAAGTTTAAGAATAGACTTATAGTTCAGCTCTTTCCTCAGTTACACAGGAACAGATACACCCTTTCAGTGCTGCATTGGATGAATTGCTCCAGCACTCAAAGAGTGAATTTCCAGTATGTTAACAGATTTTGGATTCCTGATGGCCCTTCCAGCCTGTTATACTGTTTAAATATATGAAGACAGTCAGATTCATTTTTGAAACATTCTAGACTCTGTATCCACTCCTACTTTACCCTGAGCTCAATCATGATTGTAGCTACTAGGACACAAAGTGGAAAGCAACCAGTCCAGTTGGATTGTTACTTAGTAACCTGTAGCCCCGCCCCTTTTCTGGGCCTTGCACACATGGCCACCACACTCAGAGTTGCATTACTCTCTAATGCAGGGCAAGCTGTCTCATGGCTAGGTGAGTACACAATTAAGGTAAATTATTTTGAGGGATTGGGGGTATATATTTCTTTGTGTCTGCACTTGTAAGTTATGTTTTGTCCTGATGAAAGCTCCATGTGGGAGCTGAAACGTTGACTTTTTAAATGGATTGAATAAAAGCTAAATTTTATTTGAAAATCTCTATAAAGTCCTTGGAGTGCGGTCATTTCTGCTATGTCTATATATATATATATATATATATATATATATATATATATATATATATATATATATATAAAAAGGTACAGAGGGTACACAATGGTAAACAGTGTGCTATAGGGTTTCAGGGGTTTATTCTGCAGAAATTAGAATAAACTCTGAGATTACAACATGCTTTGCCATTATGGTTCTTTTCCATTGTATTGTTTGTATTTAGTTGAGAGTTAGAGGGCTAGGGATGTTAAAGGGACTCTCCAGACCACTTAAGCATCTTAGCTTGCCTGCATGTTGTATGTGTGAAGAGTGTGTCCTCTTTTTAAAAAATAAAATAAAATAAATTTATTTTCAAAATGTGCAGTTTTCAATAGAAATTGGCACTTGTATAAATTAACCTGGTTACACCCCCCCGGCTGTGAATCGGTGAACATGTCCTGTTACTTCCTGGTTGTTTAGCTCAGTGGAGATAAACTCAAGAGGCAGCAATTGCACAGAGCACCTGCCGTGCAAAGACTTCTCATTGATTTACACTGGAAAGTCTGTGATTGGACAGCCACAGAAAGCCTGGGCGGAGTTAGAAGAGGAGGACTTGCAAAGGCTTCACACAAGAGATCTACAGTTTTTGCAAACTGTTTTAAGATTTACCCTAATGAAAAAAATGCATAATTAAATGTATGCATGCTTTTATTGCTGGTATATCTACTAACAGTGATTTAAAATTAATAAATGTGGCTAGTGGAGTGTCTCTTAAATGGTAAGAGTTATGATAATGCAGGGGTTAATGATTTGTGTCATTGTAGTTTTAAAACTATGTATAGTATAGGGTCTGAGCTTCAGGTCAGTGTGTGCGTGTAGAGTTTGGTCTTTTTATTTATTTTTTGTAAATATGTTTTTATTATTTGCGAAGATTGTTTAAGTATAACATTGAGACTCGCAGGTCTCCACTATTATAGTATGTATACGATTCGACAGTATGCATTGTGTACAGACAGCAGGGATATCTGAATATTTGCAGGTAAAGTGGCTCGCAGGCCCAGGTATATTTCGGATTCGCAGGTCCTCATTGGTGTTGCTGGGCATGCATTACCATGCGGATGTGATGGAGCTTACTGGGTCATATTTCGTTACTAGTATTGTATTTAATCAGATATTCACCCGTTTATCTATGCATTGCGCTTCGGGTCGAAGTCTCTACCTGATCTATTAATGCGAGAAATAGTTTCCATGTGTCGACTAGCTGATTGTGTGGAAGATGCCCTAGTCTCTTTCTCGCTTATTTGCTTGGCTATAGGTGTCATCGCTAATCCTTATGGCAGAGCCTGCAGTTCGCGTGGATCTCTTGTCGTGCCCTTCATGTTGCTGTTGCTGGTGTTGTCGATTCTTGTGTGTAGGTTTCTATACTGCGTTATAGGTGTGTGCATCATTAATATCTTAAGGAGAGTATGGTGTAGGTCTAATTAATGTTCAATCGTATGCTTTGTATGTGTATTTTTCCCCTCCAGCTACTCTCCTGGTGACGGTATTTGCAGCAAGGCATATCTCGTGTTCTCTATGGATCGGATAGCCTCCCACGTCACATTTGAACTGGGTGCTTATCCTTTTTTCGGAGGTTAGCATGTCATATGTCTGGTGGTGTGTCTCTCCGTCCCCACCCCCATTCCCCTGGGCCCCAGGATCTGTTAGTCTAGTGGATGAGAGGATAGGAGGGATGTGAACAGGGTTTAGGTATAATGATAGGGTGCAGAGAGTGATCTGTATTAAGCGGGGTTCGTGTCTGCTGTTGCCCCGTTAGTGGCTTCGGGAGTGTCCTCGTCTTGCCTGTAACGGGTTATATATAGGAACCATGGTAGCCACATCTCTGTATGTTTTGTTCCGCGTTCTGTCAGGGAGGCATATATTTCTTCTGCTCCCTGGATGTCTTCCACCTTGCGGATCCATTCTTTTTTAGTTGGTGTTTCACTTTTTTTCCAGTGTGCCGGTATGTTAGCTTTGGCCGCGTTTAACAGGTGACGCACTATCGATTTTTTTTTTTTTTTGTACGACTGGGTAGATTGCGTCGAGATGTGCAGCAGGGCCAGTTCTGCGTTCCAGTCTGGTATGTCCCCCAGGATATTGGTCACGGTATCTCTACCCACTCTACCCATTGTTTCGTCGTAGGTTCCAGGTGTCAGTCCAGTATACGTTGCATTACCGTAGTTTGGTGATATTTCTTAAAATCCGGTAGTGCTAGTCCCCTGTGGTTCCTTGGTCAACAAAGAATGTTGTGTCGGATCCTGGAACGTTCGCCGCGCCAAACAAATTTGATTATAGTCGTTTTTAAGGAGGAGAAGAAGATCCCTGGTATAGCTAGTGGAATCGTCTGCATGAGGTATAGGATTCTCGGTAGTATATTCATTTTGAGCATCGCCACTCTTCCGTGCCAGGTTACGCGTGGGTATGACCATCTAGTCAGGTCAGCGAGGATTGTCTTTAGAAGAGGGGTGAAGTTGAATTGGTATATATCTTCAGGGTCTGTGGCCACCCATATGCCCAGGTACTTCATCTTGCCATAGCACCAGCGGAATGTGAATTGCAATTCTAGAGATATGTATTCTTCTGTAGGGATTGTGATGTTCAAGACTTCGCATTTTGAGAGATTGAGCTTGAAGCCCGAGATCTTTCCGAATTTATCGAATTCTGATAGGAGACACGGCAGTGTGGTTCTGGAGTTCTGTATGAAAAACAGGAGTTCGTCCGCATATGCGGCCACTTTATGGTGTATTTCTTGCCAGTTGTACTCTTGAATATTTGGGTTTAGGCGGATTGCCTGTAGTAGTGGTTCCAAGGACATTGCGAACAGCAGCGGTGAGAGTGGGCTTCCCTGTCGGGTGCCATTGCTGATCGTGAAATCAGCTGTCGTGGCCCCGTTGACTCTCACAGTCGCGCACGGTTTGCTATATAAGGCTGATATCCATGCGAGGAGCCTCTGCCCGCATCCCATCTGTTGCAAGGTCGCCATCATGTACGTCCAGTCGACTCTATCAAATGCTTTTTCCGCATCTGTAGATAGTAGTAATAGCCCGTTCTTGGTCTTCCTTGCGTGTTGTTAAATTCAGAAGAGTCGTAATGTGCTATCCCTGGCCTCCCTACCCGGGATGAAGCCCATCTGGTCCACTTGTATCAGGTCTGGGAGGAGGTGGTTGAGTCTATTTGCTATAACTTTCGTGAATAATTTGGCATCTACGTTTAGCAACGAGATGGGACGATAGCTACCGCATAACAGTGGGTCCTTTCTCGGTTTAAGCAAGACTGTAATGGTCGCAGCCAGGGATATTGAGCCTAGGTTCTCTCCATCTCCCACAGCGTTGATCACTTTGGTTAGCCATGGCAGCAGTAGGCTTGAGAAGCTCTTATAATATCCAGTCGAGAAGCCGTCTGGGCCCGGTGCCTTGCCCGATTTGGTCACTTTGAGTGCCGCCACCAGCTCTTCTGTGCTGATCGGTGCGTCAAGTGCTGACGCTCAGTCTTGATTAATCTTGTTGGTGATCGTGTTGGACAAGTATTCCCCTATCTGCGTGGTGTTGCTTACGTCACGGGCTATCCCCGAAGACGGGTGTAAAGGGTCTGGTAGAAGGTCCTGAACTCTTCGGCGATCTTCTGTGGAAAGGGGGTCACTTCCCCCGAGGCAAGGCGCAGTTTGCGTATTTGTCTACGGGGTATGGGGCCCTTTAGTAGCCTTGCTAAGTATTTCCCCCCTTTATTAGCGTGGGCATAGTAAAAGCCCTTTGTGCGCTGCAGATTTCGGAGGTGCTTTTTTGTGATGAGTTCTTTAAGTTTTCTTCTGTGTTCCATCAGTTCCCCGTAGACTCCATTTAATTGGGACCTTTTGTGGTGGCTTTCCAGTGTTGATATATTTTGGTACAGGTCGGTCATCTCAAGCATATTCGCTTTTCGTTTTTGCAATGCGAAAAAGTATGCTGCGGATAACGCTCTTGTGAGCTTCCCACACGGTTATCGGAGATGCCTCCAGTAGACCATTTTCTCTAAAGTAGTGTTCTAGCTCTTGGTTTATCTGTTCTTTAGTGCCTGGGTCCACTAGGAATGCCTCGTTAAGTCTCCAGGTCCAAGTTGATGGGCGGAACATGGGGGACTCCAGTTCCATCCTAACCGAGCCATGGTCCGACCACGTAGCTGGGTCGATATCGGCTCCAAGTAGGCGGGCGAGTCCCTCTTGTGTAATGAAGAGGTAATCTATGCGTGAAGGGCGGAATAATAGGTATAATCTTTCACCGATGGATTGAGCGTTCTCCAACAGTCGACCAACCTCAGGTCCTCCAGCGATCGTCGGATAGACCTTATGCTACCCTGCGGAAGACAGCTATGTCCCGATGATGAGTCTAGCACTGGGTCCAAGGGTACATTGAAGTCCCCTCCCACAATCAATATTCCATCCGTGAAGTCCTCCAGTATGTGTAGTGCATTTCGGAGGAAAGGGGCTTGTCTTTGGTTGGGGACATAGATGTTTGCCAAAGTGTATATCCTGTCTGCTATGACGCCTTTTAAGAAGAGGTACCGCCCTTGTGAATCTTGTGCACGCTCTATTTCTTTGAATTCAAGCTCTGCCACTAGTATTATGGCTGTCCCTGATTTATGAGCCGTCGAATGGTTGGAGAAATAATTGTTTGGGTAATGCCTGTTTTGTAGTTTAAGTGCCACGCCTTCCTTGAAGTGGGTTTCCTGGATCATGGCCACTGCTATATGCTTTTTCTTCAGCCAAATGGGTCGCAATAAAAGACCAGAGCAGCCCCAGACCCCAAGGAGGGAAGGAAGGGGGGGTAGAGAGAAAGGGGGGGGGGTGGGGAAGGAGGGTGTCCCACGTTTAGCGGTGGGAGGTTGCATGTGGTGAGACGCGTCGTCCTATTTCCCTTACCTATCCTCCACCCATGCCTCCTCCCCCTCTGCGTCATGTAGTCCGCATGTATAGGTATACACTTGTAAACACCAGTGACAAAATCAGGAAATATCCACATGACAGTGTGTAAGCCAGGGGTCGTTAAGTGCAGATCGGGACTCAGTTTGTCCTAGTGCTCGCCCATGCCCTCACCCAGACAGCCCCCTCCCCAAACAGGTGATCCCGGGCCTCTGTGGAGAAGTGTCCCCTGGAGTGCTAATTAGGGGGGCAAATGGGTAGTCATGATGGTTGTAACCCAGCATGTGTGTGATCTCCTGGTGTATGCCTGCGATCCCAAGATCCCCCGAGTGGTGACCCAGCGTACCTGTAGGTGTTCCAATCACCTTTGCATCACAGTCCAATCATCGGGGGCTGGTGCAGTTCACAGTTGCCCAGTCACATCAAGGGGTCTCTGGCAACTCTTGTAGTAGGGTCTAATTTGGGAGGCAGCGTTGGTCGGGTGTCTGGGGTGCTGATGTCATCGCGGGTGAGTAGGTACTCACTCCTTCGGGGATGTCGGGTTCCTGCGCCGTTTGGCAGGCTGAGGGGAGGGGGATCGTGCTTCTCGCCGCCTGGGTCCTCTCTGTGTTCTCTGCGGAGTGGCCGACGGTCCCAGGATCCAGTTGGGGACGACCGGTGTCAGAAGGCCCAGTTCCTCAATGAACCTTTGTACTTCTTCAGGCCAGCGTATTGAGATCCAGCCATTGCGTTGTCTGGTCATCAGGGCAAATGAGAACCCCCATTTGTACGTTATATTGCGTTCCCTTAATGCGGTCGTCACTGGGCGGAGAGCCCGCTGGGCCTCCAATGTGATGGGGGGACAGGTTGTTGTACAGTGCCACTTGAGTACCTCTGCAGGGCTACGTTGGTCTTTCCCGGGCCTTCTTCATAATGGTATCTTTAATTGGGAAGGAGTGTAGGCAGCATATGAGATCTCTCGGCCCTTCTTCCAGAGTTCTGGGCCATGTTGTTCTGTGTGCCCTCTCGAACTCTGTGCTGTGGTGAGGTCGGCTGTAGAAGGGTTTGAAAGAGTTCAGTAAGTATCTCTTCGACATTTTCTGCTCCCTCAGCCTCTGGCACTCCGCGGACGCGGATATTGTACCTCCGGCCTCTGTTATCCACATCTTCGAGGTGCCGTCTCATTGACAGGAGCATCGCGCCTTGGCTCGCTATCGCAGTGTCCAGAGATGCAATGCGCACTGTGAGGGCCTCAGTCGCCTCCTCCATCGCTGTGATGCGGCCTGCATGTGATGCGACCTCCGAACGGATCCCCGCCATTTCTGCTCTTAGAGTGTCTTGAATGGTGGTAAGTGTCCTGAGGTCATCCTTTGTGGCCATGGAGGCCGTCAGGTTCTGCAGCCTATCCTCAATTCTTTCGAGGGTTGTGCCATCCGACCCCGATGGGGACGTCGGCGCCATCTTGGGGCTTCCCGGCTCTCTGCTGACGCTCGGTTGTGGTTGTAGGAACCCGTCCAGGGGGCCCTGTCTGAGGCTCCTTGGGGTCTGGGGCTGCTCTGGTCGTTTATTGCGACCCATTTGGCTGAGTTTACTGCGTATTAGAAGCTGTTCAAGGGTCCGGTGATGCGGAGCTCTCCCTCTACACGGCCATCTCGGTTAGAGCCGGAACGACGCCACCCGAGTTTGGTCTTTTTATTGTGTCCGCAATATGCTTAAGTTAAAACAATATTTGATGAGAATGAAGCTTTTTCCTTTTCACCCAAGGCAATGTTCCAGTGGTAACTGTGACTTATACAAATGAAACTGGAGATTGAGGATAGTATGATAAATTGTAGTAAGAACAGAGATGGAGAGAATTGGAAAAATAAATTTAAAATGAGTGATGGGTGGAGTGGGGGAAGACACGTGAGGGATCAGGCTGTCCGTATCCAATGGATGACTGTGCACTTTGTTTCATAGGTCCCTGGCATTGGGAAGGTAACAGAGAAAATGCTGAAAGCTTTGGGAGTCGTGACATGTACTGACCTTTACCAGCAGAGGGCACTGCTCTCTCTCCTCTTCTCAGAGACGGCCTGGCAGAACTTCCTCCACATCGCTATGGGTCTGGGGTCTACACACGTGGAAAAGTAAGGGACCGCTTTTTACTAGTAATTTCGGACATTTCAGATTGTTAGCTGTCTCTCGTTAAATGGATATTAAGGGATTATAGACAAATATTCTGAGAAACATTTTCATGTCTCATGTTATTCAACTTGTCCTTTATATATGAATACAGAAATAAATGTAATATATATATATATATATATATATACACATATATATATATAATATATAAAAACGAATAGAGTAGAAGAGTTAAATTAGACCCGTCGTTAATAATACAGGGAATTGTGCAACTTAATGAGGTGCATTCTAGGTTGTCACCAAATGTACAAGTGTTCTTTTTCAATGTTTTAAATTCTTTGAGATTATATCTCATAAAATATGCAGAATGGAATTAAACGTGTTAAATGAGAAATGTGCACGTTTACAAGTGATGATTTGTAACACAAGTGTACTTGAAAAATCAATTGCCATCTTTTCTTCTCTTTTCAGAGACGGAGAAAGGAAAAGTATGAGTACTGAGAGGTACGTCACACGATGTTACTTTTTCCTATTTATATTTACATTAAAGAGCGGCACCATATAGCACAAGCACAGTTTTCAAGATGATTTTCACATTTAGGGTCAGAGTAAATGAGATAATAGCATAGCTGACTTAGAGAATTTCTCCTGGTCGGCTAGTTTGACCTTACATTTGAAATTCACTTTGAATTCTTACTTTATGGAATAACCCTCACAGTGCTAAATATAGTTAACCAAAAATATTACCGATAGCCACGACCTTATCGCAAGACCTGTAATAGAGCCTGCCGATAACACATCGCCACCACAGGGGCGGATCCAGCACCTAATCTCGGGCGGGACACTGGTAGATTATTTTCAGTGCTGTATGTGTATGTATGTATATACCTATATCTATCTATCTATCTATATATACACACACACACACACACACACAGGGGTTTGCATAAATTATAATATAACTGTACATTTAAATTTTAAAGTGAAATTATTCCAAGTAGTGAGTGCTGCCAATTTGAACATATAAGACATTGTAGACCAAAAAATGGGTTGCAAGAGTATTCTGAGAACGGACAGCAGCTAAAATAGCCTGCCCTTCGGTGGGTCCCCGCTCAGAACTCAAGCTGGCTTTAGCTCATCTTGTGCCATTACAGAGAGAACATATCTGAAGCATATCAGACTTGTCCCACCCATACGGGCAGTCCAGATGCGAAATGCCAGCAAGTTCTCTCTGCACGAGAGATACAGCAACCCCCAAACTGTATACCTGTTTTTATGATTATAGTTACCTGTTATTTAAACTGTATACCTACTTGTGTGTGTATATATATAACTTTATTTATATTGTGCATGGTTATGTCAAGGACATCATATGACTTTAGAGAGTTAAAGGACGACTCTAGGCACCCAGACCACTTCAGCTCAATGAAGTGGTCTGGGTGCCAGGTCCATCTAGGGTTAACCCTGCCTGCTGTAAACATAGCAGTTTCAGAGAAACTGCTATGTTTACAAAAGGGTTAATCCAGCCTCTAGTGGCTGTCTCATTGACAGCCGCTAGAGGCGCTTCTCACTGTGATTTTCACAGTGAGAAGACGCCAGCGTCCATAGGAAAGCATTGAGAATGCTTTCCTATGGACTGGCTGAATGCGCGTGCGGCTCTTGCCACGCATGCACATTCAGCCAATGACGACTGAAGGAGGAGGAGAGTCCCCAGCGCCGAGGGAGCCCGGCGCTGGAGAAAGGTGAGTGTTTAAGTGTAAAACGAGTTTGTTTTCCTGGCACTATAGTGGTCCTTTAACAATTATTTGGCATGTCGTATCAAGTAGGTGGTAACATCGAGATCAGCACGCACTTTACAAAGAGAAAAGAAAAAACAAATATGATGAAATAATACCAACCTTCCAACATCGTAAGGTACATAAATACAGTAAATTCACATTGTGAACACGCTTGATTCCACAACAGCACATCGTATCTCCTATACATAGACTTCTACATTAGCACGGCACATTTGTCAGAGGGCACAATGGTTCTGTGATTGCTTGTTTCCTGGGCCCACACATCACACAGCCGGCTCAGCTGGGATTTACCGATCTCCAGTCGCGCCCTAGCCCCCAGGCCTCCCCAGCTTGCTATATTCAAGGGAAAATGCCACTATAGCAGGTTTCATAAATTTGTTGATTGTCCATGTCCTGTATAATGGCTTTTATAGTTTGGGATCTAGAGTACTTCCAGGCTCTTGCAATGAAGCGTTGAGCCGTCAATAGAACATGGTATATTAGTTTTCATTTCTTTCGAGGGTCCTTGCTGGGTAAGTCTAATACCAGAAAGGGTAAGGGCTCGAAGGGTATGTTGATGGTAGTTATTTGGTTAATTCATTGGTGGACAACTTGCCAAAATGAGATTAGAGATTTGCATTGCCACCAGATATGGAGTACTGTATCATCTTCCTCTCCGCACTTCCAGCATAGTGGGGATGAGTGCGAGAATAGCTTGTTTATGCAAGTAGGCACCATGTACCATCGATATGTTTTTTTTCTGTTGTTCTAAGAGGGTGGCTGAATTAATCAGTGGTTTCGTAGAGGAGATAATAATTTTCCATTTCTGGTCTGAGATGTTACATTGAAGGTCAAATTTTATCCAGGAGAATGCTCAGTAGACCGTTTATGCAGTGCTCTGTTTAGGACTTAGTGCGGGAGCTACATCCACGTGCGGCCACTCGGATCGAGCGCTAGACCACACCCATACACAGCCCCTATTTTATTAACATGATGTCACGCCGCTAAAGGGACTGCATCATCTAGGCGTCCCCATGCTGTTTGGCGTCGCAGAGATTACGTGGACCAATGAGAACTCATATGAAACTATTAAAGGCCTGCTCTGGCCCTACTCATTGCCATATTGTAGTTTCTGACCTGATATGTTAGTGCTAACAGTGTCTCTTGTTATAACCTGATATTGACCTCGGCTTCTTTCTGACTTTGTATATTTCTGGGATCCTGACCGGCTTGTTTCTGACTTTGTGTATTTCTGGTATCCTGACCGGCTTGTTTCTGACTTTGTGTATTTCTGGTATCCTGACCCGGCTTGTTTCTGACTTTGTGTATTTCTGGGATCCTGACCCAGCTTGTTTCTGACTTTGTGTATTTCTGGTATCCTCACCCGGCTTGTTTCTGACTTTGTGTATTTCTGGGATCCTGACCCGGCATGTTTCTGACTTTGTGTATTTCTGGGATCCTGACCGGCTTGTTTCTGACTTTGTGTATTTCTGGTATCCTGACCGGCTTGTTTCTGACTTTGTGTATTTCTGGGATCCTGACCGGCTTGTTTCTGACTTTGTGTATTTCTGGGATCTTGACCGGCTTGTTTCTGACTTTGTGTATTTCTGGGATCCTGACCCGGCTTGTTTCTGACTTTGTGTATTTCTGGGACCCTGACCCGGCTTGTTTCTGACTTTGTGTATTTCTGGTGTCCTGACCGGCTTGTTTCTGACTTTGTGTATTTCTGGTGTCCTGACCGGCTTGTTTCTGACTTTATGTATTTCTGGGATCCTGACCCGGCTTGTTTCTGACTTTGTGTATTTCTGGGATCCTGACCCGGCTTGTTTCTGACTTTGTGTATTTCTGGGATCCTGACCCGGCTTGTTTCTGACTTTGCGTATTTCTGGGATCCTGACCCGGCATGTGTTTGTGTATTTCTGCTATCCTGACCCGGCTTGTTTCTGACTTTGTGTATTTCTGGTATCCTGACCCGGCATGTTTCTGACTTTGTGTATTTCTGGGATCCTGACCAGGCTTGTTTCTGACTTTGTGTATTTCTGGTATCCTGACCCGGCTTGTTTCTGACTTTGTGTATTTCTGGTATCCTGACCCGGCATGTTTCTGACTTTGTGTATTTCTGCTATCCTGACCCGGCATGTTTCTGACTTTGTGTATTTTTGGGATCCTGAACAGGCTTGTTTCTGACTTTGTGTATTTCTGGTATCCTGACCCGGCTTGTTTCTGACTTTGTGTATTTCTGGGATCCTGACCCGGCTTGTTTCTGACTTTGTGTATTTCTGGGATCCTGACCGGCCTGTAATTCCATTTATCAGTACTTTTATATCCCTGACCTTGGCTATTGCTGACTTTGTCTTAGAAACATAGAATGTGACGGCAGATCAGAACCATTCGGCCCATCTAGTCTGCTTGTCATGGGGGAGGGGGCTTGCCCTGGTACCCAGCCCCCTTACGGATCCTCCCCTGCGCCACATTTACGTTGCTTGTCTGTCACATTATACATGTAACACTAACTGGAGCTTCCAATGAACCAAATGCAATTCATTAAAAGTTTATTCACAAAAGTGTACTCTGTCTGAAATTCAAAGTAAAGATTGATTGATTTTGTAAACCGAGTTTGGAGAATGTTTCCAGCTCCACTAGTGTAGCTTTAACTTTAAATTCAGTTTGAATTCCTGACAGCCCACACTTTATAATAAACCTCTCAGTGCTTTCTCCTTCACTCTGATTAGAGATTGAATAAACCACAAGTTGCACTTTGGACGTTTCTGTTTATAAGTTTGAGTACTGACCATAACTCCTGCATAATGAAAGGCCACTACTTTTTATTTATTTTTTCTTTCTGATTGTGTGATTATGTGTGTGTCTATATGTATGTACGTATATATATAATATATTTATATATTGAAGCTACACCCTGCCTGTTCTATTAAAATAATAAAAATGGACTATTGTTACGGAAAGTAAAGTATATCCAATAAATAATTTGTGGTTTCCTTGATTCGGGTGTCTGTGTAATTGGTTGTTGCTTCCTTTTTATTTTTTATTGGTGCATTAGCTGATATTATTGATACAAGTCTGACACGCCCGGCTTTGATGGAAAATAACTTTTTAACTTTGGGATTGGAACTAATCTCATATGTAAGATAAAGCTGCTTAGCTTAGCATGCTCACCTATAAGGTTATATATGCATTAGTAAGCCAACAGTTAAAGGGACACGCCAAGCGGGTGTTGACCAATACTATTTAATAAAAATATATAGATATTGCATCGCAAAACAATTAGAATTGGAGCATTATGAATTATATTGATAATGCATATGCAAAAACAATCCATTCAAAATAATAGAAAAATCACTTTTGAAGTGTTTGCATTTGCTTCAACCTACAGCTCTCATCACACCAGGAAGTGACTCCTCATGATATCATTAGTAATTGAATTTCTATATCGCTGCTAAGCTTATTCCATGAATAAGACCGTTTGAAAAAGACCACTTCAGTGTGCAAACGTTGCTTGTACTTTGTTCCAATAAACCTGCTGTGGCGGCCACCCCGAGAGAAGAGGGGTTTCTGCCGCCAGAGATGTCTTTTCCCCCTAGTATGAGCAATGCTGAAGTATTCCCAAGCAATAATCCAAGCGATACAAAGCAGGTATATTGGTTCCCTACAATCACAAGACGAGGCCCTGTGTTGAGGGTAAGCAGGAAAAACTGGTTTTAATAGGACCAAAGACTGCCTTTTATGTGAATCCCCGTGCAAGGGGTTTCCTTTTACATATTCCAGGGGCATTCTCCACTGGACCTAAGAGTAGACTGCTAGAAAGTACACAACATAATTACATTACTTCACAGGTCCAGGACATACATGTCAAATACACCCCAAAATATACTTTTAACAATTGGGTACCCCCTCAAGTCCTATACCCCGGATAGCCTGGATAGGTTGTGTGCTCAGAAACGCCACCAGGGTATAGTTTGGACCGACAGCATACAAAGCGCCTGCCTTCCATAGATTCAGGCTGTGCTGTCGGTCTCTTTCGGGAGTACAAAACATAATAAAATACTGAAAGTATCTGTTCGTATCAGAGTTGGTCGTGTAACCCTCGTTCAGGAGTTTGTTTCTACCGAAACCAGCTCTATGGGGCAGGCTAAACCGAACATACTTGGAGCTGGGTGTCCTAGCGGTGTTCGTGCCGTCGAGTGGACGATTTTAGTTCCATACACTCGGCGACCAAACACCGCTATATGCGGTCACGAAACCAAGATGGCCACCGCCTCATGTTTCGTCCATACAAACGACGCTCACCTAGTTGACCACTTAGAATGTTGGTAATTGCGGTTCCCAAAAGTGTGAAAAGAGGTTAGGCAGGTTAATGAGCAGCACACAACTGTTCTGGGTGGTCAATCCATTCGGTATATAGTTCAGTATATGAACCAAATTGTTCAAACTGTTCGGTGATGTTTGTATACCAGACCAGTTAAATGTACAACAATAATCACAGGGACAGGGAATCTGTGACACCTGCATTGTTGGTTATACCTTGAGTGCTTGGACCATTGTCTCCTTTCTAAACTTAATCCATGGGCATATTCTAGGTTTCTGGGAGCAAATAATGTCTAGCTTCTAATTATCAATTATAATGTGCCCATCCCTCCAAAGTTAAAGTTATTTTTAAGGATATCTCTCTTTTATTAAAAAAATGTGATGGTAAATTTTGTTGCTTCTGCTTTTCAGAACCTTTAGTGAGATACATGTAGCAGAGGAACAATTTGATTTGTGCCAGCAGCTATGCAAGGATCTGGCGCAGGACCTCGGCAAAGAACGACTAAAGGTTTGTAGGACAATCTCTGTAATCACGAGAACATGAATTGATTAACCAGAGGCAAGGTGAACTATGTGTATCATTCTCAGAGCATTCCAAGAATATCACACAATAGAGTTTAAAATTAAATTTCTTTTGAAGTGTCATATGGATTCCAAAGATAAATTCTACTCTAGAACTCAGATTGGGCAACTAACTCCTAGGAACTGTGTTTGGCTTCCTGTGAGAGAACCTGTTACATACCTCCCCATTGTCCTGCATTTTGTCCTGATCTTTGGGTCCTGTCCCATTTTTGATATTTGGTGGCCGATAAATGGGTACACTAGAGGCAAAGTGAGCACATGGGCAGACCTGAGCGGGGTTAGCTAGAATGACTGGCTGTCAACTTGACATCCATTAACACATGCCCCTTTTTTTGAGTCTGCCTGCCCGCAATGACTCCACTGGCGCCACAGAGATGTAGTTGACTGGCCGAAGATCCTGCATTCAGAAGCCGTGATGTTCTACACAGCTAAACTTATAACACATTAAAGAGGGAAGTACTGATTTTTGCAAAACCTGATATCTAACTAAAAGTGAGCTTTTTTTTGTGCCGACAGAAGTGAGATTTTGTTTTTAATTACATCTGTGGTACTACAGGATTTGTTTTTAAGATAACCGTAATTGCTAATTAAAATACCTGAAATAATTCTATGCATGCTCTTCCAGCTTCAGACCCAGTTAGGGAGCGCCTTTTCTTCCTTTTTCATTGTCTGTTTTAGTTATTTAAAAACACATCTTGCTCCAATAATTCTCTGCTTTAACTCCTTGGGGTTTTTAAGCCCAGAAAATCTCAGATTCTTTTTCTGTTCTGTTTTATGAAATACTGTATCCTTTCACATAAAGTATTAAGAGTTCAGTAACTGGGTGGGATTGTTGTCATGTCAGGATCATTCCTCCCATGCAGCTCCTGACTAGCGGCCAAACACTGCACACACCTGCCTCCGTAGGATAGAACTATTCCGAGAATTTCACCCCCATTTCCTTTTCACAGGGTAAAACGGTCACCCTGAAACTGAAGAATGTCAACTTTGAAGTAAAAACCAGGGCTTGCACGGTTAACTCGGCAGTATCTACGGAGGAAGAAATATTTTCTGTTGCAAAAGAAATTCTGAAGGCAGAAATAGATTCTGTTGCTCCGGAACCATTGCGCTTACGACTGATGGGTAATATGAATAGTAAAACGCGGCTGCGTGTTGTACAGCAGAACAATATCGTTAAAAAGTTGAATAATCCACAATATAAGATGTGCTCCAGTTGTGTAATTCGGTGTCTTTCTTCACATCGGAAATATGTACAAATTTGTTCAAAATACAGATTAAGGAACAAATTAAAAAATACAGTTTTACATTCTACTCAGCAGCCTAAATTAATCTATCTTAGGAAACAAATATGGGGATTCAGTTACCCCATACGGCCAAATCGTGTTAAGCCCACCACTACGCCACAGTATGCTTAAACTGCTTTCAGAGACTCTCCTCAAATGTATGCTTTCCTGTGGTCACCTCCAACAGAGCACGTATAGTAGAGGGGTGGGGTACACACCACGAAAGGAATCTGGTCTGGATTCCAAATATACATAGAAAAGAATGTGCTTGGGGGCACACCCAGAACATGCATTTCTCAGCTGTAACCACCAAAGTACATACAAAATACAGATTAAGGAACCGTGCACAAAACATTTTTTAAATGTTACATGGCTTCTTAAAATCATCTAATCAAACAAATGTGGGGATTCAGTTACACCATCTGGCCATTTGTGTAAATCTGATGAGATCCCACAAAAATCAAGACAATTACTTCTGTATATATATTTTATCTATTTAACATACACTGCAAACTGTAGCCATTCGGTTATCATTTCACATTTAATAAAGGCGAAATCTCTTGGTTAGCAATGAATGCACACAGCTAGGTGCCAAACCCAAACGCCAACCAGTGCGAAATGCCAGATCCAGTTTTCAATCTGTGACTTGTCTGTCTATGTTTGTTACTGATGCACATTACGATGCACACATACACATGTATAACGATACATACGATGTGCACCAGTTTAAATGGACAGGTTTACATTACAGGCGTTTTTGATAAAGCTTCCCACACACCGCAAATGCAGTAGTTGTGTCTGGACTGGATGCAATAAAATACTCTACTGAACTTTAAATAAAACATTTAAAAAAGGATGAAACTAGTTATAGGTGACTTTCTAAATTGTATCCAGTGGTTCAATTTTCAAAGAATCATTCTACATTAGTGCTGAATTACTCTGTCCAAGAATTGGCTATTTTTATTTTAGTCCGGTTCATTACTATCCTTATACAAATTCAAATTGAGTGCATAAGTGTGTTTATCGGATACTTTATGGAAACTAGGACTAAGTGATTTTTTTTAAAAACCTTACCTGGTTTGTCACAGAGATAATTTATATATTTATATATATTTAAAAAAAAAAGTCATTGTACTATTTTGCAGGTGTAAGAGTTTCAGGATTTCTTTCAGAAGACGATAAAGGATATCATCAGAAAAGTATCACTAGCTTCCTATGTCCGAGTAAGTCCTCCAGCTCTACTTCTGGAGAGAGGCCAGCTAAATCAAATCAGGAGATCGCAGCCTCACTTCTACCCAGAGAGAGTTTCTTTAACCAGAAACGTGCGGCCAGAGAAATCCAAGAACACAGTCCTTGTAAGCTTAATAATAGAGAGGAGAAGATGCCATTTGTATCATCTGAGGACAAAAGGAAGGAGGCCACGTTGGAAGACATGGACATGAATGAAGATCTCACATGTCCAATTTGCTTCATGAAAGAAAGCAGTTGGGATCTCGAAGGGTTGAATAAGCACATTGACTTATGTTTGAGTAAGACTCCAGTGTCCAGTGTCATAAAAAAATTGGACAAAGATGAAAATAGCACTTTTCTAAGGGGAAAACATAATGATGGTGATGATGACTATAGTTTAGAAGATTTTCAGTCTGTTGATGTCCATACAAAGAATCTCGTAAACAAAATTGTGGACACAAGAACCTATTGTGATTTGGACAAAGGTGTTTTTAACGAAATCCGAGCTTTAGAGGAATTGGGTGAAGAAGTGCAAATGGACTATAATCATTGTGCCTTGACTGATACAAATACAAAGGGTTACCACCAGATGCCTTCCGAAAATATTTTATTTGAATGTGAATCCAATTTTAAAGAGCCTGTTAATGAAAAGTTGTCATCGCAGCCAAGTACCTCTGTTTTACTGGAGAGCCCGGTATTCATCTGCCCAATCTGTAATTCAAAGCAAGATAGCACAGACTTGGCAGCATTTAACAGACATGTAGACGTTTGCCTAAATAGAGGCATTCTAGAAGAGATGTCAGTGGAAATAATTGATGTGAAAAAGGAGTCTCCCTTGACTAATCACAAGCAGACTGGTGAGTATTTTTGAGCATACCATCCCTGCCCCTAATTAGCAAGGACAATCCCTAGATTGGCTCCAAATCCCTCTATCCCTCATTGCTATCCTAATGTCCTTCTGTTTAATGAGTTATGTACTGTTGGTGTGTCTGTGTGTATAGCAGAGCTTCATAGCAATAAATCTAGCAGTAATATGTCTTTAAACTGTAATAATTGTGTTTACAGTCTGAGTAAGTAAGATGACTTTGGTCTAAAGGTTACTTGCCACTGCAAAACTCCTCCTACTACGTGATCTTTGGGAATGTGCGGGGTACCCGCATGCACAGAAGTCCTCCTGTCACATGACATTTGATTTAAGAAGGGGTTCACCATGTGTTGTATTTGCTATGTTTAGTTTTGTACCTGGGTTCGAACTATACCTGAGATTTAGTAACAATGTAAAAGATTTTGCAATGTGCTCTGTTCTAAAAAGTTGTGAAAACCTGTATCACCATAGTGATTACTCCACCAATTTACGATTACTTAATCAATACATCATTAATTGGGCTGTGATAAATGGATATCTTTAAAGGGAAACTATAGTACCCGGAAAACACATTTGTTTTTCTGGCACTATAGCTTCCCCCTCCATCAAACCCCGTGATGCCAAAGGGGATAAAAACCCCTTCTGTCACTTCCCTTGGTCCAGCGCTGGCTTGGGTCCACCTTCTCTCTTCCCCCTCCATCAAACCCCGTGATGCCAAAGGGGATAAAAACCCCTTCTGTCACTTCCCTTGGTCCAGCGCTGGATTGGGTCCACCTTCTCTCTTCCCCCGACATCGGCTGGCGGGGGAGACCTAATGTCTGGCAATGGCCGTGCTTGAATTAAGAATTATTCAATGCTTTCCTGTGGGGTTTTGGGTGACGCTGGACTTCCCCATGCATATCAATGAAAGTCCCTTTAGTGGCTCTGGTAGACAACCACTAGAGGTGAAGTTAACCCTAGCATGCAAGTATTGCAGTTTCATATCTTGTCTTCTATTTTTTAATTAATATATTGTCTTTTGTAAGACAGTGGGAACTGTTTTTTTGTTTTGTTTTTGTTGTTGTTTTTTTAGCATGTATGAATTGCTTGAGAAGAAATTCTGAGTAATATATATTAGATCTGTGTGTGTTTATTTTAAAGGGGATCTGTCATGGCAAATACAACTTAATCATAAATGATAAAAACATAAAATTTATGATCTACATTGTGCAAGCAGAATTGATTGCAAATGTCTAGATTTCTTTAAAATCAGAGGTTTCCCCTTCTGTCAGTTCAGACTGTGCTGATTAGAAGGCTGTTATCAGTGAAAACATCCTCTGGGCATCTCTCCTGCTTGCCTTCAGCCAAAGGGAAAGCATCTCCTGCAAGGGGGAGAAGGGATGAGGAGCAGGCTCTGTGTGAGAGCAGCTGTAGCACAGAGAAAAGAATCCTGAATGAAATATCACAGGAACTTTGGACAGGCAATCTGCATTTTGAGAGAGAGCTCAGATGTTTTATTTAAACAGAGCCAACATTGTGTTGGGGACAGTTAACCTGTTATAGGATGTAAATCTGTGCTTCCCAAAAAGGAGTATGCAGGGAAGGTGCGTCCTTATATGATGTAAATCTGTGCTTCCCAAAAAGGAGTATGCAGGGAAGGTGCGTCCTTAAGCAGGTGTAACATCCACGGAAATATGATTGATGGTCTTAGCAGGAGTCAGGGGAATTGGAAATAAATTAAAATATAACCTGTTAATAATATTAAGAAATGGTACACGCTGGACATTCAGAGAGTGGAGACACTCTCACGGCTGATGGTACATGTGGCGAAACCAACCTTGCCACGAAGCATTGGAGAAGCCTGGTTGCTCGCCTGTTGCCATTGGACTATGGCCCCATGTTAAAAAGCCCTCTTGCTTCTGCATTCGGTCATTTAACCGGATACCTGTTCATTCGGTAGTTTAACCGTATGAACATCATTACCCCAGATAGCCATGCCATGGAGCCTATTCGTGTAACGAAAGACTATGGGAAAGACTTTGGCTCCATGGCGATTGAACTGTATGTGCACTTGGAGTCTTGTGATACTGATTGTGATTTGTTGTTTTTTTTGGATTGTGGTGTTCGATAAAATAATCAAATGCAGAACTTATAGGGTGTGATTTTGTGAAATATTGATTGCACTAGAGCTTTACGTATCAGACATAACTTTGATTCTGAAATATTTTAATGCTTGATAGATGGGTCTCTAATTGAGCCAATGCACAGTTTTCAGTGACATGCCCCAAAATGGGAGGATTGAGCCTCTAGTACAGCATATACTTTGGGACCATCCTTTCCAACGTGTCCCTACTGCTTCTTTTTGTGGGTCTGGAGACATTCCTGTTTCCAGAAACGCTGGATTACATTTGTAAAGTCTGGAACCCTTGTTTCTCAGGGAACATATTTAGGAATTGTCACAAATAGTATGACAATGGTATTGTGTGGTTCTTGTAACTGCTTGCTGCTTGCATCACAGTATCACCCACACAGTGAAAATATATAATGTGTTATCATGTCATTTGAGCCAAAGTATATGGCTGTTTATTCATCTTCTCTCCTCCTGATTCATTTATCCATGACTGATGGAATTAGAGACCGATTGTGACAGACCGCCTGGCACCCCAACCAGGTACCTCTGTCAATCGCTGCTTCCTAGTACTTGCGAGCACCATAAGCACTGTACTGGAACACCATAACCACCGTAGACCACACGAAACGCCGCAGCTTGGTTGGGGTCTCGCTGTCCTCCACTCACCCTGGACCCAAGACCAGGATCCAGCTTCCAGTGGGTAGACCTCTCCTAGTCCAGAGAGCGTAGCAGGAACAGCTCTTATAAGAGCTAGTGATTATACTCAGGGGAGTATTGTGATATAGCAAACCCCAAAGTGAATGTAGTTCTCCAATCCCCCAAACATGAGCCAAGACTTGGCCACACTTGGCCTTCTATGACAATCCCCATGCAAGGGGTACGCCCACAGGGACCTTGTGGAGGACTGATTTGCAACTTCACAGATCAATAACAATAAGGTTACAAGGCACGACACTCCCACACACAGCACACAATCACTCCCCTCTGCCTGGGAGGTAATTGGATCAGTAACTGTACTAATTCTAATCCAATTATCTCCAAGCACAGAAAAAAACATACTTTTTTAAAACATCCCAAAAGTACCCTAAAAATACATTAAACCCCACAACATCCCCTGATAGCCCTGATCTGGGGGACCAACATATCCAAAAATCACCCAGATCAGTTCAGGGGTTCAGGAATTTCCTGGAAGTAATTTATTTGACCGATCGCAGGCATGGTCCCATAGCCAAAAATAGTTCCATAGAATCGTGGGTAAGTGCCGCTGGAGGACTGACCGGGAACCGCAAAGTCTTCAGGCCGAAAATAGTTCCAGGGCATTCACGGCTAAGTCACCCTGAAGTCTATTCGCGGTTTTGGGCCATGCGAACAAGATGGCTGCCACATCATGGTCGTCAATAGGAATTGCGGCCACCCAGACGAAGACTTAGACCACTGCGGTGGAAATTGCAACAATGTATCCATTAAGCTTAACAAGCTCCAGGGTGGTCAGCGGTTCGTGCGGCTGCTCAGTTACCGAACCATATAATTCCAATAGACAAACTGAGACTTTTATATCACAGTTTACAGGGTCCAATGTCTATGGGCAGGAGGCTGGCAAGCAGGCCCCTCCAAGAACTTGTGGCAAACTTGAAAAGAGGAGTTTCACACTGATCTTTTAATCTTTCCCCACCCAAATTCACTCACATTCATTGTCATCCAGCTCACGATTCATTCACATACCAAAGGACAAGTTTGACTTCACTATTTTTAGTTTAGCTAATGACATTCATTGATATGAAATCTGACAAAGTCTTACCATCATTATTGTTCCTGTGCTGAGAATGAAGGATAGCAAATACCTCCCTGTCATGCCTTCTATAACTCCTGCTCTTTAGAAAGAGCGTAGAATTCAGTCTTTACATTGTTTTACTAGAAAATGTACAGATTGTGAGAAAAACCTATTTAAATATAGGTCTTCCTCCCATCTCTCAGTCAGTTCTTCGGCACAAACTCTTTGCCAAAGAATGAACTGAGTTGGTCGTTCTGTTCTCCCCACATAGCAACCACAATGCTGTGGTTGCTATGGAAAGGGATATGACGTCACTCTGTGCAATTAAGCCAGAGTTGCTTATCCTGCTTGAGGAAGGCAGGGTGATCACTGAAAAGACCGGGCGGACTGGAGGTCGGTGTTACATGAAGAGTAACTCCCACAAAGATGAGGAGAGGGCCGATGGTATGGTGAGTAGATCTTTACATTTTATTGAATGCATCATGTATCTTTATGATGCATTATGTATTGAATGCATTTGGGGGGGAGGATTTAGGTAAACTTTAATATAGAAACATAGAAAGTGACGGCAGATAAGAACCATTCGGCCCATCTAGTCTGCCCAATTTTCTAAATATTTTTATTAGTTCCTGGCCTTATCTTATAGTTAGGATAGCCTTATGCCTATCCCACGCATGCTTAAACTCCTTTACTGTGTTAACCTCTACCACTTCAGCTGGAAGGCTATTCCATGCATCCACTACCCTCTCAGTAAAGTAATACTTCCTGATATTATTTTTAAACCTTTGTCCCTCTAATTTAAGACTATGTCCTCTTGTTGTGGTAGTTTTTCTTCTTTTAAATATAGTCTCCTCCTTTACTGTGTTGATTCCCTTTATGTATTTAAATGTTTCTATCATATCCCCCCTGTCTCGTCTTTCCTCCAAGCTATACATGTTAAGATCCTTTAACCTTTCCTGGTAAGTTTTATCCCGCAATCCATGAACCAGTTTAGTAGCCCTTCTCTGAACCCTCTCTAAGGTATCAATATCCTTCTGAAGATACGGTCTCCAGTACTGTGTACAATACTCCAAGTGAGGTCTCACCAGTGTTCTGTATAATGGCATGAGCACTTCGCTCTTTCTACTGCTAATACCTCTCCCTATACAACCAAGCATTCTGCTAACATTTCCTGCTGCTCTATTACATTGTCTGCCTCCCTTTAAGTCATCAGAAATAATCACAAAGAAGTTCTTTCACCTGACTGCATATCTGCTTCTAACGGCACTGTTGTATGTAAACAGGATCTTGAGATGTACGAAAAAGCATTGCAAGCTGTAAATGCCTTCCCTGTGAGAACAACTAAAGCAAAGGCTACTGTGGGTGCTGTTTTTCCCATAAATCTGGAAGAAGGACGTATGGCATGGATGCCTACGGGATACTGTACCTCCTACCAGAGTTTTTGACCTTCCAGAGGAAGAGGGTGAATCCGACCTCTACAAAGAGCCTGTTCACGCCCAGAGGGCGTTCTTAAAGGGGGGGTACTGTCACAGTTCTCACCGCGACATCCAGACTGCCAGACGAGGTCGCCCCAGAAGTGCCCAACAAGGGATTTGAACTTTGTGGACCTGGGCCTGTTGTTTCTCCTTTGAGCCACCTTACCAGTGACAAGTTCACTTTAAAGGAACTCTCCAAGCACCATAACTACTTCAGCTCACTGTAGTGGTTACTGTGCAAGTAGTGCCCTGGAGCCCCTATTGTAAGGAGTCAAACTGGTTTTGAATGGTTTGACTTCTTACCTGGGGTCTGATGAGGTCTTGGGGGGTGGGGGAGGGAGGAGATCTAGGGTATGCTGCTCCCTGCCTACACTACCACCTCCCAAGAGCTGAAAGTTCCTCAGTAAGACTTCAGTTCGCTTGCCTCATTAGCTGAAAGCGATGAGCTGGTGCTCAGCTTTGGAAAGCGACTGGAGGTTCCTGCTGAGAAGCTTTAGGCTCTTGTTAGATGATAATAGAGGCAGGGAGCAAGGTGTAGTGGCTATTGTGCTTGTAGTGTTCCTTTAAAGGAACGCTATAGTCATCTAGACCATTTCATCTGAACAAAGTGGTTGTGTGCAGTTTTCCTCTCATTTTAACCCTGCAGTTTGAAACACTGCATTTTTTTTAGAACTGCGCTGTTTGCATTGCATGGTTAAATCCGGTTTTAGTGGCTGTCTTCATGAACCAATGGATTGGAGGAGATCGCCAACACATCAGAAGGCATGTTGATGTCTTCGAAGGTGGAGCTGGCAGCTGCAGCAGAGGAGTCTTGGACCTGGGAGCAAAGGGTAAGTAAGGAGGGTGGGCAGGAAGGAACCGAAGAGTTCCTTTATCTCATGAAGAAAATTAGGATATAGCACCTCTTATTCACACACATTTCAAGTTTGCACTCATCAAAAACTCGCTAACATAGTTGTGCATTTGGGGTATGGTTTTATTCACTAAATACCTAATACAGTAAAATTTAACCCAATTTGCTAAATTTAGGCAAAAAAGCTGATTTAGGAATTCTCCAACTTGACTACTATTACAAATCTAATTTTTTATTTTTTTTTTTAAATCCTTGCATTTGGATTTTTATTTCACTTCAGTATAGTGTTTTTGTGATGAAGCATCATGTATCTTTCACCCGTTGGTGGAGAGTCAAAGAAAAGAGATTTCACTTACACCATCTAAAATATTGTAGGTGTAATGGCAAAGCTGTTGCTCTGTTCCTGACAAAAAGAATGTGATGTCAGCCGCCAATCAAAACCTGTGGTTGGTTTATTAGTTCCTAATCTTTCCGGGGCGCAGAAAAGAGAAAAGTTTAGTTTTTTTTTTTTAGTTTTTGATGAGGTTGTATTCACAATGCCCAAGATTAGCTCATGGTATCAATTTATATGAGTTTGCCAAGTACCAAGTTTGTGGACAGCCTAAGTTACCTAAAGTACCTCCTTGATTTATCTACACTAAAATTCATAAATTATCTAGTACTTTAACTATTATCTAATCTAATCACACACCAGCATACCTCATTACTTACCTAATTAACTACTGAGTTCAAGGCCGTTTTGTCTGGATTGCATATTCTAAAGTAGTTTATTTACTATTTTGCCAGTTGCCCTCTCACCCTCTGTTTCCTTGTGTATAACCAGCAGGTTGACAAAGGATGGAGCTTTAATCAAGCTCCACAGCATATGTCAACTTTGTCATCGGCCCATATAATTGTCCCTCCTGCGATGTGTCACTGGTCCTCTCAAGTGACTCTCACAGGAAAGCCAACTGAAGTCAGGGACCGCAAACTGGTTAAACTAGGCTTGCACATGATTTGACGCACATGTTCTATTATAGGCAGAGGATACCATTTCCAGGCACCAATGTCTTAGATACTTGAACATGGCATAGCAGCACCTATAATGAAAACACAGAGGGTCCAGTAATCTGTCAATTAGGTGAACTGATGGACGGATCCAAAGAATCCAAATAGAGACAGATCGCCTTTAAATGTGGACTTTCATATGTTGCCCGATGACCTTGGCTGCATTGCTTTCAAGACGTGGAGTTAAATCAAAGACTGGAACAATTCCAAATACAAGTTAATAAATGAAAACTGCGGGCTTAGTGCCCAGAACAGAAGACAAGAACCAGTTGAAAGGACAGCAAACCTGGCAAAGATATCTCTGCTTTTAACTGAATCCTTGTAAAACACACTGATGATTGTTCCCATTGCTCACTGTGATTTGTAAATATGAGTTCATGTTCTTGTGAGGTCTCAGGGACATGTATTAATATCCTGAATATGGATTAACGACCCACCACAGGAGTTTTATCGTCATCTTTCACCATCATTCACTAGCTTTTCTGCAGAGCTGTAAATTGTCAATGTATCAATACAAAGTGTACATTACACAAAAATAGTTACCAAACAATCTGCTCTTTAAAGGACCACTATAGTGCCAGGAAAACATACTCGTTTTCCTGGCACTATAGTGCCCTGAGGGTGCCCCCACCCTCAGGGACCCCCTCCCGCCCGGCTCTGGAAAGGGGGGGTTAAAACTTACCTTTTTCCAGCGCTGGGCGGGGAGCTCTCCTCCTCCGATCCTCCTCTTCCTCCTCCTGGGCTGAATGCGCACGCGCGCAAGAGCTGCGCAAGATTCAGTACGCATAGGAAAGCATTATCAATGCTTTCTATATGGACGCTATGCTCTCACTGTGATTTTCACAGTGAGAATACGCAAGCTTCTAGCCAGACAGCCGCTAGAGGCTTTGGGGGAAGGCTTAACCCATTTATAAACATAGCAGTTTCTCTGAAACTGCTATGTTTATAAAAAAAAATGCGTTAACCCTAGCTGGACCAGGCACCCAGACCACTTCATTAAGTTGAAGTGGTCTGGGTGCCTAGAGTGGTCCTTTAAGGGCTAATGTAAGACAGATCTGTACATTATAGAGGTGAGACTGTAAGAAACAAACTAAAACTTAAAAGAACACACAACACAAAACCTGAAAATAAAGCAAATCACTATTTAGTACAAATACCCCCAATAAAAACATGCATGCATTTATTTGTACATTTAGGCATTGCGTTATATCTAGAAAAAAAACATGTCTGCAGCCTTTGCAATCGCTCCCTGTTTTCCGGTCAGTGGAGTCAACAGAAGATGATTGACAGCCAGGGCGTCATTTCTTAATTCACTTAATTTCCCTATTATAAAGTGCATTTAGGATGAGAGGCTCGTTCACTTCAGGAGCTGAAGTGCTTTTTGTGTTTAGAGTGGTCCTTTAACCACTAATGTATCTGGCGCCCCTATTAGGGCTTCACAGCTCACAATGTCAAATCCTGCATGACTACCCAGGCCAGGGGTTAGTTGTACTTGCAAAGCTTTTCAAATATGTGACCTCTAGAGATAACTTTTCAGGTTTTACAACTGGAAGCGGTTTGACTTGCACAATGTGCAACTAAAATTGCAATCATGTCAAACAAGTTAATGGGATATTCCAAACTCTTTAACCCCTACAGTCCAGTGATTATAATGGCGCTCTAGTGGATACAGTGCCATTTACGAACAGCTTGACACTTACCTGGGTCCCTTCGGCTGACACTCTCTACAAATGAATTACCTGAAAACTGTCATGAACTTGATAGAGGAAAAGAAAAGGTCAGGCTTAAAAAGGTCAGGCTTTCGCTGCATGGGGGTGACTGGAAGCTGCACATGCTCGTGGGTGGGCCCTGTTAAGTGCCATACCATTCACAAATGCTTCAAACCTATTCCATAGGACCTTTGGCACCATAAGCACCACAGTGAACTGAAGTGTTTATGATGCATGGAGGGCTCCTTTAATCACTGTGTATGTATAAGGACAAAAGAGGAACTTTCTTGTGATCTCTCTTCCCTATAGGCTGTGCTTTTGCAACATTTGAAATACTCGCTGTACGATACCGGAGCTTAGTAAGGGCTGTGGACAATAGGTAGATTTCTAAAATTTCTGCAATACAGAATTTTAAATTGCTGCAGTTATTTAATGCTACTCTTGATTACCACAGATATCACCTGTACAGCAACTGTCAATAAGCTGCTGTGACACAGCACCGAGGAACTTCAGAGGCTGTTTAATAAGATTTTGATATCTGTTCAAAAGATGAATAAGTGGTACATGGTTATGGGCAGAGCTTATCCATATGTTATGAAAATGTTTCTACCAATTCCCAAGAGAAGAAAGATCAAAAAGACTATTTCAGATCTTCAAAGGTCTCCTGTTTGCTCAATAAGAAAAGCAATGAGTAAGGTGGGTCTACTAACCGATACTATCCCTGCAGTAAAATGGGCAAGAGCAAGACCATGACCTTTACAATAGGGAATATTGCAAGCTTGGACCAAGGACCAAGAAGATCTCCATCCAATCATGACGGTCTCTTCCAATACCCTGTTACAACGATGGAAGGAATCCAGTTTCATTACAACAGGCCTGTCTTTCAAATAAAACCATTGGATAGGAATTACAACAGATGCCTCAAACATTGGATGAGTTGCTCACATTCATTCTCAAATGGGGAAATGAAAGTGGAATTTTGTAGAAAGAAAATCATCAAATTTCAAGAACTCCTGAGCTTTTTTCTTGCCGGGAAGGCATTCAAACAAGAGATTCTTCACAAAGCTGTACAGATACAATCAGACAATGTTACGACAGTGCTATACATCAACAGACAAGGAGGTACAAGAGTAAAAGCCCTTTCAGACTTATGTCAACAAGTTCTATTTTGAGCAGAAATAAATCTTTCGGATCTCACATTCATTGATATCGGAGAGATGGACAACATTGTTGCAGACGATCTGAGCAAATGCAGATGTAGGCAAGCATAATGGTCCCTCACGACAAAAGTATTCAACATGGTTATAAAAAAAAATGGTGTACTTGAAAAGGAGTTTATGGCCACAAGACAAAACAGAAAGCTTAGAAGACCTGCTTTCCTGCATAAACAAGACCTTCCCAAATCCCAATAATCTGAATTCCCTTTTTCCACCTATTGCAGTCATTCCAATTGTCCTCAGAAAAAATTGTCACGATTCCTTATTGGCCAAACAGGAGCTGATACTCGGAACTCAATGAAATGGCAGAAAACCATAAATCACTTTATTGTCTGCCAGATGTGTTTCATCGCCGTGTCCCCCACATTATATGCATAGACAGAATTTGGCAACTTCCTGTAGAACCTCAGCTGTTGGTGAACAATGGGAATTGACTAGAAACCCTTCTAATATGCAAACTTAAGGCATGGCTTCTGCAATGATGATTCTGTAAAAACAAGGCCTCTCAAAAGATTTGATCGAAGTCCTCCTTAATTCTGCTAGAAAATCCACATTTAGGACTTATTAAAGTACCACTCTAGGCACCCAGACCACTTCAGCTTAATGAAGTGGTCTGGGTGCCAGGTCCATTTTCATAGAAACTGCTATGTTTATAAATGGGTTAAGCCTTCCCCCAAAGCCTCTAGCGTCTGTCTCATTGACAGCCGCTAGAGGCGCTTGCGTGATTCTCACTGTGAAAATCACAGTGAGAGCACGCAAGCGTTCATAGGAAAGCATTATGAATGCTTTCCTATGTGACTGGCTGAATGCGCGCGCAGCTCTTGCCGCGCGTGCGCATTCAGCCGCATGGGAGGAGAAGAGGAGGATCGGAGAAAGAGAGCTCTCCGCCCAGCGCTGGAAAAAGGTAAGTTTTTACCCCTTTCCCCCTTCCAGAGCCGGGCGGGAGGGGGACCCTGAGTATGTTTTCCTGGCACTATAGTGGTCCTTTAACATATATGAAATAAATTCTGCTTATGGTGCAGTGAAGACAGTTGTGATGATTTGAAACCTTCCATTCTTAATATTTTGACATTTTTGAGATCAGGTATTTCTCAAGGTTTGTGTATCTCCACCCTTAAGGTACAGATTTGAGCACTTAGTCATTTTACAGGATTATTATTTAAACATTTTGATAAGGAGATTTCTAAAAGCCATCTGGCAGTAACAGCCTCCTCAATAGTTATCTTCCTTCCAGAGATCTATGTTTAGTACTTTAAGTAAAAGTCCATTTGAACCTGTTAAAGAAGTTCCAATAACATTTTTATCAGCAAAGTTCGCTTTTCTAATTGCAGTCACTTCGGCAATAATTGGGAGATATTCCGGCACTATCCACATCGGAAGAATTAACAATTTTCCATTAAGATAAAGTTATTCTACATTTAAATCCATCTTTTCACCATAAAGTTTTATGGAAAGATAACATCAATCCGATGATCGTGCTCGCATTGGTTTGTCAAAATTCGTCATCCACTAAGGAATCCAGACTTCACCCATTGGATGTTAAAAGTTCTGGACAGCTTTCTTCTGTAGATCAGAACATTTTCCCATCAATTTCAAGGGTCGGTCAAAAGGAAAAGCAGCTTCTAAATCCACTATTGCCCACTGGGCTAAGGAAATTATCGTGTGTGCATATGAATCTGTGGGTGGTAGATCTTCCGAAAAGAAAATAAATCAAGGATGATTGTACTCGCGGGATGGCAACTACATGGGTAGAGAAAGCTCACACATCCCTGGACGATATCTGCAAGGCCTCAGCATGTTCGTCATTCAACACCCTTGTCCAGCATTACAGGCTAGACATCCGTTCCTGAGCAGAAGCATATTTGTGACATAACCCACCCTTATTGGATCTTGCTAAGTTACTATGGTACTGCCGCTATACCTTTGGAAAATACGAAATGTTACTTGGCGTCAACTATTTTTTAAATAATTTTTTCTGTAGTATTAGAGACCGTAAACATTTTTCTCCCTGTTTATTAAATTATATTTTTGCAGTCAAATTGTGTTTTCTGATTGTCTTGTTACTACTTGGGTCTGCCGATTCTACAAGGTATTTAAGGGTTTAGAAGGGGGAGATTCTAATAATAAAAAATATAAAAATTTCAGGTTACCTGTCCCTATATAAGAACACCCCTTTGGTACTGCCGCTAATACTCGCACAAAATAATTTATGGTAAGTAATTATTTTTGTTTTACAAACAGCAGTTTTGAAACAAAAAAATTGAAGCAGTCTGTGAGCTAAATTACAACTCAGTGATAATTTTAAAACAAAATAATTGTTACTGTATCAGTTCTGTCATTCTCTTATTCTATATTTGACTAACTCCCCAGTCCCTGCTATTGGTGAGTATGTGTGTATATAAGGGTGATTTAGGTTATTAGAAATCATTTTTTATTTTTACTTGCCTCCATTTTATATAATAGTTTGTGTTTGGTTCATCTTGTAACGGCTGTGTCTTGCAAAGTTTCTGTCTTGGCAATAGGCAGGTGTTCCAAGGTGTTTCAAAGGATTCTGAGAAACGAGTTGTTTACAAGTGCATTTTTATTGTCAAAGACCCAAATAATAGACTGGGCATCCTGACATTAAGGGTGTAAACATGACAAAAACAAATGTTAAAATGAGACTTCTGTAATCATAAAAAAAGAATATAAAGCCGAGAAAATTAGTATAACTTTGATCTATCTGAATCCCATGTGATTAGCATTTCTCACTCAACAGTTAGTTCATGGAGCACAGAAAGAAGAAACTAGAAAAGAATTACTTTGCCTTATTCAAGTTTATTTCCCGTAACACAGGGGAGGGCTGACTACGTTTGGTTTGTGGGAAAGTACGAATGAATGGCTATTTTTGCACATGAATAGTGTTGATGTATCAGTGGATGGCCACCATGTGGGTTTGACAGATGGAGGCTGAAGTTGTGAGGTGTGACATAAACTCCATCAGTATGACCTATGCAGCATGAGGAAGCAGTTCCAGACATCTCTGCGTGCCCAAGAGATGCAAACTCTTACGTCTATGACTCCATTGATACAAATGTTTCATCTTAACCTACAGCCACGTGCAAACACCTCCACGGACACCGTACACAGTCATCATTGTATGGCAGCTAGGTTGGTCCCAGATGTCTCCTCAGTTGGCTAGTTTAGGCCTAAAAATCATTGAGGTTGTGATCCACCAGCTGAAATACAAACCCACACAGTGTTAGGCTAGTAAAAGCCCTGTACAATTCCTGCTTACTGTCTCACTCATGTTTTGAGCCATTAGACATTTTAACATGCCTTAGGCTTCTAATCAGTAGAAGAATGTTATGAGGCTGCAGCCTACAAATTCTGTGTGCAAGTGGCCCGGGGGTTATTACCTCTGCCAGCCCTACCCTAGTATATGTATAAAGGCAGAGTAGGTAAAGGGAACTAGTTAAATGTTCTGATGTTGTAAGATTGAGATGAATGGGTAATGGGCACGTGGCCAAGGTTTCTGAGGATGTAAGAATCGGAACGGTGAGTAAAGGGGGCCGATTGAGGTTTATGATAATGTAAGTATGGGGAGTGTAGGTAAAGGGGCTGGTTGAGGTTTATGATGCTGTAAGGATTGTAAGAATGAGTAGAGAGGAGCTGGTTGAGGTTTCTGATGATGTAAGGATTGAAAGAATGGGTAAAGGGGGCTAGTTGAGGTTTCTGGTAATGCAAGGATTGGAAGAGTGGTTGAAGGGGGGCTTGTTGAGGTTTCAGATCATGTAAGGTTTGGAAGAATGGCGAAAGGGGGGATGGTTAAGGTTTCTGATGATGTAAGGATTGGACAAATGTGTAAAGGTGGGCTGGTTGAGATTTCCGATGATGTAAGGATTGAAACAATGGATAAAGTGGGCTGATTTAGGTTTCTGATGATGCAAGGATTGGAATAATGGGTAAAGGGGGGCTGGTTGAGATTTCTGGTGATGTAAGGTTTGGAATAATGGGTAAAGGTGGGCTGGTTGAGATTTCTGATGATGCAAGGATTGGAATAATGGGTAAAGGGGGGCTGATTTAGGTTTCTGGTGATTTCAATTCTTGAGAATGTTGGTAAAGGGTAATACTCAAGGTTTCTCATTATGTAAGTATGATGAGATTGGGTAAAAGTGGAGACTGATAAGCATTTCTGTTGGCAAGAATTTTCTTTTAAATATATAATACGAGTTGACTCACATGTTACTTAGATAAGAACAAATGTTTATTGAAAGGAAACTTGCTTTGCTATCTCCCCCTCCCAGGGTGTGAATAATTAGTTTACTTTAAGTGTTATTTCTCTAAAGGCAGCTTTATTATTATTTAATAAATCCAACCTGTTTCACTTCTATTTAAAGTGGTTATTAGCAGTGTGAGGAACTGGTACTTGCAGATTGTTCATTTGACGTGGGTTGCTGCGTCCTTTTGTGTGTCTATTACCAGAACAGCTGGAATGATGTTAAATGGACACTCGCGTTCATTGCTTGATGGATTCCACTTCTCCGCAAAGAGGATTATTGTAGCTGTGCATAGGTCTACATACAGCATAACACCAACAAATAGGAAAACAGCTCGGAAAAACTAAATTGTAACAAATGATAGCGTGGCTGCATTTGTTACTGTTTAAGACATGTACACAGTAATGGCTGGCTAGTGTTCATTGTAACAAAACAGGATGAACGTTTATTGATTTAAAGTTCTACATGCGGATCCTGAGCCTAATGACTTGTTTTTGTGATAAATCTCGGTCTTGCTGTAGATGTGAAATACACAATAAACGGGAGCACTCTACTTGACTAATACTGGTTTCCGTTGCTGTCTTACGTGTTTACACCATTTATCATTCTGCTTTTTTGAGTAGTGTCTGTCTGTCTCTGTCTACAAAATATAAATTAAAGAACAGCGCACACACACACAAACCGTTTTAAATTTTGCAAGCCTACTTAAAATCACCTACCGCAGCAAACCATACGGCCATGTTGTGCACCTTATCTTCGAGTTTTGTATTTTTCTGAGTGTTTTTTTTAGCTTTACACTAATTTTGGTGCAGCTTCTTTTTTGTAAAATTTCTTGGTATTAATATCTATTGTTTTTAGACATTTATTACTAGCGCCTGTTTTTCACTCGTTCTGTGTGCATGTTGTGTTAGGCCAACACTATGACACTGTACCCCAATACCAGTGGGTCCTACACTAATTTTAACATGGGAGGCAAACAACTACTTAAATAGTGACAGTGCTAAATTAATATAAATTAAATTAAAAGGCATTGATTTATATTTTTTGTGCGTTGTTAATATATATATCCCACCCCCTCCTCCCCCAAAACATTCCAACTTCCAGTGTCTATCACACATCTTAATTGCTCTTGTCTCTGGTTTGGAATGCTTTTAATTGCTCTGTAAAAGTTCAGAGTATTAATACAATTCTGATCATCCCACATAGAACTATTATAAGATATTGTAAGGGATGCACGTTTATGGATAAAACCCATACAAATGTTAAAGTTCAGCAATTTTCATATTCAGAGAAATAACATTTTTTTTTTTCAAACTGCAATATTTTATAACAAGTGTGTTGAAATTGCTTTGTGGATTATCCAGATCTTTGAGTGTGTGTTGTATGGCTTTTACACTATCTCCATCCGTTATTCAGTTTTCATTTCCCCCGGACCCAAATACTATGTTTATCCCCACAATTTCCCTCCCATATAATTATACTTCCAGTCCCCACATCTCTCTATTATCCTTTTCTTTTTAGAATTATGTTTCACGGTTTCAATAGATCTATTTTTTTTCATCCTACAGACCACATCGGAAAAGGAAACCGGAGTAATAATGCTACCAAGCAGATGAAAAGGTATGATATGGGAACGACACAATGTTAATAATGTTTGGGTTTATAAATGTGTTCCTGTGTTTGTTATACAAATATAAATTCTATGGCGTTTATTCACTAAACGCCAAATTGTAGTGAATTTAAGATGGAATGTATCTATTCGGATCTCGTGTAGTATGTATAGGTTAGTTCATAAATTGATGTATTATGTATTTTCGATTTTCTTTTCTTCACAGGTCAGGGGTATCGAGCCAGAATCCCGTGTCCAAGAAACCTAAATCAAACTGCCCTACGAAGACAATTGACAGATTTTTTAAATAGTACCTTTATATTGAGAGTTTCAGTCTGTCCCTGCTGCCAATCACTGGTATAGTTTGGTGCATGAATTGAAACCACATTTCTTAATTTGGGTCAGAATAGTAGAGAAAAATCTCCTGATTTTTATAATGATAGCGGAAATAAATCCACAACCTGATGAGATATTAAAACAATCTGTTTCACAGCAACAGAAAGACATCCGTGACGCATCGTTAACCAGGTTACTCGCGAAAGTGTGAATTGTCATGCTTTCAAAGTGATTTCAAAATAAATTTCACATTTTAGGCCGAAACAGGGAAAAAAAAAATAACTATGCTTCCAGTTCAGCTCTTTGGTCCTGGGTTTAAAATTGACTTGCAATTCCCAACAAGACTCACTTTAGTTGAGTTATTCACTAGTGGAACTTGTTTGGTATTCAAAGTGAATTTGACGTGCAATAAAACGATTATTGCTAAATTAATTTCTATCTATTCTGTTTCCTTATAATATAATTTATTTAATATTTTTTATAGTTGTGGGTAATATGAAGAAAGCTTTGCAGATATCTTAATGTTCTATTTAAAAATATGCCGTGAAGATGTGTTTTTTAAATCTGAATAAATGTATAATTTATAACATGTATTTTTAATTTTAGCAATATAATATTTTCCTTGTTTTCGTTTTATGTGCACAGAAAAAAATATATATGTACTCAGTTTATTTGTTTTTTCTGGTAGCCGAATTGTTTTTTTTTTTTTTCTTCTTATTCCTTCATTCAGACACAAAATCATGCTCAAATTCATTGTTAAAAACTAATCAAAAACTTTCGGGGAACATGTATGTGTGGTGGGTGGCATCATCGTTATTTGAGTTTGAACATTTTCTAGTATTTTTGGTGGCCTTTGACTTTTGTGCTCTATATAGATACAGTGACAGAAGGAGTCCCCAAAGACAACGAACATGCACTGTCCTCTGGGCTTTTTATTAAGGTTCGACAATCCCTCACAATCCCCCATATATACATATATACCAGTAGACAAGGTGAAGACCTAGCCTTGACTAGAATAAACTTTCCCCCACCAGAAAAAAAATTGTCAGAACCTTGGACTACGTGAAGGACATCTACAGTCACCTGGCCCTTTTCTGGTATGACCACCTACAGTCACCAGGCCCTTTTCTGGTATGATCACCTATCGTCACCAGGCCCTTTACTGGTACGAGGACCTACAGTCACCAGGCTGATTACTGGCATGAGTTCCTAGAGTCACCAGGCCCTTTACTGGTATGACCACCTACATTTACCAGGCCCTTTACTGGCATGACCACCTACAATCACCAGGCCCTTTACTGGTATGAGTACGTACAGTCACCAGGCCCATTACTGGTATGAGTACGTACAGTCACCAGGCCCATTACTGGTATGAGTACGTACAGTCACCAGGCCCATTACTGGTATGAGTACGTACAGTCTCCAGGCCCATTACTGGTATGGCCACCTACAGTCACCAGGCCCTTTACTAATATGAGTTCCTACAGTTACCAGGCCCCTTACTGGTATGAGTTCCTACAGTCACCAGGCCCATTACTGGTATGACCACCTACAGTCACCAGGCCTCTTACTGGTATGAGTTCCTACAGTCACCAGGCCTCTTACTAGTATGAGTTCCTACAGTCACCAGGCCCTGTACTGGTATGACCACCTACAGTCACCAGGCCCCTTACTGGTATGACCACCTACAGTCACCAGGCCCTGTTCTGGTATGACCACCTACAGTCACCAGGCCCTGTACTGGTATGACCACCTACAGTCACCAGGCCCCTTACTGGTATGACCACCTACAGTCACCAGGCCCTGTACTGGTATGACCACCTACAGTCACCAGGCCCTGTACTGGTATGACCACCTACAGTCACCAGGCCTCTTACTGGTATGAGTTCCTACAGTCACCAGGCCCTGTACTGGTATGACCACCTACAGTTACCAGGCCCTGTACTGGTATGACCACCTATAGTCACCAGGCCTCTTACTGGTATGACCACCTACAGTCACCAGGCCCTGTACTGGTATGACCACCTATAGTCACCAGGCCTCTTACTGGTATGAGTTCCTACAGTCACCAGGCCCTGTACTGGTATGACCACCTATAGTCACCAGGCCTCTTACTGGTATGAGTTCCTACAGTCACCAGGCCCATTACTGGTATGACCACCTACAGTTACCAGGCCCCTTACTGGTATGAGTACCTACAGTCACCAGGCCTTTTAGAGTATCTTTAATTTCCATTGGAAATCCATCTATTCTGGCCACATGAGTGCCCCTAAATATGTTTTAAACACTCATGTGGCCAGAATAGTTGGATGATTTCCAAGCTGTGAGAGTAGATATTTACATTTCTGTGTTTTAGCACTGGAAGGTTTACATTTCTGTTAGCCAGACAAGCTGTTCATGTGTAGTTGAAAGGAGGCTAAAGTCTGTACAAGAAACCTCCTCAATTTATGTTACCATTGACTCAGATACTTTATATTATATATACTTATATTATAATTACTACCAATTTATTGTATATACTGGTGTTTAGGTCAACATTTTAAGCATCTAAAATACCTACTCCGGCTCCCCAGCCCTGAGATTTTTATTGGTTTAACTCGTTCTTCCAAATCTGCTCATTTTTCTTTCATTCCAATAATTAGGGGTGAAAATGCACTGAAAAAGTAATACATAGAGGGGAAACCGCGCTGCAATACGTAATCAGCGTGAAATTTCTTGGGCTATTTAAATAACTAAATTATTGTTAATATTCTAATTATTTATATACATCACTTTCTATTACATAGAGGAGGCTTCAATATCTTGCTAGTGGAACCCCTTTCTATGTGACTCCCTTATGGTTGTTCCCAGCATATTCTATCTTTAATTTATTGTGTACTCGTCCCTTTTTAGAAGCAATAAAGTGTCGAAACATTGTTGGGCATCGGCTCCTTCCTATTGTGGTTACCCCTGGCTTGCTTAATAGCTATATTATTCCCTTAAAGGAAAATTCCAAGCACCATAACCACTACAACCCTCTCCATTGATCATGGTGCCAGAAGTCCCCTGGCTCCGTCCCACTGTTATAGAACATGCGCTGCATCTGCCTCATATAGTCTTCTCCAGCAAGAGGAGCACAATGTCACTGCTTTGAACAAAGCAAGACCGCAGCAAGGCTGTGAGTCTAACTGAGCAATCTGGTGTTATCTGCTGGAGACGACCACATGTAGCAGATGTGGCATGGACACCCGGTGGGACCCAGGTAAGTTGTCAAACTTTACTGAAACAGTTTGCCATCTTACAGTGGGACAGCTCCAGGGCCTTTCAGCACCATAGCCACTAGAGTGAGCTGTACTGGGTATGATACTTGGACCTTTTGTTTTGCGTTGTTCATATGTTCATTTTAGTTTCTTTTTAAACTAGTACTTGTGTCACACAGGTGCTTTTGGCAATAATATAAATAAATATCTTGTTATGATTTTGCTGACATTTCTTGTGTTGCTTTTAAGAATATTATTAATAAAGTTTGTCAGTTTGCACTTTTAATTGACTGTGGTGTCTCTTAATGTGTTTTAATACTTTCTCTATCTGTCTTTATCTAGGGTGTAGTTCCATACATATTCCCGCAGATGATTTATTATTAAATTATTTTTCATTTATCTTTCCATTGAGATAGGAAGGCCCAAAAATGAATGATTTCAGCAATATATGTCCCTGTACTTTTTATACATACATAAAGGAAAGGTACTTTTTCCCAGGGTGTATAAAACAATATTCGTACATTGAGTGTCCTCCTATTTTCACTGAATTCTGGTCAGTTCAACCCCAAGCTGTAATTGTGAGTAATGTATTGTGTTTCCTGCTCTGTGTCAACAATCAGACCTAATCATTGTGTATAGTGGCAGTGTGTCTTCCATTACATGTGCGTTATCAATACACAGCAGTTGGTAACCCAGGCACACGCTCTGACCTTGCTATGACTTTTAGTTATCATTACACACAAAGTGACCAGCCTGCACCACGTGACTTTGAATACCAGGGGCATAAATTCTCGGATGAAAATATAATTTTGCCTCTTTATAAATCGCTGGTAAGACCACACCCTGAATATGCTGTGCAATTTTGGGCATCTGTTCTAAAGAAAGATATCATGGCACTAGAAAAAGTGCAGAGACAAGCTACAAAATTGATAAAAGGAATGGAGCATTTTAGTTACGAAGAAAGGTTAAAAAATTTAAATCTCTTCAGTTTGGAAAAAAGGGCGCCTAAGAGGGGATTTGATAACATTATACAAATATATTCGGGGCCAGTACAAACCTTTATCTGGAAATCTATTCATAAACATAGGACACAAGGTCACACATTTAGGCTGGAAGAAAGGAGATTTCACCTAACTCAAAGATTTTTTTTTTTTTACAGTAAGAGCAATATGGATATGGAATTCTCTGCCTGAAGAGGTGGTTTTATCAGAGTCCATATAGTTTTTTAAACTGCAATTGGATAAATATTTGCAAAAACATAACATTCAGGGATATAATTTCTAATTAGTGGGGTAATAGCTGCATGATCCAAGGAAATATCTGACTGCCATTTTGGGGTAAAAAAGGAATTTATTTTTCCTAGTTTGTTGCAAAATGGGAAGCGCTTCAGATTGGGTTTTTTGCCTTCGTTTGGATCAACAGCAAATCAAATGTGAGGAAGGCTGAACACCATATCACACTGAGATAGCTCAGTTGGTAAATGAGCCTGTTCAAACATAAGGTCAAAGGTTCAAATCCCGGCCGGGTCAACTCAGCCCCTCAGCCTTCCGAGGGTAATAATAATATCTATTACTATTCAGCTGCCCATTTGGTTAATTCCGAGAGAGTGAACTGAAAAGTGCTATGAGTCTTACTGTGAGAAAGGCACTATATAAATATTTATTATTTACATGTTAATACATCTTTAACCCCTTAAGGACACATGACGGAAATATTCCGTCATGATTCCCTTTTATTCCAGAAGTTGTGTCATTAAGGGGTTAATACGCTCACGTTCTTCATTATAAAAGTAACCAGTAACTGAGACTGTGCGACTGCTGAGAATTGTGTCAGTCAATTCTTTCAACCCATCTTTATAGAGTGTGGCCTGTATGACTATAAACAGTTATGGCTGGATTATGGCTGTCAGAGAATACTGGTAGTTGTAGGGCAGTGTAGTGAGAGGATTGGGTTATAAGCAGATGTATCGTATGACCAGGAGAAACAGATAGCAAGGTTCTCTACATAGCGAATATAAAATATGTCCAACATAATGCGATAAGTAACAATGTATATATAAATATATATGTATGTAGACCACCCAGGTGCAGCAATAAATACACAATAAAGGTAATTACTTCCCTTATCTATCAGGCTGTAACAAGAGGATTCCTCAAACGTCCTCAAAATATGAATAAAAATATAAGATACACCTAAGGAATAAAGGCAGAGAGAAAATTCATAGGGCAACACTATATAGTCAAAATGTGGCCCCTTTAAGTAAATATTGCACTCACAAAAAATCAGAGTATTATGAGCCCATCAAGGTTTCTTTAAATGCTCAGCTACAGGTGTCCTCAATGTCCCAGGGTACACGTCAAAAGGAAAAAACTGGACATAGTATAGTAATGTTGGAAATATAAACAAACACTTTAATTGAATGCACTTACAAAAAGTGAAAGGTAAAAATGCCCATCAGTTAGTCTCTGTGTCCCTCTGAATCAGCTGAATTGGAGACCAGAATAAGCAATGATATGCAGCTCTACGCGTTTCGTCTCTTGCTGGAGACTTCCTCAGGAGCAATTAAAAATAAAATGCAATAAAATACAATATAATACAATTGATAACAAAAATAAGGCATAACACAACATCAGAGTCCACAATTCCTTTTGTAGGTCTTCTTGTCGTTCCTTCTACCAATCAGGGGCATTAGAATCACCTGTTCCCAGTCTTCTCATCTGTTCACTTCCAAATAAGGACTTCCGTTTTTCAGTGGAACGCATATGCGTTCCACCCGTCGGCAGTTCACGATGACGTCATCAGTTCGCACATGCGTTCCACTTCGCTCGAAAGGGAACCAAAAGAAACACAAAGATGAGGAGAACAGCGTCAAACATATCAAGCAGACTCTATGTTTACATAGGGTTACAAATATATCCTCAGTGTACACCCAAGATAAAAGAATCAGATATATACATTAGATACACATTTATACAGACCCACAGAGGGAAAAAAAGGGGGTTAATGGAGTCACAAGCATATATTATCTAATAGATAAAGAAAAAAAGAAAAAAAATAAAGAAAAAAAAATTAATTAAAAAAAAATAAAAAAAAATAAATAAAAATGTGTATCTAATGTATATATCTGATTCTTTTATCTTGGGTGTACACTGAGGATATATTTGTAACCCTATGTAAACATAGAGTCTGCTTGATATGTTTGACGCTGTTCTCCTCATCTTTGTGTTTCTTTTGGTTCCCTTTTGAGCGAAGTGGAACGCATGTGCGTTCCAGACGCGAACTGATGACGTCATCGTGAACTGCCGACGGGTGGAACGCATATGCGTTCCACTGAAAAACGGAAGTCCTTATTTGGAAGTGAACAGATGAGAAGACTGGGAACAGGTGATTCTAATGCCCCTGATTGGTAGAACGAACGACAAGAAGACCTACAAAAGGAATTGTGGACTCTGATGTTGTGTTATGCCTTATTTTTGTTATCAATTGTATTATATTGTATTTTATTGCATTTTATTTTTAATTGCTCCTGAGGAAGTCTCCAGCAAGAGACGAAACGCGTAGAGCTGCATATCATTGCTTATTCTGGTCTCCCATTCAGCTGATTCAGAGGGACACAGAGACTAACTGATGGGCATTTTTATCTTTCACTTTTTGTAAGTGCATTCAATTAAAGTGTTTGTTTATATTTCCAACATTACTATACTATGTCCAGTTTTTTCCTTTTGACGTGTACCCTGGGACATTGAGGACACCTGTAGCTGAGCATTTAAAGAAACCTTGATGGGCTCATAATACTCTGATTTTTTGTGAGTGCAATATTTACTTAAAGGGGCCACATTTTGACTATATAGTGTTGCCCTATGAATTTTCTCTCTGCCTTTATTCCTTAGGTGTATCTTATATTTTTATTCATAATGCGATAAGTAAAATGAATAAAATAATATATCTGACATCAGATGAGGTATTTTACAGCTTTTGGTTAAAACTCTCTACGTAACCCTTTAATGTACCGCCAACTTTATATTTCACTGTAAGCTAACAAGATTATTTTGGTTGTCAATTCGGTACGTTAACCTCAAATGGTTTTTATCAATGGAACAAATGTGTCTGATATGTAAAAATTAGCCAATGCCCAGATGTTATAACTAGGCAGTGCCCATTCCAACCTTGGCATATATTTATTGCAATCGGAGGGGGTGGTTAATTTCTGTAAATGCTGAATATTTGCCTAAACCGGCAACTTAAGAAAACACAAAGTTCATGCTTTAAATATGAAAACAAAATATTGAATCAAGCATTACCAGTTTGGTAGAGGTATTTGTACAGTTGTTAGCTCTGTTTGTGCACCATCCCCACACCTCACCCGATGTGTTAACCTTGTGATATTCTTCTGGAGTAACAGGCATGTCATGTTCGATTAATAGGGATTTTCATTACTAAAAAAACTGTGTTCACTTTGCTGATTAATACTTGTGGTAAAATGTAAAAAGTATATAAAAGGAAAATATAACCACTCTCCTGCAATGTTTTAATCTGCAAAGTGCAATCTTTTTAACAAGTCTTTAAGAAGCCATGAATTTTAGATACTGTATCCAGGGACCGATATACCTGTCCAGTATGTGTTGGGAGCTTGGGAACCGATATACCTGTCCAGTATGTGTCGGGAACTTGGGCACCGATATACCTGCCCAGTATGTGTCAGGAGCTTGGGAACCGATATACCTGTCCAGTATGTGTCAGGAGCTTCAGCACCGATATACCTGCCCAGTATGTGTCAGGAGCTTGGTAACCGATATACCTGTCCAGTATGTGTCAGGAGCTTCGGCACCGATATACCTGTCCAGTATGTGTTGGGAGCTTGGGAACCGATATACCTGTCCAGTATGTGTCGGGAACTTGGGCACCGATATACCTGCCCAGTATGTGTCAGGAGCTTGGTAACCGATATACCTGTCCAGTATGTGTCAGGAGCTTCGGCACCGATATACCTGTCCAGTATGTGTCGGGAGCTTGGGAACTGATATACCTGCCCAGTATGTGTCGGGAGCTTGGGAACCGATATACCTGTCCAGTATGTGTCGGTAGCGTGATTGAGCCCACAAAGTATAGATCAAATCCAAAACAAAGGGGAGACATTAAGAGGGTGTATTAATGATATTTAGCATAGTCATTCTCAAGACACAGGACTTCTAAACAAGAGAATGACAAGCCAAGCCAAAGGCTACCAG